TTATAGAAAAATATTTAACGACTTAATAAATTGCCTTCATGAAATACACTTTTCGTATGGTTGATTAAGTCCCAAGAATAGAGAATAATTTGAAATATGTGTGAAAAAAAAGCCTCAGTGATAATTTCGTTTGGCGAAGACCTGACACTTTTAAGTCCATTGGAAAAGAAATTATTCACGTACAGGTAAATCTTAAGGCACAAAAATATTCTCAAGTGGCGAAGTTTAAAATACCCTCGAATTATGTTTAGAAAGTTGGAATATTCAATAAATAAACACGAAGAATAGTTTACCAGATAAGTGTCATTATTATTGTATATTTTTATAGATGTCTTTGTTTAAATAGTAAAGCAATGCTGTTTAAGGGTTTAATATTCAACAATTAATGGTAGGCCTGCGGCTATCTTTATATGTTAAGGATATTTTCTTTGGCATATAAAGATTTCTGTCGGGGATTCCTAAGGTTTATAAGCCTTTAAAACGAGACCACAAACACCTACAATAATCTAATATTGGATTATTACCTCCTGGGTTGGTCATGGAAAAAGGTGTTATATAAAAACATTACCGTTGTATCTGGTGTTTTCTTGAATCTTCTAGCTATTTGAATTATTTTTGAGAACGCTTTTTGTCTAAATGAAATAAAATTATATTATAGGTTTCAGTAAAATCTTTTACTTATTGTGAGAGATAAATATAATTACATTATATAATGAGGTAGATATATAGAAATTACCATTACAAAATGAAAAATATGGTATACTCAAGACATTATTTCCCTGAAAATTCTTAAAGAAAAAAATATATATTATATTATGTAATATTATACCAATAACATAACTATTTAGGTTAATGTATGTGTTGTTTTTAAATAATTCCTTTTTTTTTTAGAAAAATTTAATTTTATTCCCCCATTAGAGTTTTTAGGTGTTAACATTCATAGACTCATTTATCTCTTTATATTAGCCCATATATTTATTACACAATACACATATCGCACCCCTGATTCAATAGTGCCATAACCTTATAAATGTTAATTTTACAGGAGAAGCGAAACAAAAACGATTGTGGAAGTAATATTTTTTTGAGCAGCATTTTCAGTACTTGTACTTATCAAATTCAGTATACATATTGATTAAAGATGTCTCTACTGAATAATGATACATGTAATGTAATGTGAAATGTACACAGATAAGCCTAAAACAAAAAAAATGTTATGTGATATGGCTGTACTGTTGATGGTGCCTCGCGCGGAATTTATTAGAACTATTGATGTGGCACTTTATATATTGTAGACGTGTTCATAATGTATACTGGGCAAAAAAAAAGTCAATTTAATTTTTTAGGGAATGGCCCTATTGAAAAAAGGGGTGCAATATTTTAAATTAACTATATTTACATAAATAACACGTTTTTATAATCTAAAAATAACATTTTATGTATTTCTAGATAGGTCTATTTCTAGTAAGTCTTCAATCTGTGTTAGGTTGTTTTTAAACTGGATTATCGGATCTTTAAATAGCCATCAAATCAGTATTAAAGTAGTATTCAAGTAGTATTTAAGTAGTATTCAAGTAGTATTCAGGTAGTATTCGAGTAGTATTCAAATGGTATTCAAATAGTATTCAAATAGTATTCAAGTAGTATTCAAATAGTATTCAAATAGTATTCAAGTAGTATTCAAATAGTATTCAAGTAGTATTTAAGTAGAATTCAACTAGTATTTAGCTAGTATTTATGCGATACCACTTGTCTACCTAATGAAACAGAAAAGTAGTATGTTACTATTCACTTTGAATTATTTTTTAATCGTACCATACCCTGTATACCTATAAATTAATGTAATTCGGTTTTATTTTCAACATAATTTTTAGCATTGAAATTTATAAGCATATTCTACGACCCATTTAATCTACTAATAGCAATTATGTATTATATAGATTTACCACAACTATACACTGAAATTTGGTTGCCTAAATATGTACTGCTATCTATATTCTGTAATTGTGAACCCCAATATTTTGGTCATGAGGCACCACTGTACTTTATTCATTCTGTAGTGTGTCGGCACTGCAGAAAGTGGCTTCTTGTAACACCATTTAAGGTCCCACTTCTTTCCATTTCCCCGATTCACCCCGCATTTATCGTCATTTATTTCACGCTAATCGGCTAAGTTCCATGGTGTTGCATCCCTTGGTGGAACGCCTTCCAGTGGTCACGCATCCACAGCGTGACCGGAAAGACAACGACTTAACTGTTGTGAGAATGTGGATGCACACTAATCACGCAACTGTCCGGCATTCTTCAATAATACGCTCGTGACTAGAGGTGAGTTCGGGCTGTGCACTCTAGAGTGAAGTGGAGTAAGTAGGCGTAAACGGAATGCGCATATGGTTTTACTCCTTTTACTCTCAGAGTTCAATGTCAGTTGTCAATGTGTCATACTAATACTTAAAATCTAATCGTACTTATCAGTAACAACCGTATAAGTTTCTTCCATATTAATGGTATGTACGGGAATCAAATAAAAAGCATTTTTACTTAAGAATTAGTCACAATTATCTTACTATCGATTTAAATCACCTTATGCGCATGCCCGATCCACACTCCACTCCACGATCTCCGAACGGCCAAAGAGAAACTTTTATTTTAACTCCTTCCGTACCCGAACGCCTTAGGTACTTTAGGAGTGAATATAGTGAAAAGAGTGCGTAGACCGAACTCACCTTAGCTTGATGTTACCAGTTAACGAAAAAATAAACTCAATAACTAGAACAGTAATCCCAATTAAGTTGTCGTATAAGTAACTAAATACATACATTCTTGTCTAACCAGATCATGTGTCGATGTATTTTGAATTTTTTTGAATGTTTGTAGTCGCACCATACCCCATATACTTATAATTTAATGTACTTCAGTTTAATTCTCACCAGAGTTTAACATTGGTATTCATAAGTATATTCATAAAATCCAAATTAATAACAAAAATTTATTGCATTAACTGCAGTGATCTCATTTCATATTTAAAACACATGGCTACGAACACGTTTATCTATTCAAGCAATTAATTCAAATGTCGTCTCACCATTATTTATGACCCTTACGAGCCGAGCCCTTTTACCTGGAATCAGATACCTCTTCTTCAACCGCGGAGTGATATTTACAATACTAGCCGCTTTGTTCGAAGCCGCGTTATATTTACCATCATTTAGCGAATTAAATAATTATTAATGATTAACACGTTATTAATGATTGATAGGTAATTAATGATTGACAGGTCATTAATTATGGACGAGGTGATTAATGATTGATAGGTAATTAATGATTGACAGGTCATTAATTATAGACAAGGTAATTAATGATTGACAGGTAATTAAAATGATTAATGACCTTTGGCGGCATCATTGTCGGCATCATCAAAGGAAAATTTGGTTCCCAGGCTCAAGTGTCTCTATACCTACTATCTCTGTACCTTGTGGCAGCTTTCACATTTTCATTCCACCATTTTTTGTATTTAGGAACTATTTTTATTTGTTGTTTTTTGGCGCTACAGAATGTAATACGTTTAAAATATTTGTTACAAAATTATCATATTTTGCATTAATGTCATAAATATGATAGTTCCATGCTGATGTTGAAAGTTTGTTATTAATTAAATCAAAATTTAAGTCCTTACCTCTGCTTTCAATTTCAAAAACAGATCGCCCACCACTATTTATGCTGCGTTTGAGAATCCACATCGGATGCATCTGAGATGTAAAAAATCTTTGATCACGTGATTCAGTATACGTAAATGTAATGGGACAGATGTGTCCGATGTGGATAAAAAAACGCTCGAGATGTAAAAAATGCATCTGATGTGGATTCTCAAACGCAGCATTAATAGCACATTTGTTAAAAGCATGAAATGATCTGAAATTCTTGGTTTTTTGATGACCTCAGCTGAAACCGAGTCATTATTTGTTATAACTAAATCTATTAGTGTACCTCCACTTCTTCTATTTGGTCTTGTGCATTCTGTAACAATATTTTTTAATCCAGTATCAATCAAAATATCACTTAATTTCGCACTGTAAGTGTTTTTAGTTAACAGGTCAATATTAAAATTTCCAGAAACAATAACTATTTGACAATTATCACATAAATTTTCTTCAGCCCAAGTGCTAAAACATTCTAAAAAATGTATACAGCTACTGCTAGGTGACCTAAAAAAAAATTTGTTTACTAATATTACCATCACAGAAACAATCCAACAAATTTTTGGAATACAAAATTTAAAATATTTTAAAACCATCAGTTCACTTTGTACATAAATTAAAGCACCCCCTGTGTGTCTGCTTTCACTGTTAACTTTATAGTTTTTGTATCCATCAATGTTTATGTCTATGTTTCAGAAACATTTACTAAACTTGGTTTTTTTGACAACACATAATTATCGATTTCATCAATGTGGGCCACCAAGCTCTCAGCATTTAAATATATTTATTATACTTCGACTAATTTAAAAACTTTTAATTTTATCTCAGAAATATACCTATTCTAAAAACAGTACTTGTATTTTATATAAAACGTGTCTTCAAGAATTTCTTCTACTTACAAATACAGGGTGCATCCTAAGTTGATACTTTTTTAAACTGTGTATAGAATCCAAACAATGTTGGATATACGATGTCAATTGATATTATTTGAAGTCCTTTTACCACCAACAATAAGTTCTGAAGATGGTGTAATGCTGAGAGCACTTTGCATTTTTTCTTTGCTGATCTAATTATTTTTAAATTAAGTATGATATAGAAATATTCTTTCAATACATGGCAACACATTCCTACAATTTTTTTCCTATTTATAATAAACATTTTCTTATATAGTTTAGAATTTGATTGTTTTGCATTCTGTGTATTAAGTTTTTATCTACTTGCACATATATTTTTTTTAATACAATTCTATTGTACCATCATTTTTCGTTTTTTTCTTATTCGTATTACATTTTTCATCTCTAGGATACTCCAAGAAGCCATGAATGAGGACGAAGAAGGCTTAATAGAAAACCACAGAGGCATATACGGTCTTAAAGTCGTTAAACCTTCAGGCGAAATGGGATATTGGGTGATAAACTGTAAAGTAGGCAAAGGAAAGATCGAATGGAACGGCAAAGATAAACCAGACGTTACTTTCATAGTAAAAGAAGTCGACGTGCTCGATTTGCTTTCCGGAAAAATACCTCCACAAAAGGCGTTTTTCCAAGGGAAGGTTAAAATACAGGGCAACTTGGGCGTTGCAATGAAATTGATAGAGTTGCAGAAAACTGCTGCTAAGAAAATTGAGGTGCTTAGAGCGAGATTGTAATTTTTTATCTTATTTTTTAAGATTAAAAATATATTTTATGTTGTAAGGTTCCAGTAATATAGAAGTTTTTATAATTAAGGGTATTTGGAAAAGTATTGTTTTTAATCAAATGGATTTTTATACTAAAAATCTGTAATCTAAAATAGTGAGATTATTGATTATTTAAACATCAAATTTTAAGAGATTAAAATTGATTTTTTAATAAATCAGTGTCAAAATTATCTTTTATAGGTATTTTTTATAATTATACTGATAAAATTTTCTCGATAAACTATTAAATTTCTATCAAATAAAGAGTCTAAAAGAAATAGGGATTCACATTTTCTGAGTATCGGATATATTTTTATTTATTTTTTATTCTACAGTGTCTGCAAAAAATTCTGCCCAATATTTATGGAAAACTTTTATTATTGATTTTTTTTTATTGTTTTTTATTACAATTTTCGATTATGTGGAAAATAGAGGCATTTATTTTTATAGTTATAGCGTTTTTTCTTCTAACTGGAAAATTTTCTCTGTAATTTATTTTTCTATAAAATAGAGTCTAAATTAAAAAGGGATTCAGTCATATTTTCTCAGTATCCGATGCATTTTTTCTTATAAATGGTTTAGTTATTTTTTATTGTACAGTGCCTGCCAAAAAGTCTGCCCCCCCCCATTGTCTAGAAGAAAAAGAGATTCAGTCACATTTTCTCATTTTTTTTATTACTCTATTACAATTTTCGATAATGTGAAAAATAGGGACATTTACTTTACTCTTGTGCTGAATTTACGTTTTCGGATATACGACTGATACATTTTGTTTTTGAAGATTGCATTTTTGGGTTTTACACCATGCACCAACTTTTATAAACAATAATTTTTTTGAAAAATAAAAAGGGTAATATTGAGCAAATTTTCTGGCACACACTGTATAATCGATATAATACTAAACTGTTACTTAAAATATGTTCTATAACAATTATTTTTGATCATTATTATAAATGAAACAAAAAAAAATACAAACCTATTTTTGATAATTCGATATTTTTGAGATTTTCAAAATAGCCTAATTCTTTTTTCAACGCTTCTTACTGGATTTTCGGAAAATGGTGTTTCTTTTTTTAGAAAGTGGAATCTAAATAAACATTTTAACGTTTTGAAAATCTGCGGTTTTTGAAATTTGGCGTGTTTGTCTATAAAAATATTCTCATTTTTCACTTCCTTGCATACCTACTGAATATTCAAACATGGCAAAAATATTTTCCAAATTTGTCACTCCTAATGTTGATTTGAGTTAAACATTGATGAATCACTTACTACAAAAATGTGTATCAATTTTTACAATTATCAATTTCCTCATCAGTTGCCCCTTTTTCACCTTTAGACTTTTCTGATACATATTTTAATTTATCTTTAATTTTTATAATACATGCAAAATATATTTATCTAAATCTTTTATAATTCAAATTTATCAACGATAGAAAATCATTGGCGATAATAGTTGTTTAGTCGTTGACCTTTGTGATATTTTATTTTTACGTTAAATCAATTTCTGTCCTATTTACAATAATTATTCATTTTTAAAGATTCTAAATTATTTTTGATATAATAGTTCGTATAATATGAAGGAATTGGTTTTTGGGAAATAGTTTTATCGTATTAAAATCGAATATACAAGGTGTACATAAAATGTGGAATAAATTTGTTATTTTGTTAACAGCAGCATGAACAAGTTTTTAGTGTAGAATTTTTACATTTTTAAATATTGTACTGGTAGAAGAGAATTTTTTTACATCAAAATATTTCAAGATTCTGTAATAACATTGAATTTATTCTATCCTTTATGTATACTTTGCTTATTACTATTTAATGGAAAAATGTTATAAACGGATATATACAATTTACTTTTAAGGATGAGGATGCTAGATAATTATTTTTAAGAACATTTTTATACTGTTTATTGTTTCAATAAAAAATAAAATAAATACATAATTATTACAAAGTTGTGTTATTTCATAACCCTGAAAAATAGTTTTTTTTTATTTTTAGCGAATGTGTTTACATTGAAGTTGAAGGAACTAATTGTAATTGTTAAATAATATTTTAATTATCTCTGCTTTCTTATTTACTAACCTTTGACGTCATGTTTTTATCTATGCATTGGTGTGCAATACGAATAAATTGAAAATTGTATTAAAACGGTGAGTAAAATTTTCATTTTGGAATTTGAACCTCGTAAGGTAATTTAAAAAGTGGTATTGGTCAATTATGGTTAACAAAATGTCCCATTTTCCGATTAAATAACGTTAAAATTGCGTTATATTGAAAAATGCTTCTAAAGTCTATGCCCGACAAAGATAGACCAGACGAATCATGCTCATATATAAAAAAAATTATCTACTTTATGTAACAGGGTCCATAAAAATAAAAACCTTTTTTGATTTTAAAATCAATATATGCATTGTTATTGAAAGTTTATATCGAAAGAAGGTTCGCTATGTAAAATAGATTTTGTTAGTGAACTTACAACCTAGTAATAATTCTGTTTTGGTCCTTGTTTTCCATTCTAAATCTGCACAAAATAATCAAATACAATACATGACAAAATAACCCATTTTCTTGAAAATTAAACTTGAAAAAGCAAGATAAATGGTTGAGAATAAAGGGTGAGATTACAGAACGTCTGCAACTTTGCACATCTGCAAATATGGCGACAAATTTAAAAATCTGCAAATATGACTGACTTACACATGCAAGAATCAAGTTTTCGTATTCCAAATTTGGGTTTAGTGTTGTTGGGGGTAATAAACCACAATAAATATTGCGAATTTGCAGATATTTTTTGGAATACTTGCATTTGTAAGTCCGCCATATTTGCAGATCTGCAAAGTTGCAGACGTTCTGTAATCTCACCCTAATTGTACAATTTTCTATTTATTTAAATATGCCAATGAAATAATTTAGGTTAAGCAACTAACAATGTACGAAAATAATATAGTCTAATCAACAAGTTCAAAAGCGTGTTTTTGGGACATACTATTACGAAAATTATGTTCAATAGCTCATTCGATTCGGAATGATGTCTAGATCAATGTGTGAAGAAAAATTTTGCAGTGCATACAAAATTTCAAAAGTTATAAACAATTAAACACCTCAAAAACATGGTGTTTGGTTTTTCGCCTATAGTTTGTAAATTATAAATATTTTTGGATTTTTCAAAAAAGATCCTTAAAGAGGAGGAAATTTGCTATAAATAAGTTCCGACTCCCGGAACTGTACCTCCATTATTTATAATTTTAATTTAGCGCTCAAAGTAGCCTTCCGCGCGCCATTTTTAGGATGCGCGCACGGCGTCGAAACCGAGTACGTTACATAAAATAATTTTTTTAAGTTAATAAAATTAAATTAAAAAATTTAAAAAAATTTCGTTTTTTTAATATATCTATTGTTTAAATTATTAGTTAAGAAATGTGTTTTTTTTAATCATAATTAACAGTCCTCTACAAAGTGACAGCAAAAAATTTTTTTTTATTAATAATTCCATTGTTTATTAAGTTAACAATTTGTTATAAACAAATTCCCAACTTTGGTTTATTTTTTTCCTGAAAGAAATAAAAATTCCAAAAACGTGCATTAAAATTACGGAAAAAATGTTATTCCATTTTTTATTAAACTTTGAAAATCTATCAAAGTTGCAGCAGCTGATCCATTTGTTGACTTAAAAGTTGATATAACTTTTAAACTATTGGAGATACCACAATAAACATTCAAGTCATTTTTGTAGACAATGAAATTATCTCTCAGATAAGTCATTTGTCAATTTCGTACCTATTGTCAATCTGCCTAACAGGTAGATTTCGAGACAGGTATCTAAATTTATAAAGTAAAATTCCGAGTTTTTTGGTAATTTATATGTACATCCCACGTAATGTTTTGGTCTATACAGGGTGGTCCATATTTGTGGAATATATTAATTATTGACTTTATTATTACGTTTTGAAAAAAATCCTTGAACAGGTCGATTTTTATTTCTAAAATTACATTTTCTGAACAAAATTATTTATCTCCCCCTTCAACCCCTTCGGAGTAAAAGTCACCCCTTTAATTTTTTTTTTAAATAGAAAGGGGTAGCGTGTGATACCTCATTTTAAAGGGTTTTTAATTCCCTATTCAGCAGTATAAGACTTTTTGTTTTTTGTACATTTATATTCAAGAAACATCAATTTTTATTTTTAACTATTCTATTAATAATAGTACAATTTTATGGTATTAAATGTTCAAAATGGCTGCCGTTAACTTTTTGACAATAATCAATGCGGTTATTAAATTCTTGAAGAACATACCCAGACAACACACCAAATCCCAGAGATATCCGCAGAATATCTTTTGTGGATATCCAATATATCCACAGGATATCAGAAATATTCCGTGGATCTAACATAGATATCCAAATGTCCGTCTATATCCAGGATATAGAAGATATCCTAATGGATATTCAGCAAAATATCTAATGGGTATCTTCCAGAAAATACAATAAATCACAGAGATATCCACAGAATATATTTTGTGGATATTCAATATATCCAATATGGATATACAACCAAATGTCCGTCTATATCCCAGGATATAGATGATATTCGGATATTCAGCAAAATATTTTATGGGTATCTTTAGTAGAGGTTCATAAGTAACCAATGATTATTGAATAACGTCGAAAGAAAATAGCAGAGATAAAAAATATTTTCAACACTCAAAATATTTTCAACACTCTGCCTTTGATTTTCAACACTCTGCCTTTGATTTTCCCAACTAAGGAGAAAGTCATCCTTATTAGGACTCTTCAGCAATAAATGAAAATTCTCGTCTCCAGTCTCTAATGGAGTGATTAGAACACACACATTTCGATCGAACTCAATTGGGTCGAGCATGAGTAGATGCGATAGTGGTATCGCCATCTATACTTAGTAAGCAGAATCAAATAACATTTAGTGTATATCCACGATGGTTTGCTTTCGCGCCTAGACTTTGATATATTTAGTGGATGTTCATGGGATATTGAATACACCTTAAAAAAAATAATTTTAAATATCTGAACGGTACGCCACAATGGCGTAATTTTTTAATAATTTGCTATATAATTACTATTATTTATGGACATTTGCATGTCTATAAATTACATTTCATGGATATAAAATAGATATCTACCATGGACTGGACATTCAGTGGACATTGGGATGTTCAATAGATATCCAAAGGATTTGGTGTGCTGTGTGGGTATATTGTATGACGTAGGGGCCAATTTTTTTAATTTCTTCGGTGATTCTTTCTTTTAATTAGTCAATAGTCTCCGGTCAATTTAAATACACTTGAGACTTTAAGTGGCCTCAGAAAATAATCAAGCGGCGTTAAATCGGGAGATCGAGGTGGCCATTCAATGGCTCCACAAAAACGTCAATTCCTTGAAAAGTACCCTATATAACATAGACAAACCATATATTAGAAGAATGGAAAAAAGATGAGTAAACAGAATGTAAAATAATATACTGGGGTTATCATTAAAAAAAAATATGTTTGGTTCGTACACGAGCTATGCAACACCCTGTATACCTCCCAATAATTTTAAAATGTTAACCTCAAACCTGTCCATAATTTTCTTAATACACTTTTTTAATATCTCTTTCAACAAGGAAGATATCGAACTTTTCCACAAGATTGGTCCACCCTGTATATATATATATATAGTACTTTTTCACTCTAACACACCTCCAGGCATGCATGTCTCCATAATCGGCCACTGAACGCGCTCTTTTTTGATAAAAATGACCCGAAACCTGAAAACCCATGTGTCGACCTTCTATGGCCCGTAGCGCAAAACCCTGACAGTAATTTTTTTGGGCCCATTACCTTTTTGTTCAGGATATTGAGATCTACATTTTTCACCAAAAATTAAACCTTGGGACTGAAACCATTTTTCCCTATAAAAAGTGCGGGGTCCTTTAACAATAACACGTACACGTGCGTTTTGATAAGAAAACTTCTTAGTTTAATTAAATTGAAAAACAAAAAAAAACTTTTAGCATTAGCGAGATACATTTTGGATTAAAAAAGTGATGCCCCTAAATGTCGGCAACACATTATACAATTTTTCAAAAAATAAATCCCATTTTCTTAGCATGGAAATAAACGTCTTATGATTTATATTGTCAATTTTTGTAACGAAATATTGTATTCGAACATTTTCTCAACTTTACCTACAAATATGTCTGTTAGTATTGAAAGTGATGAAATTATGAGTACTCTACCGGCGATTTTAGAAAAAGCTCAAGCGGCCACACATAATTTGTTACCGTTAAAATCCAAAGAAAGGTACGAAATTACCTATCAAAAATTTATGGATTGGCGACACAAGCATATGTCCTTTATTTAATAGAAGAAAATAAGTGGGCGTAGAAAAAGTATAGTACGTTACACGAGTTGTGAGCCCATTACACACTCGGGTAAACTTTTTCACTTCGTGCGTAATGGGTTACTTACAACTCTTGTTACGTAATATACTATTCTTTCGAGCGCGGTCATCCCCACTTTGCGCCTACAACAACACTACCACAAAAAATAATTGTGGACGGATTTTGTCGCAATATTTCTTGAAAGATTTTTTTAAAGGTGTTACTTTCACTTCTCTCTCATCTAGGGTGTTAATAATATTTCGAATAAGCTATTTAATTGGTGTTGATAAATACATAGCCCCTCCTACTTACAATGAAATGCAAAAATTTAATTTTATTATAAAACTACTCCATTTTATAATCATTTCGTAGATTCTCAGTTACTATTAGGGTAAAAACTGACTAATAAAAACAACGCATTTAGAAGTAATAAATGTGAATCACGCCTATTAAAAAAAACGTTAGCCAATCTGGACGGATTTGCAGATATCTCGATATTAATTGGACGAATATAAGTAACAGGTATGTCTTAATGGGTAAAAATACCTTTCAGTAGTAGGGAAAGGGCAGGGCAACTGAATTCAGGCAATCAAGCGGTTCTAGGGTTTTATTTTTACCCGTGGAAGTAGGTAGGTATGTACACTTGTAATCTCTGATATTAGTTTTATTATTTTGTATTCTTTTTTATACAGTGTGTCTACGTAAATTGGCTACTTGCGAAAAACTTTTTTATTATTAGTTTTATCAAAAAAATATATTCTTTATAAACAGTTTTGCGTAGTCTTAAACCTATAAATCAACTATCAGATATTAAATTATTTGAACCGTATACGAGGTACGTCAAAAAATATAAATTTTGTTCAAGAGTAAAGTTCCTTTATTTTTAGGTTTTACTCTTGATCAAAAAATAACTTTTTGACCAACCTCGTTTATGACTCATAAAATTTGATACATGATGGTTGTACTTTATGTTTTAGACCATGCACAATTTATTGATAAAGTAGTCAACTTACGTATTAATATAAATAATTTTTTAATATCTACATTTTCGTATTTTTATCTAAAAATTAGCTCTCATCTCAGGTTCGGTCTCATGGCACACTAGACTATCAAAAATTTCACTATTAAATCACCATTTGGCTGTTTTATTTGATAAAATTAAAATTTTTGCATCGGAGAAAGCGACGATGCCAAATCGATAAAAAAATCCGAAATATTACAAAATTTCAATATTTTTGTTTGATAGTACGGATTTTTATGAATTGTAATTAAGATAATGTTTTATATAGTGCGTTTTAAATACTATACAATCGCGATTTATATAAAACGCTTCCATTCAGAACTGATAAAAACCCAATATTTAAAATAAATTAAATATAAACTGAAGTTGTTATGTAAAACCAATCATTCTTGACCTACAGGTATCCAAATTTCTTATTAATTCGTTAATTGTTGATTTATTCATTTTAGTAGTTAATTTAAGTATCAGGTCACATATTTGTGACAAAGAAATTATTTTTATTTCAAGGTCAATCGGGTAATGATTAAAATAACAAACATCAGTTAATTCTTGATTAAAAACATTTTGAAATATTTTTAATTCAAAATTTACTTTAACAATTGTTTTGTTTTTTGTTGAATTTAAAATACTTTGGAAATAAATATTGTACAATTAAGAAAAAAAAGATTACCCAATTAAGCATTCCAAACAAAATGACTATTGATGGGAAAGGTTGGTATATCTAAAGGGTTGCGACATACGATGTATTCTATCTACAACACGTGAAATCATGAATAATAGATTAAATTTAAATATTTTATGTCAAACTCAATGAAAATATTTTTAAAAAACCTCTTATACATTTTTCATAATTTGGCAGACTTGGCGACTACTGTTTCGAATAAAAATAGCACCCGAAATGAAAGACTATGTCGCAACCCCCTTAGAGATACGAGCCCTTCAAGCTGGCAGCTATAAATCCATTATTCATGATTCCACGTATTGTAGATAAAATAGATTGTATGTCGTAACCCCTTAGATATATATACTAAGCATTCCCACTTACAATTCTTTTGTTTGGAATGCCTAAGGGTATAATTAAGTTGTGGCCGACATTTTTTGAACCTATAAAAATGGGGAGGGTATTGCAATCATTCTAAAATTCGAATTTGAGATAACATTCTATACGTTTGGGGGTTCTAGAAACAAAAAAAAAAACATGTTTTTAAGAAACATCTGGATGTACGTGTGTGTGACGTTTGTCAGTACGATACAGCACAAATTATCTGGCTGATTTCGATGGTATTTGGAACATAGGGTTCCCAGGGGCCCCTGAAGAGCTGATTAGATTTTGGACCGGCAATGGACAACTGGGGGGTACTTTTACGGAATTATTTTTCTACTTTTTGGTATATTTCTGTTATTTATGATTGGAGAAGAAAATTCTTCCAGTAAAAGTTATTTGCAATGTCATTATCTATCATTTTTGTTATATAATGGAGCGTATTGAAGATATTTGATGAAAAGTACAAAATTAATTTTTTGTTTGTTTTGAGCGGGATTTAATTTTAGTGGAAAGTCTCGTGTTGAGACATATATGGTCCCATTAATACTACAATTAGGTAACTTGATCTTTTAATATTTTAAGTTATCTACTTTACTACACCCTTCATGAGTTGCTCCTTGTAATGGTACAAGTGAGTAAGTCGTAGAGCACCTACGACTTATTCACTTGTGAGTTGCTCTTTGTAATGGTACAAGTGAATAAGTCGTAGAACACCTACGACTTACGAAGGTTGCAGTGAAGTAGATAACTCAATACACTAAAAAATCGTGTTACCTAATTATAGGATTATGACATTTTCAATGGAAAAATGTCATTTTAAGCTTGGCTTATTTCTTAACGACCAGTGGTGCAAATGGACCTAAGGGGACGATATATAAATGCGAAAATATAATAAAATTTTAGATTTTAAACTTTAAAATAAATGTAAAAACAATTTTTTTTTTCAGCACTCCTTATAGTATTAAAATGCCAAGAAGCTTCAAGTTATGGTCCATCACATCAGCCTGAAGCGTATTTTAATGGATCTTCCTATTTAAGACTGCAAACAATAATTTCGTTGAAACGACAGACTGGTTTAAGCTTTAGGACTTGCTATGGTAATGTAATATTTATAACAAAACAAAATGATAAAATTATTTGGTCTTCTTGCTCTAAAAAATAATGTCCAACTAAAAATCTTGTTTTAAAAGCATTGTTGTTATTTTAATATTGATCGATAATGGCAAGGACTTTTTATTCATATAAAAACTTACTTTTGAATGTTATTATTAATATTGTTACTATTTCAGGGGGATATTTGTTTTCCCAACAGCTAAACGACGATCTGATAGAACTGTCAGTAAACTCGGACGAGATAGAATTCATAGCCAAAACTGGCGGCAAAAGATACGACCACAAAATCAACGGACACTTCTTGGACAACAGATGGCATACAGTGTTTCTTCAGTACCTATCCGGTAACTTGACCATCGAAGTGGATGGCCACTCGCAAGTTAGTTAAAAAATTAAATTACCACTTCTTTATATTTACTTTCTTGATATTTTTTAGCTCATAGCCAATTCTAGCTACAGAAACGATCTGTTGGTCAGTCCTGGTTTATACAACGAAGGAGCGGCTGTACTGCTTATCGGGAAACAGTTCAACGGTTGCCTTTTAGAGGGCCCCACCGTTATTTTTGACTCTGCGCTCATCAAATCCAACCATAATGTTATGTTTAAACCTTGTCCTATACCGTATGACAGTTGTAAGTAAAATATAGGATTCACAAAGCATTTTGTTAATGATTTGAAGAGATATAACCTTATTTATTTGAATTATACTAATAACAGTAACTATTATCGTCCAACTCTACTTTTTCTATGATTTAACGATATACAATGTACTGTTTGTATTTTTAGGCATACCAAAAGGGTTCGATTGGTGCGAAACCGAACCCTGCATGCGACATGGTACCTGTCTGAGTAGATCAGACACGTACACTTGCGTGTGCAATCCTAGATATTCCGGAAAAAATTGCGAGATCGATTTGGGCAATCCTTGCGAAAAACTACCGCCGATTTGCAAAAATAACGCTATAAATTGTACGACAGATCCGTCTGGAGATTACGTGTGTACTTGCAGTCCGGGATTTACAGGGAAGAGGTGCGAAACCAAGCTGAAATCGCATCCGCTGTGCAAGAATAAGACTTGTCTCAATGGAGGTAATTCCTAAGATCCTTATAAAAAATATATACATAAATTAGTCACCAAAACGGATGTACCCATAGTATAATAACGAAGATAAGAGGAGGGGGAACTTTTAAGTGTATTTTAACCTCAACTCAGTATGCAGTGTATTTATTATAAATAATTGGGAGTCTCTTCTAGAAGTAATTGTTCATGAAGTCATGAGCGACGATTTCTTCTTCTAGCGTTTAAAATAAATATTTTTATCCCTAGGTATTTGCGACGTCAATCCCGACACCGAGGAAACGTTATGCAGATGCAAACCCGGTTTTTCCGGGGAAAATTGCGAAAACAACCTCGACGAATGCGAATCTAGTCCGTGTTTTAATGGCGGAATCTGCATCGACGGATACAACAACTTCACGTGCGAATGCAGTTACACAGGCTACGAAGGAAGATTGTGCGATAAAGATGTGAACGAATGTGAAGTCGGTCCTTGCTACAATGGCACCTGTTTCAATACGTACGGATCGTATTTGTGCCAATGCACGCCGGGGTTTGGAGGCAAAAACTGCGCTAGTGTAAGCTTGAATATAATTTTATATGAAAATATTGATTACGTATGTTCTTTAACCATTCAAATTGGATCAGTGCTTCATACTAATATAAATATATTATATATAGAGAGACAATGGCAGGCCGCAAGCGGCCCGCGGGCCATAAGTTGTACAGGCCTGCTATAGAGGGTAAAATATAGAATGTAAAATATAGAATGTAAAATATAGAGAGTATAACACAGAGAGTAAAATATGGAAAGTAAAATATAGAAAGTAAAATGTAAAAAGTAAAATGTGAGAGTAAAATATAGAATGTAAAATATAGAGAGTAAAATATAGAGAATAAAATATAGAATGTAAAAGGGTAAAATTTAGAGAGTAAAGAGTAAAATATAAAGAATAAAATATAGTGAGTAAAATATAGAGAGTAACATGTAGAATGTAAAATATAGAGAGTCGTTCATTATAAAAGTGGTTTATCCCCGTTTACTTGATTATTGTAATATAAAGTGTTTTGCAAAAAGATCCACAGAAACAAAAAGAAAACTAGTTTTAAATGTTTAAAAACTTTTATTGCAAAATTAAATTTTAAATTTTACAACTATAACAATTGTAATAAATACAGTAAAACATAAGTTTACGGGATAAAAGTGTATTCCAAAAATTAGGACTTACACAACTTTCATAATGAGGGACACAAATATAGAATGTAAAACCAGAGACAACAGACGTGTAACTTAATAGGAAAATTTGTTCGATGGTCCATTTAAATTAAATATATGACTTTCTTTCTCTTTTACATTGATCTTTACATATATTTATCTCTCTCCAATAAAACAGCAATCCTAGAGGTCGCTGATGTTGCTGGTTTTTTTACGTCGACTTATAGATTAGAACCGACAACTGACAATGTTATGAATGTTGTTATGAACGTGTGCATTTTATTAAAATTAATTTAATTTGGGCCCCGTTTATTTCTTTGAGTCTGATTTTGTTGTTTAATTAATTCTTTGGTGGGGAGATGTTTATTTTCGCATATTATTTTTTGCATGAAGCAATTTCTGGAACCAAACTCGCGTTTAGGTGAATTGGAACAGAAATCCATTGTTACAGCTACTTTTGTTCATTAAGTTGGTAGATGAATGTCTCGACAGCTTTAATGGCAGCACAAAGTTCCCACCTACTAGAAAAGAAGTAAAATGTATGCTAAGTAAAAAATCTCTGCACATGTAGTATTGGCAAAGGACGTTTGAAATGATTAGAGATTGGCTATTTCTTACATACACCTACCTCTAATAGCCACTCTAGTGGTTATTAGAAGATTGTAGAGTCATTTAAACGAAGAAAAAAAAATTGAATCACAAAAGGGCAGAATTTTAAATCAGGATGCATTGGAAAATAAATTTGGGGACATCAGGTCGGTTTTGGATTTTAGAGAGAGATCAATCTCAAGAAAAGTTAATTTATCCTGCAGAACAACCAGTAGTTTAAGTAGGATCTGCTATAACTTTATTAGAAGATTTCCTTGATAATAAATTGTAATATACCAATTGTTTCAAATGAAACTGAAAAAGAGTTAAATTCGAAATTAGATTTTTCATGGGTAAAATGTTATAATCTTTCAAACATCGTTAGGTAATCTATAATTAAGGGAGTATGGAAAATAGGTATACTCTAGTAAGGGTCAACGACAAAAAAATTACAAAAATGTATTCATCTTTAAATAGTGTTTATTATTATTATTATTATTATTAGATCGAATAGATTAGACGATTAGTTGGAGAAGGTCCACGTAGTCACCAAATTAGGAGACTAGGAAAACTTTTACATGACTGGAGACACAAGAGGAATGCACACGCACAAGCTACAGAAACAGACGACATAACAGGGGTAAGCCTTCAGCAACGTCCTGTTGAAATGATGATAGTATGTCATCTTTCATTCCCTTTTAGAAGGCATGGCATATAAATCTATTGATCTTGATGACTCTAAGAGGAGTTAGCAGGGGGTGTACGGAATGTGTCCAGCAGGTTTCGATCCAGTTTACAGGATGGGAACTTACTCGACTCGGGCCTTATACATTTGTGTGAGTGTATGTGTGTGTTTGTTTCTTTCCATGGTTTCTATTAAAATAAACAGTCATAACATATCGATAAGTTTTTTTAACGAAATTTACAAGAGTAATAAAAACTATGTCCACTGTTTATATTAAACTGATTAAAACTTCCTTTATTAGAATGATTATTTATATGATAAAAAATCTGATGTGATTGGAAGCTTTTACATTTTTTAATATACAGTGAAACAATAGTTTTTGTTTCTCCTGTAAATTTGTATAGAAAAACTATATATTTCTGAATCCATGTTTGAATTTCCCGCCCTAAAGCATTTTTAAATTTGGTGTCATCATAGACTGGTTCTGGTTACAATCGCCCAAACAACTTTTACCGAACAAAAAAAATACATTGAGTTACACGTCTCGCTGGGTTGTCTCTGGTAAAACCTAGATAGTAAAATTTAGAATGTAAAATATAGAACATAAAATATAGACAGGAAAATATAGAAGATGAAATATAAAGGGTGAAATATAAAGAATAAAATATGGAGAGTAAAATATAGAAAATAAAATGTAGAGAATAAAATATAGATAGTAAAATATAGAATGTAAAATATAAAGAGTAAGAGTAAAATATAGAAAGTAAAATATAGAAAGCAAAAAGTAGAGAATAAAGTATAGGGAGTAAATTATAGATAGTAAAATATAGAGAATAAAATATAGAATGTAAAAATATAGAGAGTAAAATATAGAAAGTAAAATTTAGAGAGTAAAATGTAGAGAATAAAATGAGAGTAAGATATGTAAAATAAAGTTATTGATCAATGATATTCTGCTTTAAATATGATATTTTCTTTACGTTTTCAGCCGATCGACGAATGTCTGTCCAAACCGTGTTTCAACAACGGCGTGTGCATCAGTTTGGCCGGCAAATACGAATGTCGATGCATCAACGGCTACGTGGGCGATAATTGTGAGATAGAGCCCAAGGGTCAAACGCATCCGTGCGAACAAAACTCTTGTCCCGTATACGCAGAATGTAGAGAAGTCGGCGGTAGTCCCGTTTGCGTTTGCAAACCGGAAAACCCCGGGGAATACCCGGATTGCACTACCTCCGTGTGTTCGAGGAATCCGTGCTTGAACGGCGGGATTTGTACGCCGTATAAAGGAAATTTTAACTGTAGTTGTCCCAGTGGTTTCACGGGTAAGTACCCATGTTTAATATTTGTGGAAATGAATAAAGTACGTTTAGATTTGACCTTTCTTTTAGTACAAAAATGAAAAATACGGTTCGGTTGCAGTTCAAATTGACGTATCTTTTTTTTGTTGTTGTTGTGTTGAATAATGTATCAGAAAAGTATTAATAAATAATAAATACTTCTTTAAAAAATATCCTATTTCGAACAACTTGATTTATTTAAATATTAAAAATACAATCAATTAACGTTCATTGTATTACTTCCAACTGTCATTTTACTGTCAACTGTCATTTTACTGTCAACTGTCATTTTACTGTCAACTGTCATTTTATTGTCAACTGTTATTTTACTGTCGACTGTCATTTTACTGTCAATTAGGCATTCCAAACAAAACGGCTACCAGTGGGTTTTGACAGGTTATGATATGGCAAAATTATGGCAACCCTGTAGGCCTAGTGATTTAACAAGGTTAATGAAATAGATAGTTACATAGATTGATTATCCATATTTTTCAAAATAAACATAACAGAAGTAAAAATGTAGGTAGGTAATTATTTTTATTACTATATTCAAAGGCTAAATATTGGTTTGTAAACACATTTTTACAAAATAGATTCTGATTAATGAGCTATTGCTAGGCAATATGGCCGCTCGCAAACGACGCGCTTTGAGCAATCTATAACTATATATGTATCATTGACACTGTCAATGACAACAGGCTCACAAGGTTGCCATATCCAAAGAAGTAGAGAGGGTAGAACGATAAGGTACCGTCTGCGCATCCATCACGAGTGTAGAAATTATGCGTGATTCAGCCTTCCACTCTTACACACGTAAATGACAAGGAGAGGTTGCCCTAAAGCACTGTAAACAAATTCCAGGATCGACTTTATTCAGCGATTATGTTCATGTTTAGCTCTGTTTTTTGTTTGTGTTTTGGCTGTTGTAAGCTTTTTTGGCGTCAATTCTTTGTTATCTTGCTTATATTTATGATTTTTTATGCTTTTATTCCGATTTAGTATTAAATTATACTTGTTAATTATTTTTCGATGCACTATTTTATAATTATTGCACAAAATGTTGTTAAACCGTCCCTGAATTTTGTTTACAAAATGTGCAAAACGAAATTGTGCATAGTGTCCAGACTTTTTCATTGACAGTTATCATTCTACCCCTCTCCACTTCATTGGCCATATCTAAATGTCAGTTCCCACTTGTCAGCAGATTGACAGGTCATTGGAATGCCTAATTGTCCAGACATGATATATTATTATTTATCAAATGTCAAATTTAAACGTACCGCATGATTGTGTGCACCCTATGAAACCATTTTATGTCAAAATAATGCCATTTTAGTTAAAAATAATACTAATAAAAGTTGATTTTTCTTCTTTTTCTTTGCATGCTGCTTTAAACGACTGACTTTTAACTTCTTAGGCCCTGCATGCGAAAGGGTCGATCGTTGCAAACCTGGAATGTGTAAAAATGGCGGTTTATGCATTGATTTGTTGTCTCGCATCATTTGCGTATGTCAATTTGGGTGGATAGGGCCTTTTTGTGACATTGCTTCGTATTGTGCGTCGCATCCTTGTCGGCATGCTGTTGCTTGTCAAGATTATGTAAGTTATAATAGAATGTCAAAAGATATATACAGTCTATTTAAGTTGGCACCATGTGTGAAACTTTTTTATTATTAGTTTTATGAAAAAAAGTTATTCTTCGTAAAAAGTTCTGCATGGTGTAAAACCTAAAATACAATCATCAAATATCAATTTTTTTCAGTAATGTACGAGGTTTGACGAAAAATATAAATTTTATGCAAGAGTAAAGTACCTTTATTTTGAACATTATCGAAAATTGTTGTAAAGTAAAGTTGATTAAAATTGAAAACTACGGTTAGATATTCAATATTATCCGTCTACCATGAAAAAACAGTTTATGATTTGATAAATTAAATGTAAAATGTACATTATTAAAAATCGTTTTTTCATTGTAAATTGATAATATTGAATATTTGGCGGTAATTTACAATTCTGATAAACTTTTCTTAATAACAATTTTCGATATTTTTAAAAATAAAGCTACTTTACTCTTGCACAAAATCCATATTTCTTGCAAACCTTGTATATGACTGAAAAAAATTGATATCTGATGGTGGTATTTTAGGTTTTAGACTAGGCAGAAGTTTTTATGAGGAATAACTTTTTTGCATAAAACTAATAATAAAATAGTTTCCGATATGGTGTCGACTTAAGTAGAGACACTGTATATTTAATAGTGTGTCAGTATTTTTTGCTTGTTTTGGTTAGTACTAATTGTACAGGTTGTAAAGCAAATACTAGAATAGTACTAGATATTAATGATCTACTTATAAAACGAAAATAATTGGAACAAACAAAAGAACTTTAAAATATATATCATTTATAAACAAAATCAAAAATTAAATTACTTTAGGTATTTGATAGAAAATATTCATTTGACAGATAACTGGAATGTTTTCAGTTGTTTGTCAAGCCATTTTCAATTAAATACATATTAAAATAATTTAAAAATAACCATTCAACATGTACAACTGCTCTAAACTTCTCACAATGTGAATTTAATTGAGATACCCCAGTTTTAATTAAATTTAGAAAAAATTAATTTAAAACAACCATATGAAACCCTTACAAAGTTTGACTTTAGGCGATTAAATATAGATTAAAATAATTTGCAAACCTTATAAAACCCTTACAAAGTTTGACTTTAGGCCATTAATTTGATAGCTACATACTTCATTAATTTGAAAGCCATTTAACATATGAAACTATTATAAATTCTTTACAATCTACATTTAATGGAGATACCTCAGTTTCAATTAAATTTAGATTAAAATAATTTACAAACAAACATATAAAACTCTTACAAAGTTTGACTTTAGGCAATTCATTTAACAGGTGCATAATTTATAAATTTGACAGCCATTTAACTTATAAAACTATTCTAAACTTCTCAAAATCTGATTTTAATTGAGATATCCCAGTTTCAAAATAATTTACAAACAACCATATAAACCTTTAGGATGATTGACTTTAGGCCAATAATTTGACAGCTATAATTCATTAATTTAACAGCCATTTAACATATACAATTATTCTAAACTTCTTATGATCTGAATTTAATTAAGATATCCCAGTTTCGATTAAATATAGATTAAAGTAATTTGCAAACCTTATAAAACCCTTACAAAGTTTGGCTTTAGGCCATCAATTTGACAGCTACACAATTCATTAATTTGACAGTTATTTAACATAAAACTATTTTGAATTTCTCACGTTCTAAATTTAATTGGGATACCCCAGTTTCAATTAAATGTAGAATGAAATAGTTTACAAACAAATAGAACTCTTACAAAGTTTGACTTTAGGCCATTAATTTAACAGATACATAATTTATTAATTTGATAGCCATTTAACATATAAAACTATTCTAAACTTTTCATGTTCTGAATTTAATTGAGATACACCAGATCCAATAAAGTTTTTAAGTTTGAATTAAACTAATCTAAAAACAACCATATAAGTCCCTTACAAAGTTAGACTTTGGACCATTAACTTCATAGCTACGTATTTAATTAATTTGACAGCTACGTAATTAATTAATTTGACAGCCATTCAACACATAAAACTATTTTAAATTTTTTACAATCTGAATTTAATTGAAATACACCAGTTTTAATAAATTTTCAATTAAGTTTAAATACTAGTCCCTTACAAATTTTGACTTTGGACCATTAATTTGACAGCTACATAATGAATTAATTATGTACCTCAGTTTCAATTAAATTTAAATGGAAATAATTAAAAAACAACCCTACAAAGCCCTTACAAAGTTTGACTCTAGGTTATTAATTTGACAGCTATAGATACATAGAAGCTTAAATATCAGAAGTGGGATTGAAATATAAAGATCGTACAAATCAAGAAAACATCGTAATATTACATATATTTTATTTTGCAATCCTAACCAACATATTCTGCATTTTGGGAATAAAATATTAAATGTGATTTATACGCCAGCTATGTCGTGCTTAAAACCTACTTTTAACCCGTTACACACTAACTATTTTTATATAATTGCTCCACAGTTGGGTGGCTATCTCTGCACATGCGCACCTGGGTGGACTGGTAAAAATTGCGACGTCAAGTTGGGACTATGTTCAAGCGAGCCCTGTCTCAATTTGGGGCGTTGCGTAGAAAATGGGATCGATTTTTCTTGTTTATGCACTCCTGGGTTTCAAGGTAGTAGTTTGGTTATAAACTTAGATAATGTATACGCAATTAAAAATTTTTATTAATAATAATAGTAATAATTATAAATAACAATAGGGATTTAAATAATTGATATTATACAGTGTTTGCGTTAGAAACCTCAAATTATCTAAGTTAGGCAACGTTTATTAGGCAAAAAATGTGGAAAAATATAAAATTTTAAATTTCATTTTGGTTTGTTTTGGATAATCATTGCTATTATGGTGTTTTAAGTAAAAACCTATAATGTAGATAATTTAAGGTTTCCAATCCAAATACTCACACTGTAAAGACGTTTATAGTAATTAACAATTATTTTTAATTGTGTGCCTTAACATGGTATGTCAGAAACAGCTTACACTGCAGTTTTCGTAAATTTGTATGGGGATGTTTTTAAATATGTTATATTTAATTAAAGCATGTTCTAAGTATGTTAGTATCACCTTCCTTTTTGCAATAATTAAAATATTGCTCAATACTTGAGTACTTATTCCATAAAATTTTAATACTTGTTAATTCTATAGCCAAACCAAGCAGTTTAAAGGTTTCTTCAAAAAAATTAACAAAACCCCAAAACCCAAGTTCGACCCTAGAATCGAGAAATAACTGACAAAACAATTCTTTCAATGTGGAAAACCTTCAAAAAGTTTATGTAACCACAAAATAAAGGACTCTGCAGTTTCCTCTTGGCAAATGGCTTTCAAATCTGCTGAATTGTATATTTTTGATATCCTAATTAAAGGTATCTATGGGCACAAAGTTCCCAGATGGCTAATTTTTAAAATATAAGGTAAACTTGCGAAATCTTAAATACTTAAATACTGAAAACGTAATTTTGATTCATTAACATTAAAAGTTATAGTTTGGTTTTCTTGGACATACAATATCAACCTTTTTGGAAAATAAATTACTTATATACGGTTATTTAATTGTGTGTAAATGATGCTATTATTATAAAAAATACGAATATAGTGCGTGAGTCAAAAAGTTGGTTCAGTGAATGTCGCTATTTTACAATATAGTTGTATATCGCAATGTGTCACGAACAAGTACCTCATATTATCATCAAAAATATATTATACTTCGGACATCACATACAGGGAGAGTAAAAAGTTATATAAAGTTGAAATATATAAAATACAGGGGTATGTTGTAAAATAGCAACACTCACTCAACCAACTTTTTGTTAATCCCGTATACGTGTATTTTTTATAATAATATGTTAAGGAAATAACAACCTTTATTTTTGAAAATGATGAAAATACACAAGTTCAACACCCTGTATCTTAAAAACTACTCATAGAAGAACTTTGCGCCGCCCATTGATACATTTAATTAGGCGATCAAAAATAGTAACGTAGCAGTACTTTCATTTCAAAATCAGCCAGTCGAAATAACTTTCGATTTTACGTATTTTTATGAAAAACAAAAAAACTTTTATTGGTAAGGTAATGAAGAAATTTAAAATTTATACACCCAGAAATCCAGTCTGCTGAAACCTGGCAGCAACCCCCTATTTTTTTTAATGGCAAATATGGCAACGATGACGAATGAATTTCTCTGATTTTTCTATGAATTTCCATGAATTACTACGAATTTCTATAATTTTTATTTTTTCTATGAATTTCTATGAATTTCTATGAATTTCTATGAATTTCTATGAATTTCTATGAATTTCTATGAATTTCTATGAATTTCTATGAATTTCTATGAATTTCTATGAATTTCTATGAATTTCTATGAATTTCTATGAATTTCTATGAATTTCTATGAATTTCTATAAATTTCTATGAATTTCTATGAATTTCTATGAATTTTTATGAATTTCTATGAATTTCTATGAATTTCTATGAATTTCTATGAATTTCTATGAATTTCTATGAATTTCTGTGAATTTCTATGAATTTCTTTGAATATCTGTGAAATTATGTGCAATTCTATGAATTTCTAAGAATTTCTATTATTTCATCAGCGACACCGATGACGCTTTGTTAGGTTATACATTTGACAGATGCCAATTAATCATTCCTAACATTGACAGTACTTTGTTGACTACATGTTGACCAGACACGTCGAATTGTACGTCTGTCTATAGTCTTTTAAGCAATGCTATTAGCGTATAAGTACTTGTAAATGACAATTCAAGTTGACTGGCGTTTGTCGTCTGACAGCTGTCACTTAGTCTAAAACTTATGCCCCTTTTGGCTGCCTATTTTTTCATTGTGACTGCTGACCCTTCTTTGGAGATAGTGTATTCAACTATTGTAGCGCCGTTAAGTTGGAGACCATTTTTTGACAGTTGTCACTAAGTTTAGATGTCAACAGATTTATTTTTTTGATTGTACGTTCGGTTAGAGACCACTTTTTTATTTATAGCTTATATTGACACAGATGATTTGATAGGTCGCGCATGCGCCCGAGTGTCCCCATGTCTTCTACATACCATTCGAATGGTAATTTTATGAATATTTCAGCAATATGACTATTCATTGCGTTACTTTTGATTTTATCGCTCTTTAGCGGGAAAAAAATTGTTACGTAATTGTAAACTGCGATACTTCATTTGAAAGCTAATGTTATCATTGATTTAAAGCGTAGCATAAATTTGTTATTTTACTTGAATGCAATTAAAGTTTGTATTTCATAACATTAGAGATTTGTACGAAATTAAAATATTCAAGTTCATGTTTCATTAAATTATGTTTTGTTATATTGTACATTAAATTACTAATTAAATTACTAATAAAATTATGTAGCTATCAATACGTTTATGCCGCTAGAGGGCGCTAAAACCAAAGTAACGCAATCAATAGTCATATTTCTGAATTCTTTATAAAATAGGGGGTTGTAGGTTGTTGTATTTCTAGGTATGAATTTGCCAATAGAAGTTGACGTGTATTTTTTTGTTAAATTTACGTAAAATCAAAAGTTATTTCCACTGGCTAGCTTTGGAATGAAAGTCTTGCATAAAATTCAGCTGATTCGACCAAAAGCTAAATTGTCATAAGGAAGCTGGAGATTTTATCTCGCAAATAATCATTATTTTAAATTTCAATATTTGTATTTAAAGCATAATTGTAATCCATTGTATACACATTTTGTAATGTCCAATAGTTTTTTCAGTTCAAGTCAGGTGGTATAAGCTGTTCATGACATATTCACTATATATTTTAGAATAATTTTAACACAATGCTTCATTTTCTTTAACTTTTTTTGTTAACCAATTTTAAGTAGTCTTTTATTAACAAATTTCTTGGTATTTAACACAGACATATTTATCTAGTCACAATTTTTTATCTATAGTGTCGTCCATAATAACATTGCAACTGACAATTTTACGTTATGTTGGGTTCCCATGGAATATCGTCTTATGTCCCTATCTTGAGATAGTTAAATGTTCCGAATATAGGTTTTTATAATTGTTATTGACCAGCTAATTAAATTAAAAAATGAATATAGTGTTATTTATAGGGTATTTATGTAAAACACTTTATTTATAATTTGTTTATAATGTATTAATTAATTTTATATAATACTGAGACACTATTATAACTCAAAATTTTAATTTATTTATTACAATTTGTCTTTACTGTCCAACACATCATTTGAATCCTCTTGTTCGTCGATGAACTTGCGCTATTTATATAAAGCCAGCTCTGTACTAGAACTCTCTCGGCTTTCCAGAACGATCGAAAACTTTCTATGACTCATACGCCGCAAAGGGACCAATTCAGTAGTTTCTCGACGCGGTACGTTTGTCTCTATAAGGTCAGCGCTAGACTTCATACCGCGGGCAAGGAGTAAATAAGAAACAAATATTTTCTACATTTTACACAAAGTATAACTGTCGTTTACAACGTTATTATGGCCGTTCATTCTATTTCCACTTTTAAATTATTTTTAACAATCAACACGAACTTTTATGTAGGTAAAATTTGTCAAACCAACAACGACGAATGCGCTTCGAGTCCTTGTCAAAATGGTGGAACGTGTTACGATAAGATCAACGGATTTCTATGCAACTGCACCGACAACTGGATGGGCGTCACGTGCGAAAAGCCATACGACATTTGCGAGCTGAATCCGTGCAAAAACAACGCCACGTGCATTTCGTCCCCCAATAAGCGAGAGTTTAATTGCCGATGTCCGCTCGGATTTGACGGAGAAACTTGCGAAAACAATATAGACGATTGTATTGGAAATAAGGTAGGCAATAAGAAAAAATAATCTGGAAGTGGTTATAAATCGAACCCCTCAAATGGTGGTCATCTTCAACGAAACAAATAAAACTTTTAGAGACTTAAAAATGGCTCTATATCCAAAATCAGTGGCCATTTATATTAAAAAATATATATGCGGGATAAATGTAGAGTTTTATTTGTCTCATTATTTAAATTGATTGTTTCAGTGTCCTCCAAATCAAATATGTATCGATCTAGTACACGATTACGAATGCAGATGTCCGCCCGGTCTCGGTGGAGAAGATTGCAGTCAAGATATAGACCCATGCGCTAAAAAACCTTGTTTTAACGGCACGTGCGTCGTTGATAAGAGCACCCATCAATTTAGCTGTAACTGTAATCCCGGATACACGGGTCGGTATAATAATAATTTCCCCTAAAACTATTTTCTAATTTACTGCGATTTTTAGGAACGTTATGCAAAGACGATATAGACGAATGCAAGGCTTCCGATAACAAGATTTGCAATCACGGCATTTGCGTCAATTTCGAAGGTAGTTTCCAATGTTATTGCAAGCCCGGTTATACCGGAGAAAGATGTAACTTGGACTTCGACGAATGTCTGTCTATGCCTTGTAAAAACAACGCCACATGTATTAATCTGGTCAATAATTATGAATGCCACTGTCCGCCTGGTAATGAAAATATTTTTTTTAAATAACTCTTATATTAATTGTATTTTTTATATAAATTTTAGGTTACACTGGAAAAGACTGTTCAGTAAACATAGACGAATGCGAACCCCAGCCCTGCATGCACGGCGCGACGTGCATAGACGGCATAAACGAATTCACTTGCGTCTGTCCCCAAGGCTTATCGGGCAAAAGATGCGAAGTGAACATTGACGATTGCGAATCATCGCCGTGTCTGCATGGCGCTAAATGCATCGATGGATTGAATAGTTACGCCTGTAACTGTTCAGACACGGGTTACGAAGGTGAACATTGCGAAATTAATATCGACGATTGTCAGGGGGATCCTTGTTTGAACGGCGCCCCTTGCCTCGACGAGGTTAAAGATTATTTGTGCAAGTGTTACAATGGATATAAAGGTAAGTTATAAGTTTAGAGTAGAGAATAGAGGGAACTTGTTACTTGTATTTTAGACCAATACAAAGAATTGCGCCATTATTTTGGAGCCATGGTGAATTTTGACTTTGTTTTTTTACAAAAATGTAATCAAAAGTGATCGCATTTTAATCACAATAATCTTCATTTTAGGTAAAAACTGCGAAGTAGACATCAACGAATGCGAAAGCAATCCTTGCCAGTACAACGGAACGTGCATCGAACGATCGAACATCACCCTATACAGTCCCACCAACAATTTCAATCTACCGGAAATATTTTCGAAACCGTTCAACTACTCGGAGGCGGCCGGTTACGAATGTTTGTGCGTTCTGGGAGTCACCGGACGAAATTGCGAAACCAACATCAACGAGTGCGAAAGTAATCCTTGTCTGTACGGCGCATGCGTCGATAAAATCGGAGGTAAGTTTGTTTCGTTATAAAATGATAGCCGAAGATAAATAATTGAAACTAACTCATGTATATTTTTGTTCGTGTCTTTTTTTAGGTTATATTTGCGAATGCGAAGACGGATATGAAGGCATCCATTGCGAACAAGACATCAACGAATGCGAGAAGTACAAGCCTTGCGTGAATGGCACCTGTATCGATAGGATAGCTAACTATTTCTGTCAGTGTAATAGCGGATATGGAGGAAAAAACTGTTCAGTTGAACTTACAGGGTAAATAAATTCAATAACAGACTTTTTAATAATTTATTATTCAAGGGTAAGATACCAAGACCTTGATAATAGTCAGCTATTTTTGTTGAATCTAAATCTCGAGAATATTTACCATCGAGAATATTTACCTAACCCGGAATAGATCAAACCATTTTGTACCCTTGGTGGAAAGGTCTTTAACTCAAAGGTCTTTTTCATATCTGGGACCTAAGATGTATAATCACTTACCAGAGGAAGTGCAATCCAAGGTTACTTTCCATTTGTTCAAGAAATACTTAAAAATATTTACTTTCAATACCCCAAGAAAATATATTTCAGATCTAATTGAAAACAAAACCTAAAAAGTACTCACTATTTAAGAAGGATTGATGTTTTCGTATTATAATTTATCAAGCAACATTTATATCAGACAATTCGATGGTATGATTCATTTCTCTTTCTTTCCTTATTTTTTAGTATTATTATTATATCATTATTATATTATTAGTATTATTATATGTATACTATGTATGTTATGTATTACAGTATATCTACTCTATATTGCGTAACAAGTGTTAAGTCACTTAACGTGAGCCAATTTATTCATTTCTCTATTTTTTCTGTATCACATGTTTTTTATAGATTATTATAGTATGAATTGACGATTCATTTGGTGATTGATTCGATGATTTATTCGATGATTCATTCGATGATTAATTCGAAAATTAATGGATAATCAATATGATTAATTAATTCAAGGATTGATTTAATAGATTTGATTCGATTTGATTGCATTTTATTCGATTTTATTCGATTTAATCCAATGTAATTCAATTTAATTCGATTTAATTTGATTAATACAACTTGGTATCAATATATTTTAGTTGCATCGATAATCCATGTCTAAACGACGGTCAATGTCGTCCGTATTTAGTCAACGAAACCGAACACAAATTCAACTGCACTTGTCCCAACGGCTTCCACGGTCAGACCTGCGAACAAATTACTACGATGTCGTTCAGTGGAATATCCCAAGTGACAGTCAACACCACCAGAGACGAAGGTTACGATATACAATTCCGATTCAAAACCACTTTGGGCGACGGATTGTTGGCTTTGGGAAAAGGACTGACGTATTACATACTGGAACTGTCGAAAGGGAGATTGAATCTCCATTCCAGCCTGTTAAATAAATGGGAAGGAGTGTTTATAGGTTCAAGTTTGAACGACAGTACTTGGCAGAAAGTTTTCGTCGCTATAAACTCTTCTCATTTGGTACTGTCGGCTAACGAAGAACAAACTATCTATCCTATAAGCTACAATGAGAACAATAACGTTTCTAGCACTAGTTTTCCTGTTACTTACATCGGGGGTATACCGAATAACTTGAGGAAATTGACGCACGGGCAGCCATTTTTGGTTGGATGTACTGAAGACGTGCTGATCAACGGACAGTGGGTGTTACCGCAAATTAGAAATGCTTCTTGGTTGAGTTTTTTGCACGTCGAAGAGAAATGCATCAGAGAGCCGCAATGCAAACCGAATCCGTGTCATTCTGGAGGGCATTGTACAGATAGGTAAGTTACAAAACATTAATTATTTGTCTATTGATTAAAAAACATTCAGTTTTATAAAAACTAATTAAAAAATAAGTTATAATTATTCAATAACACCTTTTTACATTCCTGTAACCAGTAAGGAGAGTATAGGAATCTTGATGTTTTACTCAAGTATCTTCGTTTGTAAAGTTGGAATAATCTACTATTTCGAGTTCTAAGGCATAAAAACCGATTTTTTCGAGTTCTAGGTCGGAATAATTAATATTTCCGAGTTTTAATTAGAAATAATCTATATTTCCAAGTTCTGAGACAGAAAAATTGATTTTTTCGTTGTTCTAAGTCATATTAATCTATTTTCCTCAGTTTTAAGTCGGACAAATTGATTTTTCCGAGTTCTTGAGTCGGAAAAACCGATTTTTTCGAGTTTTAACTCGGAATAATCTACTTTTTCCAGTTTTAAACAAAAAAAAAAATCGATTTTTTTTCGAGTTCTAAGTCGGAATAATGTACTTTTTCGAGTTCTAAGACAGAAAAATCGATTTTATTCGGAGTTCTAAGTCGGAAAAATTAATATTTCCGAGTTTTAATTCAAAATAATCTATATTTCCGAGTTCTGAGACAGAAAAATTGATTTTTTCGGTGTTCTAAGTCGGAATAATCTATATTTTCGAGATCTAAGTCACAATAATCTATTTTTCTCAGTTCTAAGTCGGACAAATTGATTTTTTCCGAGTTCTTGAGTCGGATAAACCGATTTTTTCGAGTTCTAAGTTGGAATAATGTTCTTTTCCGAGTTCTAAGACAGAAAAATCGATTTTATTTGGAGTTCTAAGTCGGAATAATTAATATTTACGAGTTTTAATTCGAAATAATCTATATTTTCGAGTTCTAGGTCAGAATAATCAATTTTTATCAGTTCTAAGTCGAACAAATCGATTTTTCTATGTTCTAATTTGGACAATTCGATTTTTTTGAGTTCTATGTCGAAATAAACTGCCTTTCCCAGGTCTAATACAGAAAAATAAATTTTTTCGGAGTTACAAGTTTGAATAATCAATAGTTCCGAGTTTTAATTCGAAATAATCTACATTTCCGAGTTCTGAAACAGAAAAATTGATTTTTTCGGTGTTCTAAGTCGTAATAATCTATATTTTCGAGTTCTAGGTCAGAATATTCTATTTTTCTCAGTTCTAAGTCGTACAAATCGATTTTACCGATTTTTAAGTCGGAATAATCTACTTTTTTGAGTTCTAAGTCAGAAACATCGATTTTTTCGGAGTTCTAAGTCTGAATATTCAATATCTTCAAGTTTTAATTCGAAATAATCTATATTTCCGAGTTCTGAGATAGAAAGATCGATTTTTTTCGGTGTTATAAGTCGGAATAATCTATATTTTCGAATTCTAGGACAGAATAATCTATTTTGCGTAGTTCTAAATCAGACAAAAATCGATTTTTCCGAGTTATAACACATAAAAATTGATTTTTCCGAGTTCTAAGTCGGACAAATCGATTTTTTTTCTAGTTCTAATTCGGACAAATCAATTTTTCCGAATTATAAGTTGAAATAATCTACTTTTCCAAGTTTTAAGACAAAAATATCGATTTTTTTCGGAGTTTTAAATCGGACTAATCAATATTTCCGAGTTTTAATTCGAAATAATCTATATGTCCGAGTTCTAGGTCGAAATAATCTAGTTTTTCCAGTTCTAAGTCGGACAAATCGATTTTTTCAAATTCGGAGTCGTCAAAATCGATTTTTCCGAGAACTAAGACAGAAAAATCGATTTTTCCGAGTCGGAATCTTGTCATCTTTTTCATATGGTTAGAGAAAATGAATATTTTGTCTATTTGGAAAAATAACCTTTTTATAACTTATTTTATTTTTTTTTTAAATATGTAAAATTCCACAGTTAACATCGTCAATGTCATTATTTATTATTTTCAAAACAACAAATGTTCATGAACTTTAACCTATTTTTTTTTCTTTGAAACAGGTGGAGAGACTTCAGTTGTACTTGTGAACGCCCGTATCTAGGCCACACATGTCAATATAACTATACCGCGGCTACTTTTGGCTACGAAAACATAACAGATTCTTTAGTGACGGTCGACGTAGCCGATTACGCCAGAAGAGCCGTCAGATCCATAGTGGACATCAGCATGTTCGTAAGAACCAGACAATCGAAGGGACAAATTTTCTATTTGGGTAAGTGTGAGAAAAGTTTTAAAACAATTTTTATGCGTTGAATGATCTGTTTCTACTATAACAATTATATTGAAAATGTACGAATGCTTGGCCTTGTAACACGAAACAGCGTTGACCTGTCTATAAACGCCTTTAAATTGCTGTATTGCTCCCTTGTCAGATCTCTATTGGAGTATGCATCTGTGGTATGGTCACCCTATCATCAGGTGCATGTATCTGCTCTGGAGGGAGTTCAAAATAAATTCTTGCATGTTGTTGCCTGGCGTTTTAATATTAATGTCCATACCGATGCACAAAATCCATATTATATTGATTATGAGCCTGTACTAAATCGCCTTGCGCTTTCTACATTGGAGTCCAGGAGAGCGCAGTCTTCCATATGCTTTTTATACAAATTATTGATGGGAAGTATTAACTGTGATTGTTTGCTAAATTTAATTAACTTTTCGACCACGCGTCGAACTAGAAATAATGATCTTTTTTACATTCCCACCAATAGCACAAACTACGCCATGCACAACCCTCTCACCCGTATGTGTAGATTATACAATGAACATAATATCGATCCTTTTAAGTTCAGATCTCATCAGTTTAAAAAACATATTTCCAAAATTATGTAACTAAATTAAATTAGGTTGTTTTGGTATAAATGTGATATTGTTGTGTTAGTATCACTTATGAAATTTTGATATATTTTGTTATTCTACTAAAATTGTAAAAATGGAGTTTCCGTATAAATAAATAAATAAATAAATAGTTAAAGTTCTGATGACATTACTGTACAAATTAAGATATTTTAAAAATAAAGATCTTTGTTATCTCAAAACTGGTTATTTTGCTTTGATCGAAACTAGATTAAGAGATTCGATTCTTAATTGGGGAGAGTTGCCTTTTGTAAAATAAATAAAATAAGGATAGGTGTACTTCAGAAACAGTATTCAAGAAGAAAATTATGTCCCCATCCAACTTTATTTTCTCAGATACAGGAATATTTGATATTAGACATTTATGCATCAAATAATTTTCAATAGTTTTTTATTATTATTATTATTATTATTATAACAACTAATTTAGACCAAAATATGTATTTAATTCATTAAAATGGACATTTCAGGTTCGGGCGCACTAAATAATCCAAACGATGAGACTTATGTCGCTGCTCAACTCGAAAGCGGCGAATTATTAGTTAGAATCCAATTCGAAGGAAACCTAGAAAGTTACACTGTCGGCGGAGTCAAACTTGATAACGGATTCAACCATCTAATTAAAGTAAAATACAATTCCAGCTATTTTTTCTTCATCCGAATTATTAATCGATTACTTTTTTTTAGGTAATCCGTAACGTAACTCTTGTCCAAGTCAAATTGAATAATACAGAGTACTTCCGCAAAACCATATCGGCTTCTGGGGCTTTAGATGTTAGAGTTCTCTATTTGGGAGGTCAACCTAACTCCAGGTCGATACGTCAAACTAACGAAAATGCACCTGTTCCCAAGGTGGAAACGTCGCCGACTGCCCCTGCTGCCATTATATCTGCCCACAGTAATGTCCACTTCAAAGGAATCATACAAGATGTCCAGGTAAACTATCTAAAAAACAGCAGTAACCATTTATTATAGATAGTTGACAGTCATAATTACTTGTCACTTGTCATTAACGTCATCGTTTCTTCTAATTTAGATAAGTAAAAGAATCGTAAGGTAAATTAACTAAAAAATAGAAGAAACCGATTATAATTGACAGTCATAATTGTACAGAAAGGTTATCACTTGTCATTAACAGTTATTAGAACATAACTTTAGTTGTCACTTGTCATTAACTTCATTGTTTCTTCTAATTTAGTTACGTACAGTAAGAATCATACAAAATTGCCAAATAAACTATCTAAAAAGTAGCAAAAACTGTTTATTGTTGACAATTGATAATCATAATTACTCAAAACGGTTGTCACTTATCATTAACAGTTATTAGAACCTAACTTAGTTGTTACTTGTCATTAACTTCATTGTTTCTTCTAATTTAGATATGTAAAGTAAGTATCATGCAAGATTGCCAGATAAACTATCTAAAAAGCAGCAGAAACTGTTTATTATTGACAATTGACAGTTCTAATTACTCAAAACGGTTGTCACTTGTCATTAACATCATTTCTTCTTCTAATTTAAATGAGTAAATTAAAAATTATACAAGATTGCCAGATAAACTATTTAAAAAGCAGCATAAACTGTTTACTATTGACAATCGACAGTCATATTTACTCAAAACGATTGTCACTTGTCATTAACAGTTATTAAAACACAATTTTAGTTATCATTTGGGATTAAGGTAATTTATTTTAATTTAGGTAAACTATCTTAAAAAAAAAAACGGTAAAAACAGCTTAATATTAACAATTGACAGTCATAATTACAAAAAAACGGTTGACACTCATCATTAACAGTTATTAGAACCTAATTTTAGTTGTCACTTGTTATTAAAGTCATAGTTTGTTCCAGTTTAGATAAATAAAGTAATCATAAATACTCAAAACGGTTGCCACTTGTTATTAACAATTATTATAATCTAATTTTAGTTGTCACTTGTTAACGTCATCATTTCTTCTAATTTAGATGAATAAAGGAATCGTGCTAGATGTCCAGATAAACTATTAAAAAAACAGCAGAAATCGTTTATTATTAATTAACAAATAACAGTAATAATTACACAGGACGGTTATCATTTGTTATTAATAGTTATTATAACCTAATTTTAATTGTCACTTGTCTTTAGCGTCATCGTTTCTAGTTTCATCTAATCTAGATAAATAAAGAAATCATACAAATGTACAAGAAAATTATCTAAAAAAATAAAATAACTAACTGTTTATTATTGACAATTGACAGTCATACTTATTCAGAACGGTTGTCAGTCACTTGTCATTAACCTATATAAAGTTGTCATTTGTTAACGGCATTTCTTCTAATATAGGTAAACTATCTAAAAAAAAAACAGTAGAAACTGTTTAATGATTGACAATTGACAGTTATAGTTACTTAAAACAGTTGTCACTCACCATTAACAGTCTTTAGAACTTTATTTTCGTCCTTAAGTCATCGCTTCTTCTAATTTAGACGAGTAAAAGAATCATACAAGTTTTGCAGTGTAAACTATCTAAAAAAACCGTAGAAACCGTTTAATTATTGACAGTTATAGTTACTTATAACGATTGTCACTCACCATTAACAGTCTTCATAACCCTATTTTCGTCCTTAAGTCATCGTTTCTTATAATTTAGACAAGTAAAAGAATCCTACAAGTTTTCCAGGTAAACTGTCTAAAATAAAACAGCAGAAACCGTTTATTATTGACAACTGACAGTCATAATTACTCAAAACGGATGTCACTTGTTATTATAACTTAATTTTAATTGTCACTTGTCATTAACGTCAGTTTTTTTTCTAATTCCAGATAAGCAACGGTTCTTCGGTGATGATCGTCGAATTCTATCCATTACAAGCGTCCGATTTGGAAACTCCTATACCGTTTGGGAATGTGACCTTCGATAAGGCGACCGTTTTGAAAGGGGTCCATTCGGATGATCTCTGCAGGCTGAATCCGTGCCATATTGGAAATTGTTCCAATACTTGGAACGACTACAAGTAAGAAATTACCTCACCTTTGATTGACTTACAGAAACGGCAAAACTTGTAACAGTAACAGTAGCCCAGTTAGAAGCGTACAGCATTGCGATTTAAACTCTTCTACAGTTAATCTTTTCGACATTTGCATTTACTAAGAAATTTGTCAACTTCTGCTAATTTACAAGCGACACCTCTTGGTGACTTTATTTTACTAATTGAGTCTTGTATGATACTATTAATGTCGTTTTTTAATTTCTGAATTGCATTATTTAACCATTTTTTTGTCAACGGGGGCTCTGGATTGTTGCCATTTCCTTTTTAATATATTTTTTTCTTTAACTTTTACAATGACATAAATTGTTGTGATTGTTTGAACAGTACACGTACCTATTTCACTTTTATTATTGCTGTTTTGTTTTATATTTGTAATTAATCCGTGCAATTGTTATTATTGCTCAATTATATTCATAAATATTTGTTTATAAGTTGTCGTAGCATTATATTGATTAAATAATTGTTGCTTTATTGCAGGTGCATATGTCCGATAGGTTTCAAAGGAAAAGACTGCACCGAACTCGAATTCTGCGAACTAAAAGGCTGTCCAGCCAACTCGTACTGCAAAAACTTAGAAGACGGTTACGAATGCATCTCGAACAGCACTTTCAACGGCTTACAGCGACCTCTACAGTACAGTTTAACCTCGGATGCGACGCTCGACAATTTCTTGTTCGATACGTTGGAATTGCAGTACCGCACTAGATCGTGGGGCACGATAATTTTCGCTAAATACAAAGAAAGCTATTTCGCCGTGTTTATTTACCACAACGAAGTCGTGGTCGAGTGGAACTTCAACGGGATGCCCGAAATAAAGAGGTTCCGCAAGGATCGGTTCGAGGGCCAGTGGATTTCATTGTTGTTCTTATTTAAAAATCAGAAATTGAAAGGTGGATTTAAGGAGCACGTAATGGACGAATCGGCCGATTTCGAAGTGAAAGGTTTCGATATTTATGCTTTTACGGACGTGTTCAAATTGGGACAAGTATACGTGGGTGGTAGCGATAATAAGACGTTTGATTATCAAACTGTTATTGACAATACCGATTATAATATGACTGGGTACATTCCTGTAAGCGATACAACTACAGCCGAGTCATTGATTAGTAATTCTCTAGAAAGTGAATTTTCTGAAGATGTCTTGCTGTATAAGGTGGACCAAGATAAGAAGAGTGATAATTTTAAGGTGAGTTTAGATGTTACGATATAAATAAAAATCTGAAACTTTTGATGAAGAAATGCTTCATATTTTTTAATCTGTATTACAAAAAAATATATCGGCCTACGTCGATCTTTACTAATCATCCTAAATATGGTACGTAAAATTTTTATTTTTGTCATAAAAACCAATAAATCCAGCAATTAATTATTTTTTAGGAAATATTTTGTCTCCTAGACCGATAAAATGATGATAAAATATTAATAAAGTGGTGATAAAATATTGGTAAAATGATAATAAAATTATGATAAAAATGGTATAAACTGATATAAAATGATGATAAAACACGATAAAATAATAATAAAGTGGTTATAAAATAATGGTAAAATGAAGATGATGTTAAATTGACGTTCAAATAATAATAAAATTATGTTAAAATGATGATAAAATTATAAAATGGCGACAAAAATGATGTAATAATTTTATGGTGATAAAATGATTATGAAATAATAATCCTAATTCACCCTCTTACGAGTGAATTTTAACCCCAAAAGCTGAGCTTGTGCGGGGAAAGGGGCGGCTATTATTATTATTTGCCGTGGCGCTCCGGGGCGACTTAAAGATGATTGATGGTGCCATTTGACTTACAGGTGAGGAAAACCCGGAAAACCTCACCCACCATCATATGATCATGAGATTTTAAAATTGCATTTAAATGCTGATAAAATGATGTCAAAATGATAATAAAAATTATAATGATAATAAAATGTTAAAATAACGATTAAATTATGATAAAATTATAAAATGGTGATAAAAAACGATGTAATAATTATATGATGATAAAATGATGATGAAATGATCATGAGATGTTAAAATTGCAATTAAATGATAATAAAATGATAATAAAATGTTAAAATAACGATTAAATGATGATAAAATTATAAAATGATGATAAAACAATGATGTTGTAATTATATGATGATAAAATAGTGATAAAATGATGAAAAAATGAACATGGGATGTTAAAATTGCAATTAAATGATGTCAAAATGATAATAAAAATTAAAAATAATAATGATAATAAAATGTTGTTAAAATAACGATTAAATGATGGTAAAATTATAATAATGTGGTGTTAAAATTATGATAAATAATGATAAAATAAATATAAAATGACGATCAAATGATGATAAAATTATGTTAAAATGATAAAATTATAAAATGGTGATAAAAATGATGTATTAATTTTATTATGATAAAATGATAATAAAAATGATAATGATAATAAAATGATGATAACATGATAATAAAATTATCTTGAATTTAAGAAATAAATGATGATAAAATGATGTTGAAATAATTTTATAATGGTGATAAAATGATGTTAAAATGACGATCAAATGATGATAAAATTATAAAATGGTGATAAAAAATGATGTAATAATTATATGATGATAAATTGAGGATAAATTGATCATGAAATGTTAAAATTGCGATTAAATGATGATAAAATAATAATAAAATGATGTCAAAATAACGAATAAATATTTTAAAAATAATAAAATGGTGATAAAATGATAATAAAAATAATAATGATAATAAAGTGATGTTAAAATATCGATTAAATGATGATAAAATTATAATAAAATGGTGATAACATGATAATAAAATGATCTTAAATTTAAGAAATAAATAATATTATAATGGTGATAAAATGAAGATGAAATGATAATAAAATGGTGATAAAATTGGTAATAAACTTAGAATCAAATGGTGATTAAATGAGGATAAAGTGATAATAGAATGACGATACAATTATACTAAAATGATGTTAAAATGATACTGCTGTTGAATTTCCGTAACTACTGGTGGTTTGAAAAGTTTTTGTATGGTAATAATTCTGAATAAAAATTATTTTTATATTTTCCGCTATAGATGCATTTTTTTATATGAAAAGGATACCTCAGTAAACAGAGTAGGAGAAGATAGTGAGTGTAGATTATGTGAGGAGGAGGACGAAACCTCTATTCACATCCTGATTGAATGTATAGCCCTCTAAAATCCAAGGGCACTATACTTAACTACAAATCCTATTATTTCTTAAGAAGATAGGATTGAAATGGTCGTTATAGGAATCGATAGATTTCCTTTCTGCATTAGCGACAGAAGGGGGCACAATGGATCTTTAGGTCGCCGTGTATTAACACCCCATTCCCAACATAAAAAAAACAAATATCAAAAATATTGATAAATCACATATTATAAACTACTGTTTTGTTAGGCACTGTTTATTCTACCTCTATAGTTCCGAAGGAAGATACGAATGATGACTGAGAGTGTACGAAATGATCATTACAAGCGCATTATACCAGGAGGCAGCACTTGCGTGACGTTTTATCCACTATCTTTGGAAAATTTTTAAAAACTAATAAAAATACATTTTGAGGTCAAATTTGGTTATTATATTTTGAATTTATTAAAATAGACGGAATTGAAATTTGAAAATACATGCATCCCTAGATAATATTTCCTAATTTATTTTGCCAAAATCGGAATTTTTTAACAAAAATTTCATTTTGAGATATCCTTGTCCGAAAATTATAAGGGACGCTGTAATCACTTTAAGAAACAGATTACGAAAATATATTGGTTTTTGGTATATCTCGTTTTAAACCATTCTCACATTCATCTTGTATTTAAATTTGTAAAGTACGCTGTTGATCAGTCATTGCGCTAAAGTTCTGTAGAAATTTTGGATGTTACGAGGAAAAGAACATTTTTCAGCGGAGGGTATGTTAGTTATGTTATATAGGGAATGGGGTGTTAATACACTGCGACCTAGAAGATCTATTGTGCTCCCTTATGTCGCTAATGCAACAAGGAAAAGTATCGATGCCCATAACTGTCTGTTTTTGAATAAAATAAAAAATATTGTCTGTCTGTAAAAGTTTTAATAATTTTTAATTCTCCTGCACATCTTATATAAGGATTAATAAGACGTTAAATTCTAATAATAACGACCCTTGGAATCCTATTTTCTCAAAGAAGTGTAGGATTTGTAGTCGCTTTAAGTTAGATAAATATCTCTCTTCTATTAGGTGTAGTGCCCTTGGATTATGGAGTACTACACATTCAGTCATAATGTGAATGGAGGTTTTGTCCTCCTCACAGAATCTGAACTCTATCTTCTACTAGTGGCGTGTATATATCGTATCATTTATTTGATATAATCACTCAACCAATATAATAGGTAACTGCAAATATAATATATTTAAAGAAAAAATAAGAGAGTGCCTAATCGAGAATGCATTCTACTTAGTTTTTGGATGCCATACCAGGAATAAATAAGTTAAAAAACTTTAAAATTTTACTGTAATTAAATTCTTTACTCAATTTTTATAACAATTTTTAAAACTGTTCATGTTGTACTGTGTTAAATTGATAAATAGGTGGATGGAAGTAGGTAGATTGTGTCTAGGTGTGCATGGAGGTGTGGATGTTAAATTTTAATTTTTTTACTATAATTTTTATTGGAACTAGTCTGTAAGTTTTATGAAATATTGCATTTGATATCTCTATTATTCAGAAATTCCTGATATTCTATTACTGCGGATTCAACTATAATACATCAATTCCTGAGGTACTTTTGAAAATTAAACTGGTAAAACTCGCTCTAATGTTCTACATCTTCTGTATTATTTTTTCCAGGGTTGTTTGGGCGAACTGAGAATCGGTGGCGTGCTATTCCCTTACTTCCAAACAGCGGAAATATACCCGAACAAAACCAACCTCAAGAAACTCTTCGAACTGACCTCGGACTCGAACGTTGACCACGGCTGCATCCTGTGCTACTCCGCCGACTGTCTGAACAAAGGAGTATGCGTCAACAGTACGGAAACGTACAAATGTCACTGTCAACCCGGCTACACAGGCGACGATTGTTCGATCGACATAAACGAATGCGAAAACAATCAGTGCCAAAACAACGCCACGTGCGTCGATCTGATCAACGAATACAAATGCGAATGTTTGTCCGGTTACGAGGGAGATTATTGCGAGACCGACATCGACGAATGTTTGAGCAATCCTTGTCGACACGGTGGGACTTGTAACGATTTGATCGGGACGTTCAAATGCGACTGCGCAGAGGGATTCGTCGGTAGGCAGTGCGAAGCGCCGTTGTTGATTACTTGCGAGAACCGGCCGTGTAGGGAGGGCGCCACTTGTAAGACGGGTCCGAATGAGGTTACTGGACACAACTATACTTGCTTCTGTACGGAAGGTAAGATTTTTATTAAATGTGAGGGTAGCTGTAAGTGAATTAAGTAGGCCACTATAGATATTCATTAGTTATCGACTTATATTGTAGATAGGACTACTAATTTTTATTTAATTTCTTTGGTGTCCTTTGATAATGTTTTTATGAGCCTCGTAATACTTTAATTTGACCCCATTTTAACTGTTAGAACCTAAACAGATTTCCATTTTTTTATTAGGCATGGAAGGCGATCTGTGCGACACAGCGTTCTGTTCCAAAAAACATTGCGAGCACGGTTTCTGTAACATCAGCGGCGAGGTGCCGTTCTGCGACTGCCAACGAGGATTCGAAGGAAAATTCTGCGAGATCGACGTCAACGAATGCATCCTACCGAACGGCGGCGGACCTTGTCAAAATGACGGAATCTGCATGGACGAAATCAACAGATACACCTGCAATTGCGAAGGAACAGGTGACATTAGAATAGTTATATTCTTCAACGAACATAGAATAATAGCTATATTCTATGCGAGTTGAAGACTATACTTTCTGCACGACTGTTATAGAATGTTATACAGGGTGATCTCAAAATCTAAAAATTTTATATAGTGGAGCAAAAGTCAGGATTTTGGCAAAGAATAACAAACAAAAGATCAAGTAACTAAGTAAGCGTAGTGTTTTAAGGGGATTTCTATTATTAAATTAGTTAACTACATTGAAAACAAATAGGTACTTAAAAACTATATGAAAATTAATGCGAAGATATTTCAATCGAAATATCTTCTCGAACTGGATAATTATTCTTAAGATTTTTTTACTCTATCTTATCTTTTAAGCAAAGTTTTCCTGGAAAAGCGTTTGATACAAATTTTTCCCTAATTTCCGAGGAACATAATTATGTTTAAGGTATTGGGAAAATTTCTATTAGATTGTTAAGAATGTCGAGTAGTAGCTTTTCGCTGAAACAATTTCTTTTTTGGATTTTTACCAAACTAAAGGAATTTTCCGAAACGGATAAATCCGCTGTCGAAAAAAGATGGAAAACTGCTTTCCCGAAGGAAATTTTAGAACCTTTCGATATGATTCGATAGAGAAACTTTAAGGGGAATATTTACGTGCCAGGATGTCAAAAATCTCCAGTAGTATCCGTGAATTTAGGTTATCCGGAAAATTCGTTGGAAAAGTCTGAAAGTTCGCCTAAACAATTTCTTTTCTTTCGATTTTTACCGAACCAAAAGAAATTTCTTGAAACGAATAAATCCGTTGTCGAAAAAAAGTGCGTTCTCGAAGGAAATTTTAAAACCTTAAAAAATGATTCGAATGAGAAAATTTACGGGGGCCATTTACGTGCCAGACTGTCTTCGGAAAAGTCGGTAAAATTCGTCGAAACATTTTTTCTTTCGATTCTCACTAAACAAATGGAAAATTTTCTGACATGATTCGACAGTAGCGAAATTTAATGGGTTAGTTTAGGCCCTACGGGTTCTTTTTGTTAGGCATTCCAACGTCCTGTCAAACAATAGCTGCCAGTGAGAAGGTCTCGTATATCTAAGGGGGTAGCGACATAGTCTTGCATCTTGGACGCTATTTTTATTCGAAATAGTATTCGCCAAACCTGTCAATTTATGAAAAAATGTAAAAGCGATTTTTTTAAATAATATATTTATTGTGTTCGACCTAAAATATTTAAATGTAATCATTTATTCATGATTTTACGTATTATATATAGAATACATCGTATGTCGCAACCCTTAGATATACCAAACCTTCACACTGACAATTCATTTGTTTGACAGGACATTGACGATCATTTTTACAGGTTACACGGGACTCCTTTGCGAAATCGACATCAACGAATGCGAAGACGGCCGCGAAATGTGCGGCAGCGCGGGAAAATGCGAAAATATGCCCGGTTCGTATCGATGCATATGCGATTCGATCAAAGGAAAGTGCGGGCACCAATGCGATTTAGACGATCCTTGCGAAAAGGAACATCCCTGCGTCCACGGGGTTTGTCATTCCAAATGTACTGATAAACCGGATTATTCCTGCGATTGCGAACTGAATTTCACCGGGAAAAATTGTACCGATTTAAAGGTAAGTTAACATTAAAGTTTTGGGTTATTTGTAATATTTGTAGATCAAAATATTGTCTAATAATTATTGTATAGTTTTATTTTCGGAAAGAATCCTGAACTGTTTCAAAACTATAAATTTATAGGGATGGGTATTTTTCTGAAAAGTAATTTTTGGACTTGTCTGATAAAGTAGTACAAAGTGTTGACTTTGAAAAAAAAAAAATAAGGGCCGTCTTAATCAAGCTAGTAACTTATAACGACAAAATTGGGCTATTTATTTAAAAATGTGGCATTCCAGATTTATTTTCCAAGATTCTAGACATCTTCACCTAATTCTAGATTAGTCTAAACTAAGTGCTTTCTCCAAAAATTGCAATTTCGTTATTATTCATCGTAGGGTCGAATATTTTCCAGAATAGTGTATTTACCAAATTCTAGAAGTCAGTCATTTATGACGTTTGATAATAACCGACCAGAATTTCGGAGATTGATTTATTTCATGGCCCAAATAAGGCAGATAGGGATTTGAGGAACTTGAGCAGGACCGGACTGGTCGACAATGGCTCGCATTACACTATTAGTTCAGGATTTTTAACGTGAACGAGGCATGCCTTGCAAAAAAATCAATCCATAGCACATAATTGAATAGAAACGCCAATAGTATGCTGAAATTTATTCTCTCACAGTCTATAATTGGTTTTGGAATCACACATTACTCATTTGTACTCTATGACAAAGCATTTTTGGATGGAACCAGCCACTTAAAAAGCCTTAACCCATAAAAATAACCATACATTTTTGTTTTAGGTGGCAGCTAGTCAAAGCGGGGGTGAAATCAACATCTTGTACATAATAATCCCCATAGTCCTTGCCATAGTAATAGCCCTAGCGGCCGGTTTATCTATCCTCGTTAAAGTGGCTCGAAATAAACGAGCTACCAGGGGTACTTACAACCCCAGCGCGCAGGAATTTTCTAATCCTAGAGTCGAATTGGATTATATGCTTAAACCACCACCCGAAGAACGGCTTATTTAAGTTCACGTTGAAGATATATAAACAAGTAATTAAATTCAATTTTAAACTCGATTTGACATAGTCGAAATGTAACAAATATAGTTTTATGATTTAATTGTCGATTACGTCAAATCGATAGATTTTCATACAGGGTTTTTGAAATATGTGTACATATTAAAACCGGTTAATATTTGAACTTTTATCGTTTGCACAAACATACAAGTATTAAAAGTAATTTTAAAAAGTCGACTTCAAAATCGTGCAGATGCCGTCACCACATCTTAACCAAATTTATTTTTGGTCCACCCCTGAGGTACCCCCTTACTAACAAAAAAATAATCCTTGAAATCGGACGCCGTGTTAAAGAATTATCGCTGAACATACATAAAAAAATTAAAAAAATATATTACGACGAATTGAGAACCTCCTCCTTTTTTGAAGTCGGTTAAAAATTAATGTAGGCCTCTGCAATTTTGAGGTAGGTTAGTTATAAATAATTTATTTCATGTAGTTTAATTTTTATTTCATTGTCTGTAGTTACCCGGTGGGTCTATTAATGACAACGTTACCAATGCCTTATGATTTAGAAAAGTTATTCTAGCTCAAAATGAAGAAATTTCGTCAGTTTAAGTGCCCAAACAAAGGCGAGTGAAATAATTCAAGAATACATTCCAGAATCCAGGGGGTGATATCAAACCAAAGAAAAAATTAATAATTGTTTGTGACTAGAAAATAAATGGAAAAAGATTCGATAAAACGTCTTAGCGTCGAATTTTGTACTCAAATTAACAATTAGGTCGCTTGATGTATAACGGTTATGACATCACCGTTTCGTTTTAATGCGGTAATGTCTCCACTATTGTCAACTAAAATAGTTGCAGAGGTCTCCCGAAGGCAATGTCACGTATATTCATAAGAATTTGATGATTTCAAAAACGTAGCACGTCATTTGGTACGTTTGAAATTTTATGTATGCCCATGACCATGCGGAAGACACACGCGGAATTTTAGTTAGTTTTAATTGTATCTAAATTATCTATGTTTTCTACTAACTCCGGAGGCGTACATTGCAATTCTTGAGATATTTTTCAACAAAATTTTCAAAACAGACAAACGTCAAATTAAATAATTTTAATAATGACAGTTCCTACCTACTCGATTACAACGCCCGATGCAAGCGTTTCTCATTATTATTTTACTAGTACAATAATCGAAAATTCATTTTTGTACTAGTACAATAATAGAATATCTCTAAGGTCTGTGTTGCAAAAAGTAATATAGTTATTATTATACGCTTGAAGAAAAAATCATTTTTTTCATTTGATTGTTATAAAACTGTAAATTTGTAATATTTCTATATATAATTTCTATAAATTATTAAATTATATTTTGCAAACCGTTGGTGACACAAAATATAAGCACCGGTTTCCGAGATATTCGATAAAAAAACGGATCAGTTCCATTTATGTTTTTCCTCTACAGTACATTTGTTGTCAAAACTACAAAAAAACTCATTTACTATGTACACGTATTTCAAAAACACCTTGTATATTATTTCGTTTATAATAATTTATACAATATCGTTTTTTGAAACATATACTTTTACCAATTTATTTAAAAGTACCTTCCAAAAATGCTTGTTTTTCCTCCGTCAATAACGGAGAGCATATGGGTGCATAGAAAACAGGACTGTATTAGTTAATAACGGTAGGAGAGCTAAAAACATTTTTTTAGTGCATATTTACAAATTTATTATTAATTCTTGCCTTGTAGAAGATGGAAATACTTCGGATCGCGAATTTCAAAGTTGAGAGCGCTAACAACCTGAGCCATGAAGGCTTGTGTCACGTTTATTATCTAATAAAATATGCGGCTTTTTTAAAACGTCTTTTTCGAGTGCTCCACCATTGCAGGGCAAAGTATTTCTATGTTTCACAAGGTAAGTATGAACGAAAAATTTGTAACACACCTAAAAGACTCCACAGGCTCTTCTGCCATGTGTAAATTGTAAATACAAACAATTAATTTCTACGAGGTGTCCAAAAAAGTACCTTTTACCTAGTCATCTATCTGCTTTTATGTATACCGAGTGACAATGAAACCAAGGCCACGTTAATATCTCTTTTATTTATCAATCGATTTGGATCCAATCTGGGACAAACGTACTAGACATAATTTAGAATTGACACGTACCTAAACAAAGTGGCCGGATATTGTTTTATCGGGAATGCCATTAAGTTTGATAAAAAATAAATTTCTAAAAACTAGTTTTTTACCAAAAACTAGTTTTTTACCAAAAACTTACTTTTTTAAATGGCACCTATTGAGTGCCATTTTGCTATTATATGGCGAATTTCATTATCAATATGACAATGTGCACCATGCCAGTTTATGACCTACTGATTTAAAAATAAAATAAGAAAATTGGAAGAAATTAAAATTTGGCAACACTGTAATATGTAATTTGAACCGTAGATTCCAAAAAAACAAAATATATAAAACGACCCATTGAAAAAATCAAACCTAATGTCATTTTGTATAGAAAATTTGTCGTAAATTTGATCCAAATCGTTTTATAAATAATATAAATGTTACCCTAATTTGCATATGTCAGAAGTCCATTTTTACTAATTTTACAGAAAACAGGAAAAACAATAATGAGAATCTTACAAGCGTAGTTAAGACGTTTTCTAAAACGACTTATATGCAGCTGCAGGTTTTTTATTATGTAGATTACTAACATGTTAGCGAGATGACGACAAAATCTCAATTTTGACAAAAAGTGGACTTCCAACATTTGTGAATGAATCTCATATGATGATTGTAAGTAACACAACACTCGGTACAATATAAAAACCGGTTTACTTTGCACAATTTCACAGCTTAATGCAATACGATACATTTTTGGAGCACTATCATTAAATTAGATCACAATCGGGGCTACCGGCTTAGTAGTTTTATACCTACCACGTTTGTCTATTCTATGCACTTTGATCGATTGTAAACGAGTATCGAGTCTTACAAAATCGATTTTATAATTTCAGATAGCAGCTAGCCGAGCCGACGGTGGCATCAACATCCTATACATAATAATTCCCATACTCCTCGTCCTAGTTATAGCTCTAGCTGTCGGTCTGGCAGTGCTGCTGAACGTCGCTCGAAGTAAACGAGCCACCAGGGGCACGTACAGCCCTAGCGCGCAGGAATTCTCCAATCCCAGGGTCGAATTGGACCATGTACTTAAACCGCCGCCCGAAGAACGACTCATCTAACTTATTTAAGTTTAAAAAATTTAAAAAAAGAGTTCTATATTTCGTAACCAAAGAAACTTGAAATAATTGAGCTTATCGTTAAAAAAAGTATTTTGATATGATTTTTCTATGATTAGAAACAATACTGCTCGACTCAAAGATGGTCCGAACGGGGAAACAATGTATAATAATAACAGTAGTGATGGGATAATTCGAATGAAAAATAATCAGTCTTTCGATTATTAAATTGTTTTGAGATGTTTCGTGAAGTTCAACTGGGTCATTCGAATGATCAGATCATTCAGATACACTCGGTTTACTTTTAAATCATTTACAAAATACATTGTATATCTATTTTAGTAAAGAAATCCTCGGATTACGAGGAATCTCTGGACTGGTGTTTCTCCGGCATGCTAATGTTGACGTTTGTTCTCTTAAGTAATAATAAGTTAACTCCTTACCAAATCGATATTATTTAACTATTATTATAGTTAAATGGGCTAAAACAGCGGTAATTTAATTATAATGTCTATTTTCCTTGAAAAAGCTATTGAAAAAACAGTTTCAAGGTGTTTACAGTTAAATTAACACAAATAAAACATATGTAATAGATTTTCTCTTGAAATATTCCAGGAAGCTGCAATCTACTTCGCCTAGAAAGAGTAGAGGCCATACCGATGTCATAGCCGTGGTGTTATTCGCGTTTTAATTTAATTAATTTTGATTATTTTAGAAACCTTGCTTTACTAAGCATTATAAGTATTTTGGTTTGCTTGCTAGATCGGCAGTGGTGTATTGTCTATAGTTTTTGTTTGAGTTTAATTATGTAATAAGTCGATTTCAAGACAAATCGGTGACGTCACCGTGCAGTCTTCCGTCCGACCACAGTTAATAACTAGTGATGACATTTTTCCGACGTAACGCTCCGCCCACCGTTCAGTCTACCGGCCGACTATAATAATTAGTGACCACATACCACATCTGAATTGAGTGGTAAATACTGTATTTAGTAATCTCCACAATGCTATGCGTTAGTTAGATTTAGATTGGTAGTATTATTAGAATTGTTTTGAAAAGTGCAACAACAAAAAAAAGGAAAACATGGAAAGTGAGTTCGTTTTATTGATATTGATAGATACTGGCATAAAAATCTTGAGATCTCGTGATATCTGAGTGGTAGATCATTCGAATAATAATCCAATTATTCAAATCACAGGCATATTCATAACTTGATTATTAGAATAATGCCCATCACTTGTTCTTTATTTCTTTTCATTTCCATCATTATTCCCAAATACTGAAAGAACTGAGAGCGATACAGAGGGTCGATATAAAAAATGGTGGAAACCAAATTTGTTTTTTTATATCTGCTGTAAAATTATTATACTCTGACCTCGATAGTTTTGATAATAAGCTGACGATAATATGACATTTATATCTCAAAATTTCCCAATGCGGTTAAATTATTAGGATTTTTATTTTTTGCTACAAAAATGATTAATTTTTATACATCTAATTGAAACTCCATTTTAAGTTCCTATTAACTCGTGTTACTTAAATTTTTATAAAGTAATTGATGTGAATTATTTGGTTTAATTAAAATTTGTAAGATGAACGATGTGAACAAATTGATATTGTAGGATCAACGAGGGACCAAATTATTATTTTTTTAAGTATTAGCTCAAGTAAACCCAGTACAGTGGTGCAGTGAGGGGGAGGTTTTAGGGGTTGAAAGCTCCTCCAGACCCTGACGCGAAACCAGGCGATTTTGAAATCGAAAAAGTTAATCTAGGTGAAAAATATATATTTTAAATACTCCCAATTTTTTTTTTCAAAACCCCTCTAACACAAAATTTTGGCTGCGCCACTGAAACAGTATATAGAACAAGTTATGTAAAAAAATATTAGTTAGGTTAAGCCTAACTTTTACTAACGTAGATAGATAGGTAATAATATTATTTTGTTATTATTCTTCTTTTTCTTTAAATAAATAATGCTCATGCTTTATTAGGTACAAATTGATATCATTTCTTGCGTTTTTGTTCTACAAATGATTAATCGTATTATTTTGTTTCTCTTATACTAAGTATACTTAATTATATGTACTTAATTTTTGAATTTATGCAGTGTGGAAACTGCTTTTAAAAATTAGTTATACTGTTTATAAATTCTAAATTAAATATCTGCAGGTTATTTTTCCTTAAATATATTCTTTATGTCTATGCGTTTACTCTTTGTCACTGCCTCCTTTGCTTTAAGTGCCATCTTGTGCGTCTATTAAAACACTGAGAACATCAACATATTTGAAATATTCGGATTAAGTAGCAGTGCGGGTTATCTCGTTCAAAAACGCGTATATTCTCGTTAAAAGAGCGGATATTCTCGTCTAAAGCCGTTAAACGTTTTTTACAACAGTTAAATATATTTTTTAAAACAGTTTCTCTTCTGCAAGATATACTTACATTTTTATTAACTGTATTTTGTTTCTCTTATGCAAGGGTACTTAATTTTTGAATTTATGCAGGGTGGAAAGTGTTTTTAAAAAGTATTTTCTATATACGTTCCTGCAATATACATTCTTCTTACTTATATCTTTCTGTTACTGCCTCCTTTGCTTTAAGTACCATTTTGTGCGTCTATTGAAACACTGATTACGAGAATAATCGAATTAAGTAGCAGTGCGGGTTATTTCGTCTAGAAACGCGTATATTCTCGTCTAAAGCCATCAAACGGTTTTTACAGCAGTTAATTATATTTTTTTAAAACAGTTTCTGCGCTGCAAGATATAATATTTACATTTTTATTCTACAAACTACTTTTTTTTTACTGTATTTTGTTTCTCTTATACTAATTGTACTTAATTTTTAAATTTATGCTGTGTGGAAAGTGTTTTTAAAAAGTATTTTCTGTAAACGTTCCTGAAATACACATTCTTCTTACTTATCTCTCTCTGCCACTGCCTCCTTTGCTTCAAGTACCATTTTGTGCGTCTATTGAAAAACTGATTACGAGAATATTCGGATTAAGTAGCAGTGCGGGTTATCTCGTCTAGAAACGCGTATATTCTCGTCAAAACCGCGGATATTCTCGTCTAAAGCCCTCAAACGTTTTTTTACAGCAGTTAATTATTTATTTTTACAAACAGTTTCTTCACTGCAAATGATTATTTATTGTTATTTTTAAAAGCACTTATTTTTAGGCCAGTTATGTGTAAATTTAAATTTTTTATTGTCAGGTGCTTGCAAATGCCCATTGTTTTGTTATGTTTTAGCAATTTGTTTGTGTGCTATGTAGCACTATATTGTTTGTTGTATTTGATTGGAATTACATAGAAAGCCTTTGCAAATGCCTGTCAATGTTCGTTACGTCATTGGTTTAAAATATGTAAATACAGGACAAATCAAAATATTCCTGGCAAATTTAATGGTCATAAAATTTTTATTGAATCTCTATTTTTGTTTTATATTAGAAGTGACTAATTTTAACAAACTTGTAACTAATGATGCTTTTTTTATATATAAAACTTTATTATTATTATTATTTAAAGAGCAATAATTTTTTAAATGTAGATGCGAGACCGTCCATGATGTAAAAAATTGTGATAAATATATGAAATCGTTTTTACAGTGTATGCCCAAATCGCCTTATTGTTTTTATTAAGTTAGACCAAAGTATTTACTGTGTACATAAGTATTTTTTTAATTCATTCTATTTTTCTATGAATAATGTTGGGATTAATTTTTAAGGGGGCAGTTTTGGCTGTATTAATTTTCGAAAATGTTCCCTTAAAATTATGTTTCATATTTAAAATGTAAATATGATAATTATCGGACTTTTTTTTTCTCAAATATAACTTTGATAAACTGTACAATATATTAAAAAATAAACATTCAAATTTATTTTTGTTTTCTTTTAAAATATTCCTCTTTCCACTAATCATCAATATAAAGAACAATAATCCCCAATAATCCTTAAAAATTGGGAGGGTTTTCTTTTTTATCACAGTAGCAACAGAGAAGAAAATATATAAATTATGGAAAAAATATCCCCCCTCCCAAATTTTTGTCTCTTAAAGGTATAAGTTTAAAGCATTAAGTTCCTATTTAGACATTTGGCAACGGTGTAATATTCTTCAAACACTCTGAAAACTCGTGTCCATTTTTACTTTTCTTTCTATACAGATAAGGAATCACAATTTTTTCGACCTCGAGTTTTCGACGGATTTTTACGTTTTGGGGTCCCCGCAATCCAATTTGACTATTTTCGCGATGATTTATGCGCGTGTGGTCTGTATACTCGATAACAGATTCAGAGAAATACACCAAATTTCAAACTTAAGCCTTATTCCGGCCTGCGGTGAACTGATTAGATTTTGGGCAGAGTGGGAACATCTGGGGGGGTACTTTATAGGGGGTTGTTTTCATATTTTATGGAATATATCTCTTATTTACAGTTAGAGAAGAAAATTCTTCAAATAAAAGTTATTTCTTATGTTATTCTCTATAATTTTTGACCTATAATAAATTTTCTTAAAATGGCCCGTATTCGAGATATTTGAAAAAATGTAAAAAATTCAAATTTTTAAAAAAATTGTTCAAATAAAAGTTTTGTGATATCAATCTCTACAATTCTTATTCTATACATAATTTCTCTAAAATGGACCGTATTCGAGAAAAAGTATAAATTTTGAAGAAAACTCAAAAACGAACAAAGAGAAATACACCAAATTTTTTTTAGATGTCCAGAAGGATTTTGGGATTTCGATTTAGTTGAAAATATGGGCATAAATATAAAGAATGCCTCATAGAATTCAAAAAAGTGATGTTGAACACGCATTGCTTTCAAAACCTCCCATTTTCTGGCAACTTTTAGTGTTACAAAACCCTTCCATGGACCACCGATTGGAAACCACTGGACTAAAGGATGATTATAGTCAGGTAGCAAAAACATTTTTTGTAATTCTATTATTTTAAATTCGAATAACTCTTAAACGACTATTGTTAGAGAAGAGCGATCAAATCATTCAAATTTATCAGTTTTGAGCTACATTAAAAGAACAATTTTTTTTTGTAATTTGCTGTATGTTATAAGCAAATTAACAATTTTAAATAGAAGCCCTTCACAAGATCTTTCCACCTTGTGCATTATATAAAATTGCAGAGTTATCTGCAAATTATATAATTCTCCCAACCAAGTTGATCAACAAAAGGTATTCAAATATATAAAAAATGGCACTGGTCCTAAAACCGTGCCTTTTTGACCACCAAAATTGTTTTTACTAGTTTACCTATTTTGACAATTTGCTTTGTGAGATATCTTTCAAAGAGTTTCAAGGAAGTTCTTCATATTCCAAGATCCTGCATTGTCCAATAACCGAGGAAGACTCACAATGTCAAATGCCTTATCATCTAAATTTTCGTACATGGCCTCTCCCTAAATCCAAATTGTGCGTCACTTATTAGCACATAAAATTTATTTAATCTTTCTAATGCATTTTCAGACTGTTGCAACATTAGAAATTAAAGATATGGGCTGATGATTCGCTACGTCCAGTTTGTCTCCATTTTTAAATATTGGTGTTGTTTTTGCAGATTTTCTCAATACAATTTTTAAATATATATTTATAAAGAACAGGGGTTCATATAGTTTCAACAGAAACTTCTTTTAGAATTTCCGTTGTTATATCATCTTGTGCCAGGGATTTATTATTTTTTTAGATAGTTTATCATTGTTGTAATTTAATAAAAGCGGTGGAGAACACACTGGGAAACAAAGAGGTAATGCTGGGAGCATTCTTGTATATCGAGGGTGCATTTGACAATACCTCCGTTGAATCGATCATTAGATCTCTCAAACACGGAGGAATCGAGGACACGTGCCTTATGGGAGAGGCAATAGCGGCACGGGTAGCGGGAGGATGTCCGCAGGGTAGAGTACTGTCTCAACTCCTGTAGAACCTTGTAGTGGACGAGCTGCTTAGGGCTCTCAAAGATATGGGACATAGAACCCTGGGATATGCCGATGATCTAGTGATCATGGCACAGGGAAAATACAACACTATAGTAAGAGATCGAATGCAAGAAGCTCTAAATATAGTAACAAAATTGACAGAGACGGAAGGACTAAACATTAGCTCAAACAAATCTGGCATAATTGCATTCAATCGCAGGAGGAAATTGGAGGGACTAGGGCCTCTAAACCTAAGAGGTGCAAGCATCCAGCTTAAGGGGGAGGTAAAATATCTCGGGGTTGATTGACTCGAGACTTACCTGGAACCAGCATCTAGAAAAAACCACAAGGAGAGCGGAAACATCGTTAATGATAAAGCTGGGGGTTAAAACCAGACATGGTATATTGGCTTTATAACATGGTGGTGAGACCAATAATAACATACACAGCTTTGGTGTGGTGGCCAAAGACACAGCAAAGGAAAGCAATAACGAGGCTAAGCAAGGTACAAAGACTTGCCTGACTCGGAATAACGGGGGCAATGAAAACAACCCCCACAGCTGCAATGGAAGCACTAATAGGACTCTCACCTCTTCACTATGTGTTACAAGAGGAGACAAGATTAGGGACTTATGTGCCGACTATGTCACAAGAAACCAACCAGAAACGGCCAAACACATACTTTGCGAATGCGAAGCTCTAGATCACAAAAGACAGGCACTTTTTGGACAACCCTAGGTTGATCTAACAACGTATAGAACCCACTCACCCAAGGATCTGTACAAACTTGTACAAGGTGCAAAGCTGACAGAGTGGGTGCTATGAACTAACATGGGGTAAAACACAATAAGATTCATTGTTATTCGGAGACATAGTCAGACGAACCCAGGAGAAAAAAAATTAATTTTTGTCAGTTGGAGCCAAGAAAATGCTCTTTCTTAAGTATTTTCTAGGAGGAGCAGTTGGAGGTGTTTATTAGAAGAATATGTTTTCCCTACCACTGAATAATTATAAAATGTATTTACTATTTCTTATGTTGTTTTTGTAATAAATTAACAGTTTTCATTCGATGTCATTGTTTTTCCTGTTTTCTATATGTGTTTTGGAAAATTAACTATTTTTTTTATCCAACATTTATATTTTTTATTTAATTGTTTAAATGTTCTAGAAGTTAAAAATTCTTATTTAATTTGTTAATCCTGTATTTTTTTATAATTTTTGTACATCATTATAAAACCTTTTGTTATACACTCATTGTGTTTTGATTCATTTCTTTCATTTAAAAATACAAGTATTTTGAATTTTAAATGTATTAAAAATGTACAGCAAATGTAAAGTTTTATTTATATAATTCAAATCCTTAAAATTAAAAAACATCCAAATAATTAATCAACTTTCAATTCTATATCTTCCTTATTTTCAAAATTCTCAGTTTCCAATTTTACATCTAAGTTATCCTCATTTTCTAAGCTACTAATTTTCTTATTTTCTAAATTATCCTTATTTTCTAAGCTGCTAAATTTCTGATTTTCCAACTGATTTTGATCAAACTTTTCCGCTATTACTATCAGTTCCTTTTTCAATTTATTATCCTTTATCCACTTCTTTGGTTTCTTTGGCTTTTTCTTTGTATTGCTCACCAATTTTTCTTCAGATTTTCTCTTTTTGTAGTCCCTGTTGAGTTTATCATATTTCAATTTCATTTTATTCAAATCCGATTTTAAAATGTTCCATTCTATCACAGTGTCTGGCAGTTGATGTTTAGTTGGATCTATATTATGCGAGTATTCTGGAATTTCTAAACCTAGTTTTTTCATCACTTTAATCAACACATCATCTACATATGTGTTAATGATGAGATCAGCTTTTTTATCCTAAAAAAAGTATATGTCTTATATAAAAAGTATTTTATATTAATTTCAGTTTCTTACATGTTTGGTAGGTTGAAGATTCACTATTACTACTTTTCCATTATATTTTTTACTTCTTAGGGGTAAATTTCCACTAGGAACGATTTGCAAAGTAGTTCCTAAGCATATATTCAGTTCTGCAAGACTAAAATAAAAAATCAGTACAAATTTGCTAAAAATGGAACAATTTAATAAAAAAGATATACTATATTTGACACACTGAAGAGATGTGGCAATAAAACTGTGTGATTAACATGTGTTTAGAGCTGGACACTCAAAGCCTTCTTTGACAATAGCTGGTTTTCATAGATTATTATAGGAGATAAACCATGCATATTTTTCAGTCAGTCACATAGAAAACAGTCAGCTTTAAACTGATAAACTAAAACACTCATTTCTATTGTTGACTATCTTCAGACAGCAATTGGACAGTCATTTTAGGTGGATGTACAAGTGATCACTGCATCTCTTCGGTGCAGCAAGTATAGTCATAATTGTTCACATTTCACTATGAATTTCTATTCCTATTAAATGAACTTACCTTGATTGGTAGTCTGACATTTCTAGATCATGTTCAGGCAAATTATCCTCCCAATCAAGAATAGTATCATGAAGTTTACCCCTACAACTCCGCCCTCTAAGCACAGCAGATCTTTTGCAGTCTTCATTTAGGCATTTTTTGCCTACTGTAGATGTTGCTTCAGGCATTACGAACTGACTAAAATAGTAATATTTGTTAAAAATTAAAAATGATTATGAATTAAAGACACTTATGTACCTTTCACATGTATTACATTGTCCTATAAACATATTGCCATGAAGTTCAGCTATATTTTTTCTAGAAATGCCCGTTTTTAAATGTAATCCATCAATATTTTGGCTTATAATATACTGCACCATATCCTTATCTATTAGTTGTTTAAGTGCCATGTGAGTTTTTGTAGGGATGGCTTCATTAAAAGATATATTTATATTAGGTTTCTCACCTCTTTTTTCTAATGTCCATACGCCATTTGGGCCTCTAAAACAATCAAAATTATTATTATAGCAATTAATTGAGATTTTGAGAATTTAATTACCTGAAATCTGGAATACCAGCTGAAGTACTGATTCCTGCCCCTGTATGGACCACTACGTGTTTGGAATTTTTTATCCATTCTGCCAAAATTTCGCACTTTTCATTTACTTTGTCTTCAGATTCAAATTTCTAGAAAACGCCAGTAAACTAGTTTCTATATTATAATAAAAAAATAAATTAAAAGTTACCTCTGGAACTCCTAGAACTCCTTTATTTTCATATTCGGACAAACCATCAGCGTAACTACAAGACATCTTGGTATTTTTATCGAGAGCATTACAATCTGAATTACAATAAATTTCTATTGTTTACCAATTCATGGCAGTAGTAAACATAACATAACCTCATTAATTTCAGCGCTATCAACAGATCAACACGCTGAAAAACAAACGACATTTTCCATTGGAGTGTTCAGTACGTTCTGACTGTTCTGAGTGTTTTCTCACTTTTTTCTATTCCATATCAATAAACAAGGACACAAATATACTCAGTGCGTACTGACAGGGCCAATGGAAAACACCACAAAATCATAAAAACGACATATTTCCCTTTCTCTTCCTCCTTACCAGCAGCAACAGTGTATGAGAGAGACGACAGATTTAGGATTTTAAGATGGCGTCTTCTAAGACCTTCTACAACTAGACTAGAAATTTGCAACTAATGATTTTTTGTTTTACCAAGCAAACAAATCCTGTATTTTTGTACTTTTTACAGTTATACATTTATTGAATTTTATCAGATTAAGAAAAAATGTAAAAATGACTAAGCTAAATGTCATGGAACATGAGAAAATACGTTATAAATAATTGTATTTCTATTATTTTAAAGATTGTATCCATAAAAACATATTATTGTAGTAATTACAATCAAAATAATTTGGATGTTACATTTAAACTACTTTTATACGAACTCCAGATGTTATTAAAGTCAAAAAATTCTTATTTGGTGTGTTCTTCAAGGATCCCATTGTGGTCTGCTTCTTTTTACTTTCCTATCTGTATACAGATATAAGGAAAGTATAGGAATCATGATTTTTTTCGACCTCGAGTTTTCGACGGATTTTTACGTTTTGAGGTCCCCTGAATCCGTTTTGACTATTTTCGCGATGATGTCTGTGTGTGTGTGTTTGTCTGTATAACGCATAACTCATGAACCGATACACAGAAAAACACCAAATTTTAAACTTAAGCTTTGTTTCAGCGTCCAATGAGCTGATTAGATTTTGGGCAGAGTCGGAACATCTGGGGGGGTACTTTATAGGTGGTCATTTTGATATTTTATGGAATATATCTGTTATTTACGTTTGGAGAAGAAAATTTTTCAAATAAAAGTTACTTCTAATATAATTATCTATAATTTTTGTTTTATGCAAAATTTTCCTAAAATGGTCCGTATTCGAGAAATTTGACAAAATGTAAAAAAAATAATTTTTTATAAAAATTGTTCAAATAAAAGTTGTTTGTAATATAATTCTCTTTAATTTTTATTCTATACATAATTTCTGTAAAATGGACCGTATTCGAGATATTTGAGAAAATGTGTAAATTTCGAATTTTGAAGAAAACTCAAAAACGGATAAAGAAAAAAACATTAAATTTTAAACTTAATGTTTATTTCGGCCTGACGTGAAATGATTAGATTGTGGACACAGTCGGAACATCTGGGGGGGTACTTTATGGGAGGCCACTTTTATATTTTATGGAATATATCTGTTATTAATGTTTGGAGAAAAAAATTGTTTAAATAAAAGTTACTTCTAATATTATTATCAATAATTTTTGTTTTATGTAAAAATTTCCTGAAATGGTCCGTATTCGAGAAATTTGACAAAATGTGCAAAATTCTGATTTTTATGAAAGTTTTTGAAATAAAAGTTGTTTGCGATATCGATCTCTATAAGTTTTGTTTATACATGATTTTTATAAAATGGACCGTAATGAAAAAATTGTAGGAAATTTAAATTTTTCAGTATTTTCGTTTTCCATGAATATCTATAGAAAAATGTTTCGAGGTAGATGTATGTGGACAATGTATATATTTAGTTTATCCTCTAAACATTTATAGAGATGCTGCAATAGGTTGTACAAAATAACCGGAAAAAGCCTATAATAACTAGATAGGAAAGTCATGTGTTGGACACATCAGATTTTTAATCTAATTGTGAATATTATCTATTGTATAAAAAGGATTATATCTGAAAATCTATTAGCTTAGAAATTATATGTTATAAATAATTTAATTTGTCCCAATTTCTAGGATACAATTTAATAAATTCCAGGATTTCTTTGAGCATCTCGGGGGGATTACCCTATTAACCTACCCCCAGCCCTTTGTATCTTGCCTTGGCATAATATGTATGAAAAACTTACTCTTCCTTAATGAAACGGAGTCTAAATACTTTTAGATAAAAATAAAAATGCATATTATTTTATAAATAATTTTATTTTAAGATAAAAACCTAAAAAGAAAAGGCTCCTGTATAAGGCTGCTAATAAATTAACAATTAAGTAATTATCACAATATATCTTACATCTACTATAATTCGTAAAATAAATCAAACATTTTCACAAAAATATATCATATCCTCTTTATCTTCATCGATGACTTGATATTTTTAAGTGAAAACAAACTTAACACAAAACTGTTAGCGTAATTTTAATTGACTAGATTAAGGAAATGCACATTTGATAGTATAATACAAACAAAAATTGCCGCTGAATAAAAAAACTTGGCACTTTTCCTACGATATGTTCTACATCTGTCAAAATAATCAGTTGTCACTTTTGTATACACCCCAAAATTGATAATGACAGTTGACACTATAAGTCTGCGACATTTGACATATTTGAATCGTCAGAAACAAATATAATTTATTTATGTAAGTTTTCAGATAGCAAATAAAATGTTATATGAAAACTTGCGAAAATATTTAAATATCATACATTTGTCTACAAATATCTATACATTATTTGAACTGCTACACGTTTGCGTGTTTACAATATAAAATTAACTTTTTACTAAAAATTGAACGAAGTGTATACACCTAATGATATAATCAATTCAAAATAATTATTTTGGCTCGACAACATTATGACATCGTTTTCTTTATTTACAACTATTACGTGTTTGCACTGAACTTGCACAAGTGCAATTTTACCTAAACCCTTAACTAAAGTCAGTAATAGTTAATTCAAAGAGAAAAAATCTTATCTTTCCTACATTTTTATTGATGTTGCGCCATTTGGTAGTCATAATTGCACATATTAGTTCCAGTAATAGTTAAACTTCAAAATGACTGTAACATTTACGAGCATGTTTAAATTATAAAAATCTGGAACTATGCTGTATATTAAGGTCAAGTCCACCTTGGCCAAGCTCGGTTTACAAATATAGACCTTAGTTAGTACAAGGTTTTGAAGTTTAACTGTCAAAGGGTGTTTAAAAAAATTAATACTGATAATTTTGAGTGGTCTGTCAATAAAGGTTAAGTATTTTTAAGAAAATAGTTGTCATATGTCAAACTAAACACTACATCTATAAAGAGCGATCCACAATTTTTTTCTGTAATGAATGCTCTCCGATCCACGTGAATTTTACCAAGGTCTACTTTGAAGCATTTTTTGTGGATCACTTTATATAATACTTAATTGAATACTAAAAAAAATACTTATACATTTGTGATTGTTCATTTTAAAATTAATATTACAAACTATAAACGTGTCAAAAAAACACTAGCTTTATAAACACAACCCTCTTAAATATTCATGGGGTAAGTACAAATAGAGAAGATAACATGGTAGCAAAAATATTTATATTAGGTTTTATTAAAGTTTGTTTATTAATATATGTATATACATCATTTTTAAATATTTATAATTTGTAATTAAGTAGTCTTTACATTATTTATGTTACAGTTTCTTTGGTACATACAGTTTGACTCACTTAAGATGGAAGCACCACTGTAGAACCCCTACTTGATAGACCATTTTTTTTAGGATCGTAGATGGTCAAAAAATCTACTATCTCACGAATTTTCAATAATTAAACTGCATTTTTAAGTCATGCTTTATTTTTCATTGTAGAAAATAACAAAATAATATTAGCGACTTTTTTATAAAAAATCTAAACTACACCACTGGGTTCGCATGGTCTTAAAAATTTTTTTAATTAAAGCCAAAAAAACTCTCAACGCCACTGGATTCTTTATAAATAAAGCCAAATATTTTTTTTTTAATTTAATACACATGTTAGGGGGGTGGGTGGCTCAGTATTAGAGTCTCTGCCTGCGGATCCACGGTCCCGGGTTCGAATCCGACCGTTGGCGGGGATTTTTTCATTTAATTTAATTATTTAAAATTAATTCTGATGCCTTGGTAGGATTCCCCACTCGACCATTCACTGTTGGGTTCTAATCAACAGTGCTTTTCCTAAAGTGGCGCTGGGAAACAGTAACAATGCCTATACATAACACGAGGCTAATAACCTTAGTAGTTGATGCCGATGACACCAAAATAAAAAAAATACATATGTTCATTGCCAATCATTTTTAATAATTTAGACATTCTCCATTACTAATAGAAATTCCTACTATGGACATTGAATATATAACGACAAAAAAAGTTTCAATATAAATCCAAATTAATGAATATTTAAAAAAAAATCTTCTAAGTCATCCAGATTTAAGCCCTATTGAAAAATATGATTAAAAAGTAAGTGCCTTTAAGTACTTAACACACCATGTTGATGGAAAATGTATTAGTATTACTATAAACAAATCTAAAAAGGATTAAAGAAAAAGAAATAAAGAAATGATGATTTTTCAATGTTTGTAAATTCAGAGTCGAGGAAATTGATATTAGGTGAACTACTTGTAATTAATTTAGTGAAACTCTTGTAGAATATCTTATAAAAATAAGAAACCTTTAAGGTATCATATTATTATTATAGTTTTAATTTTTATTCTTTTGTATACTTTTATTGAAAATATTATTTAAAAGACAAAATCTTTAATAAAATATTTGTAAATTGTTTATATTAAACCAGCCATTGATTGTGAATTATGAACCATTACAAATACATCGTTGAAATAATGTCATAATGCTTTCTTCTCTATTTGTATGTCTTTTAATTTGTAAAAACCTTAAATAGAATTCGTATCATTTGCATATAATTAACTCAAATTACACCGCCTTTTTATTGCCAGAAACTTCATCAGAGTAGATAGAACTTCAAAACTTCACAACATGTAAAAAAAAAATTTAAGCTAACAAATATTTGGAATCCCGCAAAGTTCCAAATCGAGCCCATTATTGACATGATATAAATGTGAAATAGACTCAATAAAGTAATTCTTCTTTATTATTAAAAATGTATTGCAAAATAATATGAATGCAGTTTTGGAGGGCAAATTTTACTTATGTGATTATATATTTATTAATACACAACTATTTTACAAACATTCTAGTTCTAGTAATTGCACTATACGAGTTTGGACTTCATTGTATATTAAAACCTAAGTATTTAACGTTTTACTAATTAATTCGGCAATTAAAAATTGAAGCGATAATATCAGACCAAGGAGACAATTACTTGGTTGGGGTTCACATAAAATTTACATTTTTACATATTTTTCACGACTACAAAGCTAAATATATATACAAAAAATAGAGCTGGTCGCTTTAAGCAGTAAATCCTTCAATTTTCTTTGTAAATATTTTGTTATTTTACCCATAGTAGATTATTTTCTGAAGATACCAGGTACCTAATGTTTGTAATATTTTTAATAACTTTATTTTTATGTTAATACATTTTTTTATCCAATTTTCCTAATTTGTCGAAGTTTCAGACATTAAAAAGGATACGAAAAATAGAAATAAAACAAATTTAACCAAATCAACTTCAATTCCACACTTACTGATTATACATGCTTATTTATTAACGACCTGTTATCACATTCGAAAGTTTAAAATAAAAAAATTACGTATAAATATAATAAAAATTAAAATAGTACTCCCGCGTTCATGTTAATAATATATGTCACGTCCTTAAAATTTAGTTAACAATTGCAACTGTCTAATATAAAAAATTAAAATAACATTTATTTAAAGCGTATCAAAATAAAAATAAAAAAATCAAGAACAATTTGTATATTTTTTTTTTGTAAAATACTTTTTAATTAAACCATTCTTAGATAGACAAGGGGCTACCTAAAATTTACTAGAATTTATAAATCCAGCACAAGATAATAAACAACAAATGTCAGTGCAGACATTATACTACTAATTCAAACATGGTAATATTAGAACTTCCCTTATAACTATTAAATAATATAAATTATATAACATTTTTGAGTTTCATTACGTAACACTTTTTGCAATACATTACAGTGACAGTAAATTTATAATAGAAAACAGCAAATATCCTGTTTGGTTCGACGACACACTCAGAAAACTCATATCGGAGAGAAAAAAACTTTACCAAAAATTTAAAAGCACACAAGTACACGCAAATTACTTAACTTACTCCGATTAACGACGTGAAGTCAAATACGGGACAGGGATTCTTATGTGTGAATACAACATGTAACGAATTGAATAGAGAGACATTACATTAGAAACGCATTCTGTGGAACGAAGATAGGCGTCTCAAGATGAATTCTGAAAGATGAGAATCCCAATGCAGAACAGATGGATAACGAATTCAAAAAACCACCAAGGACAAAGCGTATGGTAGAAATGGCGAAACCAGTATGTAGTAAATCTTCAGATATGGTGGAACTGCCAAAATTTGTGTTTTGAATCAGAAAGTTATTGGTCAAGGGGTACTCAGTGATAAAACATGTCAATTGGATAGTGAAAATAATATGGAGAAAGTACTGAAAAATCGAATCGAAAATCAAAAAGTGATAGTTGAAAGAGTTTTCAGTTATGATGAGTATTCCCAACCAAGCTGTAGTAATGTGGATAACGTATCTAAAACAGCGAACATTCCTTGCACATACCAAATAATTAGTAAATCTGAAGAATAATATCAAACAACTAGTGACATTGAAAATGTGGATGATGACCGAGACGCCAATTTTGTGCCCGAAGGTGAAGAATCTGACAAAAACGAGCCATTTAATGACAGTGACGATTCTGATAATGAGCCACTCATCAACAAAGTATTATCCAAAAGTTGTAAGCCATCAAGTCCTGATATGGAGAATAATAATAGTATGCAGCAAACAAAAAAAAAAGAATAAGCAGAGAATTGATGAAGAAAAAGAAATCAAAAGGGGAGGAATATATTACCAGAAAAGGAGTTGTCAAACCAGCCAAAGAATTTGAGCCTTTCACTACTTGTTGCAACTTTTATAAATGTGTTGAGAGAGTGTCACCAGAAGTACAAAAAAGTATTATCGAGAACTGTTATAAAAATATCACTGACAAAGATCAGTTTCTAGCTGACAGAATAAGATTCTCGAAAAAAAAAAAAAGTAGGAAGAAAAAGTCAAGATACTAAACCCGGAAAAAGGAAAAATAGGGATATCACGGTCTTATACTTTGCTACTTTATCTGGCACAGAAATTAAGATTTGCAAAACTATGTTCCAAAAAGTTCACGACATTACAAGAGGCAAAATTGATTTTATATTTCAAAAGACACAGAAGCCAGCCACGGGAATTGTTAAAGAAAACTTAGGGGAGCCACGCAAGCCAGTAAATAGTAGGGATAATGAAAGAGAAGCAGTAATCAAACACATTAACAGTTTTCAAAAATATCATAGTCATTACTCCAGAAGCCATACAACAAAGCTATACCGTACAAATGAAAAACCGTTATGCTAAACTATTCAGGGAAAACATGTGACAGGCTCACAAATGAACTTAAATGTGCATCTACTGAGGAAGAACGGAACGAGAAAGCTCTGACTTATAGCCAAATTTTCCAACTCCTTTGTTAACAACTGGCGAAGTCTACTACAAAAGACAGTTGTGGACCTATAACTTTACAGTAAGGGATTGTGGGGCTGACCAAATTGCTTCCTGCATTGGAAATTGTTTAAATAATTTGCCATCAACTCTAACTAAAGTAGTGTTCTATTCAGATTCTTGCCCTGGTCAAAATAAAAATAATATAGCTGCATGAATGTAAAAACCTCCAAGTCATAGAACACAAGTTTTTAGAAGTTGGCCACTCAAGACTGAAATGCTGCGGACCATGCGAGAATCGAGTTAGAAAAAAAATCATAAGAGGAAGTTGAGATCAAAATCCCCATGATTGGTATCAGTTTGTCAGAAGTGCCAGAGAGGAAAAAATTATTATTGAGATGTAAAAAGAAGATTTTTTGGCATATTCTTCTCTTCTGAGATCGGTGTTTGTGAAATGTGATGCCACGGAATCGGGCCAAAATATTCGTTGGCATGATATCAAAGTTTTACGGTTCTCAAAAGATTTGGGACTATTTAAGTTAAATATTCGCATGACGAAGATGAGCAATTTACTCGTTCTAACATAAAAAGAAGAGGAAAACATGATCCAGAGTTAAAACCTATTTACAGCGGCCCCATACCTATAAATCCTAAGAACAAAGAGAACTTGCTGTCGCTCTTAAAATACATAGACACGGCTTATCACCCATTTTACAAAAATCTGAATGGTATTATTTTTTCTGTAGTTGATATCTACACACCCCATCCCATTCCATCTTGGCAAAACATGATATCTCATTCAAATTTCACTTTCCACTATTTTTTTTTTTCAACAAAAGTTTTTTGTTTCCTAAACTCACCATCAAAGTTTTATGCATATGCATTAATGGAAATTGTTACATTCATTTTTGTAGATCACATTTTTGGCGCCCAACGTGGGTCACTGGTCGACTACTTTCAATGAAAATATTTTTTTAAAAAATAGTATATTACTTTTATGTGAAAAATCGTTTGAAAAAGGTATTGCTTTAAATGATAGATCTGATATTCTTGTCAAAAAACTAGACTGTACTAGACAATTATTATCACGTCAACTGTCATGTTATTGCTAATTTAGAGATTTTCACGTTGTCTAGCCATCGAAAAGCTCTAGCGAATTTTTGGTAGCACCTCGCACAATGACTCGATAAAATTAATCCGCGAAAAATAAAAATACACGACTCATTTTTGTTATAAAACTATAAATTTCGTTATCTAAATGATTTTATCTTGCGTATGCTGCAAACTAGAGCAATAATGCAACATTAGGACCGACAGTCCGTGTACTTTGGCATCGGCTTTGCCCATCAGAAAGGCCAATTTCGCTTTCCCTACTTCCGAATCTTCGGATCCGATTTGTTTGGACAGCTCCATGTGTTCCAGGGTCACCGAATCCAAACACTTTTTGAGCTCGCCCATCTATAAAGCCGCAACAATTATTATATCAATTAGAAAACTCACTAGTCAAGGGGGCAATTTAACCACAAATTAAATTCATCAGAAAATGTAAAAAAAAATCTTTAAAAACTGAATATAATGTAATAAAAAGTAATAAAATGTATTAAAAAGTAATAAAACATAATAAAACGTAACAAAACGTAATAAAAATGTTATTAAAACTTGTAATAAAAAGTAATAAAATGTAATAAAATATAATAAAAAGTAATAGAACGTAATAAAAAGTAATTAAACATAATAAAATGTAACAAAACATAATAAAATGTAACAAAACATAATAAAATGTAACAAAACGCAATCAAACTTGTAATAAAAAGTAATAAAATATAATAAAAAGTAATAGAACGTAATAAAATGTAACAAAACGTAATAAAAATGTATTAAAACTTAATATGATGTAATAAACAGTAATAAAATGAATTAAAATAAAATAAACTGTATTAGAACTTAATAAAATGTAAAAAAAGCAATAAAATGTATCAAAACGTAATGTAATAAAATGTAATAAAATGTAATAAAATGTAATAAAATGTAATAAAATGTAATAAAATGTAATAAAATGTTACTAAATATAATAAAATCTAGTAATAATAATTATATTAATAAAATGTAGTAATAATAATACACTCACCATTAAATTCATCTTTTCCACCCGTTCCTCGTGCGGCATATGAGCGTACATCTGCCTACCGGTTTCCTTGGCGGAATCCATTAGCGACTCGTCGTTGGGGCACTGCATCACCTGCTCCAAAAGTCTGTTGATACTGTCCGAAGCTTCGGCGGGGTTTTTTTGAACGTCCTCCAGTACCTCCGGACACACCAAAAAGGGGTTTATGGCTACCAGGGATTGTTTTCGGCTGGGTGTTCGTTGCGGCGATGGCGGCAGACTTCTCGAAGCGCTACCTAAGAACGAAGAACCTAGAATAGCAAAAATACCCAACATAATTCGTCTGTTACTATCTAGAGACGCGCCTGTAACTCAGAAACGATGTATTTTACCTGGTATAGCTAAATTATTAACGCTGTTAACTCTTTTGAGGCCGTTTCCGAGAGATTTCGTATCTGTGAGCTCCTCCCCCACTTCCGTCATCGTTATTTCCGGTCCGTCGGAAGCGTCAGATTTGAGGTTAGGATTGCATCCGTTGCTCATTTGACATTTGACAATGCATTTCTTGTGACAGCACATTCCGCACTGCTTGCACTGGACGGCGTCTTTTAGCCAAATCTGCGAACAATTTATTCAAGCAAATTTTATAGGGTTTTAAGTCAATCTTATGGGGAATCAATTTTAAGTATTTTAAGGAACATTTAAACAATTTTACGCAACAAAAAATTGATTTTATGAGGTCATAAGTCAATTTTATCTAAAATTATTAGAGAGAACATTAAGTTAATGTTATGGATTATTGAATCCGTTTTATAAGAAATTAAGTTACCTTTATTGGAAATTAACTAAATGTTATGGGGAAATAAGTCAATTTTATGATTAATGAAGGCAATTTAATGCGGAATATAATTATTGTACTTTGTTCTTATTTTTTTTTGACTCAATATTATGGAGCGTTATTAATTCTATTTGGAGTTAAGTCACTTTCAACGTAAATTAAGCCATTTTATGGGTAATTACCTGAATTTTATGAGGAATTAATTAATTTTATAGGGAATGAAGTCAATTTTTATGAAGAATTAAGTTAATCCTATGAAAACAAATTCAATTTTATTGGAATAAAGTCAACTTTATGGGGGCGTTATGTAGAAATATTAATTCTATTTTCTTTTAACGCAAATTTTACCATATTTGATCAATTTTATGTGGAATTAAGTCAATTTTTATGAGAAATTAAGTCAATTTTATGGAAACAAAATCAATATTAAGGGAATTAAGCCAATTTTATTGAAACAACATCAATATTATGGGGAATTAAGTCATTTTTATGGGGAATTAAGTCATTTTTATGGGAACAAAGTCAATTTATAGGGAACAAAGTCAATTTTATGGGAAATTAAGTCAATTTTATATAAAATGAACGACATTTAAAGCAGAATTTAAATATGCTCTAACCTTTTTTGAACAAAAATCACAATGCGTCGTTCTATGGAACTGCGTTCTGACGAAATCGTGTTGCATTCCGCTGGTTGGATCGAGAGATTTTACGTTATCTGTCGGTAAGTTAGTTTCCGACAGTTTTCTTTTTAATTCGATGTCGTCGTCGTGCATCCAAACGAAGGCCAATAGGACGTCGCCGTAGCAAAAGACATGTTCGAAACCGGAGTGTAAGAGTAAAGGGTGCGTTTGGTTGTTCGGTAAAGTGTTGTTCGGAGGTAGGAACGAGTAGCAGCGCATGTAGTTGCCCAATAAACTATAATGTTTATAAAATATAAATATTTTTACAGAAAGAAAAAAATTTAGAGTTCAATAATGTTTATTAAAAACAGAAATATTAGAAATTTAGAAAATAGTCCAGTAAAACTTATTATAAAATTGGAAAATAGGCTAGGCATATTAAATATTAGACAAATGGTTGGGTTATCTAGACATTTTACAAAAAATACAGGGAAAGTTTGTATAGGAATGGTAATAGCGGTATTTTAATAGAACTAGAACGAGAATGATTTATATATTTTGGAAAATAGGTTTGAGAAAGTAAAAATATAAAAATTGGATAAGAATTAGCAAGTAATATAAATAATAGTGGAAGCAATTTTAATGAAATTGAATATTAAGTGTCGAGATATTTGAATAATAGTACAAGAAATTTTAATATAAATTTGGAAAATATTAGAATTGAAGGAAACTTCTCTAGAAATTTAGAAAATAGTCCTGAAAATGTTTATGTAAAATTGGAAAATGGTGATTTACTTAGACATTTCACAAATATGAGAAAATGTTATTAAAAAAAAAATGGTAATAGCAATATTTTGATAGAAATAGTACGAGAATGTTTTTAGTATTTTGGAAAATGGACTTGCAAAATTAAAAAAAACTGAAATTCTACAATTAGTAATATAAATAATAGTCTAGGTAGATTCAATGAAATTGAAAATTTCCCTGAATTATCGAGGCATTTGACAAATGGTACAGGAAAGTTTAAGACAAAATTGGAAAATAATAGTGCTAATTTTAATAAAATTGGTGAATTTTGTATTGGAAAAGGTGACAAAACTTAAAAATAAAATCGTAAAATCAAAAGTAAGATTAAAATAGAAAAATATAATAGGATAATTTTACTCAAATTGGAAATCCACAGAATTGGCGAGACATGTAAAAAATAGTACAGGAAAATTAAGATTTAAATTAGAAAATAAAAATAATTTGAACTCGAAATAGAGTAAATTTTATAAAAAGTATCTGAATTAGAAAATAATAGTTTATAAAAATAGAAAAATGGTGCAGGGTAATTTCAATAAAATTGGAAATCCGTACAATTTAGATAATAGTACAGGAAAGTATTTGCATATAATTAAAGTATTCTATATATACATTAAAAATAGCTTGAAAAATGTATTATTAAAATTGAAAAATAGTCTGGGAAAATTAATCTAAATTTTTGACTTGACCAATTCATTATAAAAATAGAAAAAATTATATTTCAGAAAAGCAAAATTAAGTGCAAAATTACCAATTTACCTGTTACAACATTCTCCCAATACATGACTTAACGGGATATTCGCATAACCAAGTAAAATGTCTTTCTCATCCGACATCGTACCCCACACATTCATATTCAAATATTTAAATGAATCCTTCAAAGTAAACTGGAAATCCTCGTTAAATTGCAACACAGTGGCGTTCTGAATTTCTTTACTTTTATGCACCTAAAAAAAAATTACCCATTTGTAAATTGTAGTTTTTTATTTAATTTTTATAGTTTACCTCAATGGTGAGAGGCGTTTCTGCACTGTTATTTTCCGCCTCAGTTTTAGTTATTTCCGGTATATCTGAAACAGACGATTTCTTGACAGAAAACGAAGTCTGTGTAGCTTGGGGTTGCTTGAGACTTGAATGTTGCGGCGTGGAAGGGTTACTCGAGGTAGGTGTATTTCTAGCACTGCCACTTTCTAAAAACAAAAAACGCATCCTCAGAACTTACATTGGATGTCCCACAAGGATACTAACTAGGACTAATGCTGTTTAATTCAAACATTATTGATCAATTTTGTTTTTATTAGATACAATTTGATTTCTTACCGGAAAGCGAAGTTTTCCTCTTTCTCAAACTAAAATTTCCTATCGTTTGAGCAAACTTGGCCATATTTTCGTTCGACGGTATTATTTTGGGGACCCGTTTTTTTGTGTCTTTCGGCGTTTCGATCATTACGAAATTGTCTTGTTCGTTTTGTATCAAATCGGGCTCTTCTGGCACTTCCGGCGTGGGACACGTCGCTTTTATTTCAGTCTCTAATAGGAAAGAATACAGAAATTTATTCTAGTACAATCTGAGATTGGCGTCTTTCTATACGATGTCACAAGAGTGGCTTTAAGAGGAATTTATATTATTATTATTCTTACGTCTATTTTTATATTTATTATTTTATCAGTAAGTGAGCAGGAATAACTTCTGAGCACAACCTTATAGTTTGTTCGGACTAATTCATGTTTATTTATATTTTAAGTGCTATTATTTATTTGTAAAAAATATGGAAGTAAATAAATATTGCATTATTATAAAAAAAAACATACCTTCAGTGGCATATTTCGATTTGATGCAGTAATTTTCGGCCACTCTCTCCACTTTCAAAGTAAAATTGGCCGCTGAAATAGATTTGATAAATTTGGCTACTTGGGGCACCGTCTGGACGTTACGATTTTCCACGGCTAGCACAATATCATTAGGTTTTAGACCGGACTTGTATGCCGCGCTGTGAGGCGATACGCTGTCGACCAAAACGAGGCCTTGTTCCTGCTTGAAAATCACGCCCAGCTGAGCTTGCCTGACTTTGCTTATCGTTATTTCTAGAGTCATATAGACCGCGTCGTCTTTTTGATAGATTGAGATCCAAGGTATAATGTCTAAAATGAAATTATTAATATAATTAATATCAATAATATCGTTACTCTAGTTAATATCATTAATATAGTTAATAACGTTAATATCATATCATTAATATCAGTAATAACGTTAATATAATTAATATTACTGATATCATTAATATCGTTATTTCTAAAATCATATAGACTGTGTCGTCTTTTTGATATATTGAGATCCAAGGTATAATGTCTGAAATGAAAATATCATTAATAACGTTAATATCGTTATCATTAAAATAATGAATATCATTAATATCGTTAATATCATTAATATCAATAATATCATCATTAATATTGATATCATTAATATCTTTGATATATTATTATTAATTTTTTTTAAAATTATGCTATTCTTCAACTTTGAACTATTTCGGTTTACAGACAGAGAAAAAATATAATGTATAATCAAATTTAACATATAGTAGATTATGTAAAAACTAGAAAAACGTAATATTTAAAATTGTTGCAAACATAAGACAACGATTACCTATAGACATTGTGCAATAAATGTTTTGAACACCAGGTGGCAAGGATAACCTAGATATCTCGACGCACGTTACTTCCAACTGTCCTTGTGGAACTATTTCATTATCTTCGGCGTCTAAGTGACAGGGATCCGTTTTTACAAAAAATGGTTTATATCTGAAAATAGAAAAATAAAGAAAATAGCAAAAGTATATTTATTATGGGTTCATCTTTAGATAGATAGATCGATAGATAGATAGATAGATAGATAGATATTGAAGTAGGATAAGCCTAATATACAAAAAAATATTATAGAAATACAAATACAGAACACTTAAAACTTAAAGATAATTATTATTAACATTACCATAATCTGAGGTAAGAAAAATAAATTTGTTACATATTACAAAGATACTTTTGATCTTGAGTTTAGACAGCCTTAATTAACAATAAAACAAATAATAGTTGAAAGCATGAACCCAAATATTAAAAAAGTAATCAAATATATAAAAATTAAAATCAAATTTTATCAGTTTTAATAAAAGTTGTCAATTTTTTTTAAAACTTGCTAATGAATTACAATCTTTATACAATAACCAGGCATCGTGATTTCGAATAATTAACTTTTTTAATGTATATATCATTAGTTGATCTTGTGCTGCAATCATGAATATCCCCATGATAACAAATAAATTGATGAAAGTAGAATGGAGCCAAAGAATGAATTATTTTATAAATAAACATAATTGTCAAGTAATACAACCTTTGCTGAATCGAAAACCATTGAAGAGAATTTAACATTGTGGCAATTGGTGTAAGACAATTAGTTTTTAATATTATGCACTTGCCTCGATTTTGTAGTTTTTGAAGTTGATTTAACTTGTTGAGATTAAATAAAGGAAGAATGGAGGCACAATAATCGAAGTGAGGCTGAATAATTGTACTATATACTGTTATTTTAGTTGAAGTTGACAAGTTATTTGTAATTCTAGAGAAGAAATATAATTTTTTTCAAATTTTTGTTATTAATATAATTAAAGAAATCATTAAAAGTAAGTAGATTATCTAATTGGATACCTAAATACTTAATAGTTGGGACTATTGCGATTTTTTCCCCATTTATTTGTAAATTAACAACATTGATATCAAGTAAGCTATATTTATGTTTAGTTGTAAAAATAAGTGCTTTTGTTTTAGTTACATTCAATTTCAATTTGTTAAGTATTTCTCAAGTATTTTATTCATTTTCTCGATTGCACTCATTAAATTTATATCAGAGCAAGCTAGCATAATGTCATCAACAAAGAGATTAATGAATTCACAATCAACAAACAGTCCAATATCATTTAAATATAGTATAAAAAGCAGCGGCCCTATTACACTTCCTTGCAGAACCCTTGTGTCAATGTTAATCTCGGGTTATATCTGATTGTTAAAATGTACTTTTTATCTACGATCTTGCAGATAATCAATCAGCCACTGGTATACTTCTCCACCTACACCATATTGTTGAATTTTCTTGAGTAAAATACCCCTATGGTCTCAAATGCGCGTTTTAGGTCTAAAAAAACAGCTACTACATATTTATTCTCATCCACATCATTTTTAAATTTACTCACCATTAACTGTAATGCAGACTCACAGGAATACTTTTTTCTGAACCCAGACTGGTTAGTTATTAAAATAGAATTATTAATAATATGTTCAAGTAGTTGTTTTCAATTGACGGGAGAGTATTTACAGGTTCAAATTCTTCCGATTTTATTGTATTATTAACTTTTTGAATTGGAACAATAGTACTAATTTTTAGTTGAGATGGAACTTTGCCAGTATCAAGTGAGGTATTAAGTTTAAAATAATGTGCCCAATTGTTGCATACACTTCCTTTAGAACTTTAGAATTAAGAATATTAAATGCAGAATATTTATTATCTAATGAGTTCAAAATTTTATATAAGTCATGTAAAGTTAGCAAATTAAAGTTGTGAAATGGTAAGTATAAATTATTGTTTAGATTATGCCCCAGGGAACAGTTGCATCAATACTTCCAATAATATCTATAATACTTTCAACAAAATATTCTTTAAATTTAGTTGCTATGTCAACATTATCATAAAGGATAATATGGCCTGTTTGATCACTAAATTGAACATTATTGGTCACATCATTTAATTTAATATTTACTAGTTTTTTTTTTTAAGTTTTCCACATCTCTTTAGGATTTTCTTTGAAACAATTTTAATAAAATAATAAGTAGATTTTTTAATTTCAGCACATTAACTACCTCATTTCTACATTTTTTAATTTATTCCACATATTCAGCTTTTGATGTTCTGCACATGACTTGGATTATCAAACCATGGTACATTAGAGGTTATACTTACATGTCTGAATAGGGACAACCTTATTAATAACTCTTTCACAATGATATCAAAAGTATTAAGATTCCAGTTGCACATAATCAGATCATTTTGTATATTAAAAATGTTAGTTTCTTTATAATTCCTATACTTTTTGATAACTTTGTTTGAAGTATTGCTTGTATTGGAAAAAATTACAGAAATCACAGAATGATCACTGATGATCACTTTGTTGAAAGTGTCTCGAAAATGCATTTTACCTTTAACTGCGTATGTGGCAAAAAAAGGAAAATACGCCTATTTAAAATATGTAACAATATATAAACAAAAAATTGAGCATTGATATTTAGTTAAAATAATCCAAGGGATAAATGAAAATAACAGTTGAATCCTAGTATTAACTTGAGGGTGTTTTATCAGTTGTTGCTAGGTCTCTTTAATTGTTATCAGTGATTCAGTTGGTAATAAATAAGTGGGGTTTTTAGTTCACTGAATATAATGTTTGTTTAGCTTGAGTTTGTTTTATGACTGGTATATATCAGTCTTTCAATTTCTTATAGCATATGTAATTTTTTTTTATTTATTTAAATTGTTGTACATATCAACAACTATTTGTATATGTATTTTGAATTTGGTCACCACAGTTGTCTATCTAATTTGTAAATTCTCCTAGCTGAAATTTGTTCCCTTTTCTGTAATTAGTTCCTCTTGCTGGAATGGCTACTTCTACTCATAATTACCTATTAAAACCCTACTCATACAAAATTTATTTTATCTTTAAAAGTAACAAATTATACTGACCTTAACTTGTAATTTGGCAGGGTGTGCTTTCTTTTAATGGCTTTTTTGATCTGATTTACTATGAGATTAGTAATATTGCTTTGAAGTTGCCTGCCTTGAAAATGAGATTCAACTTGAAGATCCAACAATGGGTCAGAATAAAAACTGAAAGACCAATGGGTGTAAGGGTGTCTAGAAAATTGTAGTCTGGCTTCACCATTTATTCTTTTCACTGTTAAACATTAAAAAATATTGTATTGAAATAATGAAAATTAAAATAACATACATGCAGCAATCATACACATTTCTCAAATTAAACTACACCTTAAACTATAATTACATTTTTCCAACACTACGAGGAAAATAATACCTTACCTTTTATAGAAAGATAAGCAGTTCTTCCAAATTTCATTTTAGCATCTACACTTAACAAAAAATTTCCTGTATAATCTAATTTTAAACATAAACTAACAGTCTCAATGTAGCCCTCTTTCTTGTCTAGCTTTACATTATCTACAGTAATATCTTTAATATCTGGAAATTCTGTTCCTAAGTGCATATCCCTAATCTAAAAAATACACAATTTTGATTAAACTCTATTAAGAAGGATAATTGTTATTAAAAACTTACTGTTATACTATCAAAAAATTTTCCTATGGTAGTTTTAGTCAAAAGTTCATCGAATTCTAGGCTCAATTTTTTATAAAGCCAGCGTTTTATAACTTCAGAGTGTCTTAATTCATGAAATAAAAATTGCAAGACTAAACTAATTGGTAAACTACACCCCTTTTCTTTGTCATTTAAGTCTTCAGTTTCTAATTTTTTCTTTATAGCCTGAAAATGGAATCGTTTAGAAAAAATTAAAAATATAAACAATAAATAATCACCTGTGGGAGGCTGTAGTCAACACAGTTTTTGATAAGCGAAGGCTTAGCTAATGGGCTCTTTTTTAAGTAAACATAGAGAATATAATACTGTACACTTAGAGTTAAAATTATTCCAAATAATACTGAGATACAGCCCAGAAAAACTGTGGCAAAAATATCCATTACGAGTTCTAGTGTTTTATAATTATCACATGAACTGTTAGACCGAAGGAATGTGAATTTTCTTATTTAAATCGATTAATTTACATGATGAGCCCAATTTTCTTCTAAATCATTTTTTGTTTTCGTCAAACTTCAACCTCAAAAATCGAAGATGACAATTTATTATGACAGTTGTAGTGACAGTTCTTATGTAGTTATCATTAAGCTAGTCTTATGCACTGCGTTTGTAAACGTCCGTTCAAAAACGAACGTCTGTAAATTTGGTCGTTCTGAACGCATGTATGATGTATGACATTTCGGTCATTGCGTTTCCCAACAATCCACTGATCTGTATTATTACAGATCAGTGCAACAATCCCAATATTCGCATGTGGGGAGGGTATTGGGGAAACAGTTGTTGAAAAGGATGAATGGATTTTGTTATGTAATTGTTCAAAAAAAAAAACTCGTAAAAAATGAGTTGAACAGTACAACAGTACATAATAAACTGCCTGAGATTTTAAAGATGCAAGTTTTGAAACCTTGTTTAAGGAACTGCGCCTATTACATCGTTACATGAACTTTGCAAACACATGATTAGAACGAACAGAAGGATACGCATTTGGTACTTTAAATATTCACACCTTTTCTACTATTGAAATACATACAATTTTTACTTATATACATGACACACAGTAAAGAAACTGTGCCATTGTCGGGGTTAAAGTGGAAATGGTGGTTCCAAGAACAGACGTTCCACACCGCGTTCTTGGTCAAGTTGTCGACTAGTGCCGAGCCGACGCAGTACAAACGCACGTCTGTATAAAACGACTCATTTGACTCAATGTATTTATAGCGAACATACCTTAATTTTGGAACCCCCGTTTTAAATAGTGAACGCAGATATATTATAGTATATAGTAAACACACTTTCACACAGCGAACGTCGCGTTCGTGCATAAAACGACACATTTAATTTAATAATAAGGGCCGATTCCACCAGTGTGTTAAACGCAGTTTATATTATTAAACGAAGATTAAAATGGTATTTTTATGTTAACAATGACATTTTAATCTTCGTTTAGTTATTTAAACTTTGTTTAACCCAACGGTGAAATCCACGGTAATAGAACTAGGAACGTCCATTTTCGAACGCAGTGCATAAAACAAGCCTTAGGTAAAAATTAACATTTCTTTCCAAGACGTTTTTCTTTGACACCAGTTTTTATTTATAATATTCATGTTTTTTTAATGCAATAGTTTCAAATTAAATAAAATTTGAGATTATTCCTTCTCTACAAAAAATATGTAAATTTAAAACAAGTGTGTATAAAATCTTATTTTAGAAAGTGTAAAAATATGCCTAAAAACAAAAGTTACTAGAACTGACAGGGATATTCGATTCAATAGTTGGTATGCTGTTTTTGTAACTCTTTCTGTCACGATTTTAATGGCGATTGCTGTTAGTTTGTGAAAATTTTAAAAATCCACGGGATTATAGCCCATCTTTCGACTTTTTAGAAACCAATATTATATACTTATCTACCAAACATTATGGCCGATAAAGTGAGTAAAATATTTTTTGTTAATTGTTACAATTTTAAAAAATATTCATGTTGACAAGTAGTCAACAATGTATTTTATGATGGTTTATTAAGAAAGTATACTTTTTTCAGGCTGAAGAGCAAGTTAAGAAGAAGAGGACTTTCAAAAAGTTCACCTTCCGTGGGGTTGATTTGGATCAACTCTTGGATATGCCCAAGTAAGTCTTAAAAATAATTTTTGAGGTTAGGATGTGTGATTATAAATTGATTTTTTTTTAGTGAGCAACTTATGGAACTTATGCATTGTCGGGCTAGAAGGCGTTTCACCAGGGGTTTGAAACGTAAACCCATGGCTTTAGTCAAGAAATTGCGTAAAGCAAAGAAAGAAGCTCCCCCACTAGAAAAACCTGAAATTGTAAAGACCCATTTAAGAAACATGATCATTGTACCCGAAATGGTAGGATCTATCGTTGGTGTTTACAACGGCAAGGCCTTTAATCAAGTTGAAATCAAACCTGAAATGATTGGACATTACCTTGGTGAATTTTCTTTGACATACAAACCTGTTAAGCACGGTAGGCCAGGTATTGGTGCTACCCACAGTTCCAGGTTCATCCCTCTCAAATAAGATGCATATTTGTTATTATTTAGGTTAACAATAAATTTTTTTTGAGAGATAATTGCTTTATTTTGTACCTTGTTTGACTAAAATAAATGTAATATATAATTTTATTAAAAAATTCAATTACAGAAGGAAACTAGGTATTTAAAAGTACAACAATATAGCTCGCTAAAGTATAGCCAGCAATAGATACAATTAGCCAAAGAAATAAGTGAGGTTGAAGGGCTAAAATGATAATTTTAGGCAAGTCAAATGCCTTTGTGAAGTCTATGCAGTACCAAGCTGTTATACTGTTCATAGTATTCCAAATTTGCACATATTTTGTTAAATAGAACATTAAAAAATTAAATATGTAGTCAAATGAAGGAAAATGTATATTTAAAAAAAGTCTTTATGTACATTAATTACATTTATTATTTTTTCTTAACTTTAGGTAAAAATCTATCTAAAACATGGACAGGCTTCTGTGGTTTTGAAGACTCTATTGTTTCATCTTCTTGCATTAACTCCATTTTTTTCTTTACAAATTCCTTTTTAGCCTCTTCCTGTACGATTTTCTTGTTTCTTGCAATTTTAACAGTACCTCCCTTGCCTTTAGCTTTATTTCTTGGTTCATAGTTTATCCTAGGAGGTTTTAGGTACTGCAAATAAAGAGAAAACATTAATATAAATATTAACATTTTTCCTATGAATTATAACTTACCAAAAGGTTTTTCTTTGCCTCAACTTTGTCTCTAAGAGTAGGTATATCAACATCAGCTATAGCAGTAGGGTCTAGAGTTATCATTTCAGGTTGTACCTAAAAATAAAGTTTTGTTTTCAATTATTCAATAAATATTAAAATAAATTTAAGAGACCATCAAGGATCTACTGTAGAATGTATTTTTAATTTTTACTATCTATAAATGTTATTTTGTGACCAAATAAGCAAGTAAATTGGTGTAAAAGATAAATAAACTAAATTTACCTTCTCTAAAAGAGATTTGACTTCAGCTTCCCTCCTCTGAGACTTTGATTGGAAGGGATTTGCTTCCAAAGTATCAAAGTTTGGCTCCCCAGACCCAGGAACAAGTAAACTAGTAAATCCACTAGCTGTGCCAACACCTAACACATCTTCATATGGACAAAAACTAAAATTACTGATTGGGGTCACGAATCTGTGCCTTAGATATGCTCTTTTTGCAGCTGTTGCACAACAATCCCTATAAAACAGCATTTTAATAAAACAAAATTATATAGAAAAGTTTTTTTACCTGTATACTTCTACAACATTCCCCATTCCTAGGGCTAACATTCGTTTTTGAGAAAAATTCAAATGGTTTGCAGCTTGGATCAATTTATATTCTTGTACAGGACCATCAAGCTTTCTTACATCCCAAATTTTTAATTCTCTGTTTGAAGCTGATGTAGCCATATATCTAAAAAGTTGATTTGAGTGAAATTGAACACAAAAAGCTATTCTGTTAACTTACGTTCCACTAGGATCAACATGTATTCCTAAAATTGGGGCTTTGTGGCAAAGCATTTTGGCTAAAGGCTCTCTTGCTGTTGGTGACCAAAAAGACACCACACCTTTGGCATGACCTAAACAAAGAGTAGCATTCCAAGGATTTTGTGTTAATACAGACAGTCTTCCCAAATGAGTATTGTACTGACCAACAATTTGACCTATAGAAATATCTAGCCAACTTAAATAGCCTTCATCACTCTAAAAATGGAATTAAAAATTACAAATATTTTATAAATAATCAAATACAAATATATAACTTACACAACTGGCTAACAGAAAATGATATGGCAAAAACTCCATCCTAGACACTTTATTTAACCTTTTTATACAATGTAACTCGATCCCTTGGTTGTCATAGATGTACACCCAACTTTTCTGAGCAACAGCAAACATGGTTTCAATGTGTAACCAAGATATATCGTGTACAGATTCCATAACATTCATTTCACAGTGTAGTTTCTTTGTAACCCAGTCAAAAGCTGCTACATGACCCATTCTACCACCGATAAGTAAATGTCTGCCATTTCTGGTGTACTTTGCTCGATATGAGCCAAAATTTAATCTTAGATCAAAATGTTTTGCTGCAGCAGATATATCGACATTCTGTACAATTTGTTTTTGGGTGAATTGGGTTGTAGTTTCACCTGAATCAGCTTCCAGAAATCTACAAATATTATTCATAAACACCAAACATTACGATTTTTTTAAACTTACCCTGAACATTCTGTTAAAAGTACTTCAGTCTTAGCGGCTTGTTCTATAGCAAATTTAACATTCTTTTCCTTTTTTTCTATCCTTTTTCGATGTACAGAAGTCTTAATACCCTTGGAATCAACGCCTTCTCCTTTACTATATTTTTCGATCAACTCTTCGGGAACTTTAACTTTTCCTTTGAATTTGGGATTAGGATTTGATTTCTGTTTAACCTTCTTCTTGTCTTTGCTGATTTTTCTGTCTTCTACGCGTCTTCCCCATGGCTTTTTCTTTACTCTTGTAACATCAAAAGTGAGCACATCTTTTTTTGGTGATTTTTCTTCAGTGTTTTCAATGGATTCGTCTTTTTTAAAGTAACGGACAGTTTGCTAAAATGATTAATTGTATATAAATATAATTATAAATAGTTATTGTAATTACCTTTCCCATTGTTCATTTATTTTTATTAATTATTAATTCATTGCAAAGGCAAAATAACTTTTAAATGTTTTTATAACCTCACGAACCTCACACCATAAACATAACCTCATTCAAAAATGTGTTTATCAAATTCTTCTTTTTAACTAGCCACATGGAAAACGTTGGATAATTCAGTCTCTATTAATTGCGTTCGGTCTGCCAAGTTCCTTTAACACTTTTAACTCCAAACGACCCTTTTAGCGTTCGGTTTAGTTCGATTAGTGACAGTTTAACACGCTTAAATGTCATTTAAAAGCACCCTAAAATTTGTCCCGCTCCAGCCCCTGACTATCCGAACTCGCCTTTTGTGTCCTGAATTGAGATAAAGGTGTTGGTTTTGGGAAGCTAGAATGAGTTCCCCGAGACCTGTGAGACCGTTGCTAGGCAATATAACGACAAGTTGGCGAGATGCGAGACCAATCAAAGTATGTGGGCGAGACTAATGTCAACAAGTGCGTCACCGCGCTCTGCCACGTTCTACCCGGGAAGGCGGAGCTAAAGCAATTCTGGTAGAGATCGGCGTAAACCATTGCCGCCATCTGAGTCCCTGAACTGGTTGTTAGGTAAGCTGAAGCTGTACTTTTACCTACTATAGCCAGGAAAGTTAACTATTTTCCTGGCTAGCCGGGAACGTTATGTCACTTCCTTACCCGTAAATGTAATGCTTCGATTGTAAGTGTTCGTATATCTTCCAATGAACTGTTCTCTTTCTGATTTTCTTTTGGAATATACTGCCTTTACTGCATAGTTTGTTGTTATTTTCGTCTTCGCGAATTATTTTTTTTGTCAGGAACAGAGTTTTCTTACTGTAAATTGAAATTGTAAAATGAAAGTACAGGTACAGAACAGTTCAATTGAAAATTTAGAATTTCTGAACGCTGCATTTTTTGACAGATGGCATTTGATTGACATAGGATGTGCCAAAATGTCAACTGTCAAGTCGAAAGAGGAAAACGAAAAGCCAAATAAGCTATTTGCTATTTAATTCATTTTATAATTATTTTAATATTTGGACTCCATATAAATTGTTAGAAATACAATTTTTGAATATAAAAAATGAGTCGTAGACGGGCGCATGAAGACGACGATGGTTATGGTAAGTTATATTATTTTTTTTATATATTTTTCTGCATGCAAACTAAAATTTAACATACTTTTTTAGAGAGAGCCTACCGAAAAAGGCGTCGTGTATCCGAAAATCAAGAAATAGAAGACAGATTAGAGTCCCTAATTCTACGAGTCGGTGAAAAAAGTACATCATCTCTAGAAAGCAACTTAGAAGGCTTAGCAAGTGTCTTAGAAGCAGATTTGTCGACATTCAGAGCTAAAATTTTACGAATTTTAACCGATTGCGCCATTCGAATGCCCGAAAAATGTACGATTTACACGACCTTAGTAGGTTTATTAAACGCTAAGAATTTCAATTTCGGCGGAGAGTTTGTAGAATATATGGTAAAGAGTTTCAAGGAATCTTTGAAACAATGTAAATGGGACGCAGCGCGATATGCTTTAAGATTTTTGGCGGATTTAGTTAATTGTCACGTAATATCTGCTACTTCTCTATTACAATTATTAGATAATATGATAGATACAGCAAATGAAGACAATGTACCTCAAGTGAGACGAGATTATTACGTTTTTGCTATACTAAGTACCCTCCCATGGGTGGGTAGAGAGTTGTATGAAAAGAAAGAAAAGTCATTGGACCATTTGATCATTCAAATCGAAATATTTCTAAATAAAAGGAACAAAAAGCACCATAATGCTTTGAGAGTTTGGTCAGTGGACACACCCAGTCCACAGGTAGAGTATCTTGATTGCTTGTGGGCTCAAGTGAAAAAACTAAAACAGGACAATTGGGCAGAGAAACATATCCCAAGACCTTATTTGGCTTTTGATTCTATACTTTGCGAAGCTTTACAGCATAACTTACCATCAATTCTCCCTCCACCTCATCATGACAGTTATGAATATCCAATGCCTTGGGTAGTGTTCAGATTATTCGATTATACTGATTGCCCAGAAGGTCCAATTCTACCAGGAGAGCACTCGATCGAACGATTCTTAATAGAAGAACATCTACATTCTATTATAGAGTTGTATCATTTGGAAAGAAAGGATTGTGCAGCACATTTATTAAATTTTCCTTACAAGCTGAAGATTCCTTTGGAATATTGCATTGTTGAGGTAATTTTTGCTGAATTATTTCACATGCCAACTCCTAGATATTTAGAAATCGCCTATGGGGCTGTATTGATTGAACTTTGTAAGCTGCAACCTTCTACCATGCCACAAGTTTTGGCTCAAGCTACTGAAATGCTTTTTATAAGGATTGATTCCATGAATGTGTCTTGTTTCGATAGATTTGTACAATGGTTTGCTTATCATTTAAGCAACTTCCAATTTAGATGGTCTTGGGACGATTGGGACACCTGTTTGACTTTGGATGAAGATCATCCCAAGCCCAAGTTTATCAGAGAGACTATGTTGAGATGTATGAGGTGAGGATGTTTTGATTTAATATCTTAGGCAATATCATTTATTTAGTGGCCAGAGCCCATTAAAACAATACAATAATACAGAATACATATCAGTCAATTAATAATAAAGTCCTAAATAATAAATTAATTTAAAATATATAGGTACATAATTATTAATAAAAAATATGAATTTTCAAATTATTCAAATACAAAATAGTTTAACATTTAAGGAAAATAAATAAACAAATCAAAATAAATTCCAAATCAAACAAGGGATCAAAGGTAAAGTCTTCATCTTTCATATGCAGCTCTGGTATTCCTCTATATAAGCAATTTAGTTATGGGAATTCAGAATATATAGTGGTAGCATATTAAACAGTTCAACATCACATTTCTTTATTCTTTTAAGTCAGTATTGGATAGCTCATACATTTTCCCCGTGCCTTGTATTGTAGTTGTGCACATGAAAGTGTGAAGAAAAATTACTGTTTCTTATGAATAGCAGGTTTCTGATAAATTATTATTGTATATCATCAGCTTTGTTCCAACATGCGCTAAAACTGTAATATTACCATACAAATCATGCGCTCTTCCCAAAAATTGTATACAGTGCAGTATAATATGGTTTTCACACATGTTGGAACAGGCGTGTCATTATTTTAAGTTCTGAGAAAAGCAGTCTACAGCTGGCTTGCTAAGAAGAACATGTTATGGTTCCTATGGCTGATTTTTTGTAAAATAAAAACCCTTTTAATATGTGTGTCGGCAGAATTGCTCCCAGTATATTGTTCACAGATGCATATTAAGAGAGGTATTCCTCAGGAATCGATTTTAGGACCACCACTTTTTTTGGTATACATCAGTGATCTCCCTAATAACATGTCTTTTGGAACTATGAACTATAAACAAATTTACTTAGTTATGAGCCAAGCAAAGAGGTAATTTTCTTCAAATGATGTATTTTTTTAAAACTGTATCCCAACTATTTGCAGTAAATAATAATGGACAGACTAATGGTGATAGTTTTGTTAAATTCATGTCAAAGTCCTGTAGGTTAATAAAATCACCTAGAGGTGTCTTTAAAGGCCCCATTTTTTTTTTATTTATAAATTGATATGACAATGAATGTAATTTGAATATTAGTTGTTCTCAGTAATTTTTCCAATTCAAATGTTTGTCAATTTGCAGGCCCAAAAATGTTATTCTGTCACTATTGGTTGATAACTGAGTGTGATCGAACTGAAGATGGCACAAAACAAGAGCCAAAAGCTGTACAATATCATAAAAAAACTGGTTTCATAAAAAAAAAAAACTAGATACGACCTAACAATATCAAAAACAAAAATTTTCTAATTATTGTATCTAAATGTAAATAAATATCAATCTTATGGTTAAAAAAATATAATTCAACTATCTTCTTAGAAAAAAGAACACACTAAAAGATCTTTGTATTTATTTTGTTTCAAAACTTAGATTTGATCAACATTAAAATAATTGACTTATAACTTATTAACAACCAGTTATTATGATCACTATTTACTATGACATAATTATGATTTATTAACATGCAATTCTATTCTATTATAGTGACTTAATAACTCCCAATTGTAACATATCTCATAATTGTGTTAATTTGTGCAATTGTTAGCCAATAAGTCAAAATTTCATGTTAATATCTGACAGTTATGAAATAAGTTGCAGTTGCCAGTTAATAAGTCACAATTGTGAGATAATAAGACGCATTTGCATGTTAATATGTCTTAATTGAGATAATAAGTCGCAATTGCCTGTTAATAAGTCACAATTGTGAGGTAAGTCGCAATTGCCTGTTAATAAGTCCCAATTATGAGATAATAAGGTGCAATTGCCTGTTAATAAATCAGAATTAAGATAATAAGTCGCAATTGCCTGTTAATAAGACACAATTATGTGATAATAAGTTGCAATTGCCTGTTAATAGGTTACAATTATGAAATAAGTCGCAATTGCATAATATTAAGTCACATTTATGAGATAACAAGTCGCAATTGTCTGTTAATAATTCACAATTATGAGATAATAAGTTGCAATTGCCTGTTAATAAGTCACAATTATGAGATAAGTCGCAATTGCCTGTTAATAAGTTCCAGTTATGAGATAATAAGTCGCAGTTGCCTGTTAAGTGCAATTGTGAGATAAGTCGCAATTGCATCTTAATAAGTACCAATTATGAGATAATAAGGTTGCATTTTCTTGTTAATAAATCACAATTGCGAGATAAGTCTCAACGATATGTTAATAAGTCAGAATTATGAGATCATAAGTCATAATTGCCTGGTAATAAATCGGAATTGAGACAGTAAGTCGCATTTGCCTGTTGATAAGTCACAATTATGAGAATAATTTGCAATTGCCTCTTAGTAAGTCACATTTATGAGATAATAAGTTTGTATTTGCCTATTAATAAGTCACAATTGTGAGAAGTCATAATTGTTTGTTAATTGTCATAATTATGAGTAAATAAGTCGCAATTGTTTGTTAAAAAGACACAATTTGAGATAACAAATCGCAATTGTCTGTTAATAAGTCACAATTATGAGATAAGTCGCAATTGCCTGTTAATAAGTCACAATTATGAGGTCAATCGCAATTGCATGTTAATTAGTCACCATTATATTTGTCTGTTAATATGTCATATTTGTGAAATAAGTCGCAATTGCATGTTAAGTTACAATTATGAGAATAAGTCGCATTTGCCAGGTAATACATTACAATTATTATATGATTAGCACAATTGTCTGTTAATAAGTCACATTTGCCTTTTAACAAGTCACAATAGTGAGATAAGTCATAATTGCTTTTTAATATGTCAAAATTGTAAGATAAGTCGCAAATGCAAGTTAATAAGTCACAATTATGAGAATAAGTCGCATTTGCCAGGTAATGCGTTACAATTATAAGATAATAAGTCACAATTGCCTGTTAATAAGTCACAATTGTGAGATAAGTCGCAATTGATTAATAATAAGTCACAGTTATGAGATAATAAGGTCACATTTGCCTTTTAATAAGTCACAATTGTGAGATAAGTTATAATTGCTTTTTAATATGTCATAATTGTGAGATAAGTCGCAACTGATTGTTAATGTCATGAGATAATAAGGTCACATTTGCCTTTTAATAAGTCACAATTGTGAGATAAGTCATAATTGCTTTTTAATATGTCATAATTGTGAGATAAGTCGCAACTGATTGTTAATAAGTCACAGTTATGAGATAATAAGGTCACATTTAACTTTAAATAATTTACAATTGTGAGATAAGTCATGATTGCTTTTTAATATGTCATAATTGTAAGATAAGTCGCAAATGCAAGTTAATAAGTCACAATTATGAGATAATAAGATCGCAATTGCTTGTTAATTAATTGTGAGATAATTTAGTTTTTATTATGAAAAAAACCACCTGTTATTAACAATTTATGACTTATTTTATGCTGATTTGTTTTTGTTTCAGATTGTCGTATTTCCAGAGAATTAGAGAAATTTTGCCGCCGACTTTTTCAAAATATATTCCAGAAAAACCAGAGCCGGACTACAAGTATGCTCAAGAAGCAGCGAGTGAGTACATTAAAATTTCATAGATAACATTTTTTTTAAAATATTTTTTATACTTAATATATTTTTTATTTTAACACATTTTCGGTTAATTTTTCGGGTATTTGCATCTCAAATTTAATTAAAGGTTTAAGAAATTAAAAGGTTACAAGTACTTGTAGAAAAAATATATTTCATAAATAATACAAATTTAATATATTTACAATAATTGTACATTTAAATTATTTTTAAATCTGCTATGTGAGGACATTTAAACTAACCACATAAAGTCGATTAAGCTGTTCTATAGTTCTTATAATTGGGTAGATTATGTTGAACATTGTATAAATAAATTAAAAAGGGCATATTTCTGTATAACATAAACGTAAGCAATGTTGCCAAATTGTACTAAAAATATGTTTACACGTATTTGTAGTCTCATCTTAGGAAAAAGTTATTATTAGCTCAGCATTATTTCCTATATGAATTATTCTGGTGTTATTTTTAATCCCCTGTATCGGTATGTCAACAATACATTTTAAATACAATATGTTATGCTCATTTTTTATTTAATTTTTAAATAATTTAAAAGTAATGAGTAGATTCGTGATTATGACGTGATTTATGGTTTTGTGATCATCGACGCCGTCTTGGATTCGTAAAGAGATTACTACGCCCTCGTGTTAAATATTAACAAATTACTATATTTATGGAAAAATGAACTTTTGTTTAATTAAGGGCAGCATCTTCCGCTAGCGTATGAAAGCAAGTTTGCTTCCAATATTACTATTAAGTTTCGTCTTTCTTCACCTTTCTTACCGGTTTTCTAGTAGTTCTAGCCCTCGGCACGTAAGTCTTCCTTCGTCTATACTTCACTCTCACCGTTCTGTTCTCAACTTTGCTCAGATACTCCAAACTTTTAGCGTGATTAACCAACATTAAAGCTACGTCATCGAACATTTCTTTGGTCGTCTTCGTTTGGCCACTATCACCATCTTTGATAGTACTTTGGGTGTTATTTTCAACTTCGTTGGGGTACTCCGCTTTGTAAATGACGTATTCGGTACCGTTGCTAGGCATTTGCTTGACATCGGCTTTGGTGATTTTCGATGGTTTGTAATGTAATAATTTAGAGCGGTTGTGTTTGTATTCCACACCCTTTACAGTGGGCTTGTTCGTAGTAATCACTTTTATTCCAGCTATAGTTGTTAAATCTGGAACATATTCTGGTTGGTTCCTCTTGTTGACCTCGTAGCTGACCGAGGTTTCGTAGCTTTGACTGGTAATATATGATGAATCTTTATTGGAATCATCATTTGTGGTCGTATCTAGATTAATACTGGTAGTACTAGCTTCGTAAAAATTTGAAAATATTATTTTAGCCTTTTCCGGTTTTTTATCATCGAATAACTGATGAGAAATGTCTGATTCTGTATGCGCTACGGTTGATGTGGTACTTGGTTTCTCTGTGGATTTGGTGGTACCGAAAATATCGTCTAATTCGTAATCATTTCTGACTGTTCCGATGTACAAAGGTCCTTTATAAGGTTCCGCTTCCGTTAAAAAGTCACTTTCCGTCGTAGTACTGTGCATAGCGGTGGTACTAGATTTCTCAGTAGGCAAAGTTGTTGGTACCGAAGAAGTTGTCAAAGATGAAGATGGAATTTGCGTTGTTGATTCTTGTACAGTACTAGTAGTGCTTATTAAAGTCGTACCAATCGTTTCTTTAGGCACCAATGTAGTATCTTGTGTTGGTGTTGGTATTTCTGTTTCTTCAATAGTCGTTGGTGCTTCCGTCGCAGCTTTCATCGGTTCAGTAGAAGAAGATTGTTCTTCTTCAAGAGATTCAGTAACGGTATATTTTTGCCCTGTTGTTGGATTTAAAGGTACATTCAATGTCGTCGGTATCGGGGTATATTTAGCGGTACTAGTACTACTAATTGTAGTTTCTTCTGATTTCATAGGCACTGTTGGCGTTTGCAATGTTGGCATTTTAGGTAAAGTTTGCTGCTTTATCGACTCAGTTGTAGTTAACGTTTCAGCAGTCGTTGTAGAAGAAGCAGTCGTGGTAGGTATCGTCGCTTGTTCTGTTGGTACTAACTTTGAAGTTGTCTTTTCCGTTGTTGACATTCTTTCTGTAGGGACTAACTTTGAAGTTGTCTTTTCCGTTGTTGTTAATTTCGAAGTTGACATTCTTTCTGTCGTGACAGGCCGAAGTTTGGAAGTACTGAAAGAGAACGGCGTAGGTTTTCTATATATCGGATAGAAACTGGATGTTTTTGTAGTGCTAGAAGTGGTAGTAGATTTTTGTGATGAAGGTTTGAATCTTGATTTGGTGGTGTATTTCGTTTTTGTAGTAGTAGGGATAGTGGTTGTTGTTGTTGTAGTACTTGTAGGTGTAGGTGTAGTAATCATTTCTGTAGTCGACATAGTTTTTGCAGTAGAAGTTGTAGTAGTAGTACTTGTAGTCGTTGATGGACTGGTAAATTTAGTAATCTTTGGTTTAGAGCTTGCTTTGGTACTGTAATATTTCTTTGTTGGCTTAGTGGTCGATCTTTCAGTGGTAGTTGATCTTTCAGTCGTGCTTAATGTAGTTTTCGGTGTTACTCTCTCAGTTGAAGTGGAAGGTGTCTGCATTTCCGTCATTAAAACTTCTTCACCTGTCGGCATAAAGTAGTGCACTGTTGCTTTAGTAGTTGTTGGACTCATTGGAAGATTTCTGTCACTTATAGGAATGCTAGTGGTTTCTGGTATTAAAGGAGTTGTTATTGATTGATTTGTATCAGAAGCTCTGTTCAAAGAAAATCTGTGCGGTCCTTCCTGATTTAGCGTCGTACTCGTTTTAGAAGCTAGTATTTCGAGTAGCTTCTTGTATAACTCCGATTCTTCGGTTAAGTTCGTGGTTAATTGAGTTGCGAATGTTCCAGGAGTTGTAGTTGTTATTTCGTTGGTAGATACTTGAGGCGCTGTAGTGATGAAACCCGGGTAGCTGTATAAGACGTGTTTGTGGCCATCGGAGTCGACTCCGAGTATGACTTCCGGTTTGAATTGAGTTTGAACTATCTTTCTGTTGTAGTACTGAAAAAAATTAGAGGTTTTTATTTGGTTAAAAGTAGATCCTTTATTATGTCTGATTACTCTTTACGATTACAAGAACTTGTTTTTGAATAAAGACAAATCTAGGGGGTACAATCTCTAATGGATCAAAGACTAGTTGAAGGATTTAAATCAATTGCTACTCACTTCCGGGTAGTTTTTGTTGGGTTCGCTGCTTCTGATGACGAACACATGCCCAGGAATGGCGTAATTAAAACGATTTCGTCTCATAATGATCTGGTCGTTTTCGGCGTTCACCGGATTGATGATGTATTCGAGTTCGAAGCGTGTTCTGTCGACGTCTCGATGCCTCAACCGCTTGACCGTCCACAGGGCGACCAGTATTTCACGGTTGTGAGGCGTATACGGCTGAAATTAAACGTCGATACAAACGACTATTTCTTTCGCTTGAGTATTGTTAGGGCGAACCCGAATAAAGAAGATACCATTACGTCACTGGTCCACTCAGAGTCAGTAGCGCTGCACTTTTTGAAATCTAGCTGTTTTAAAATGGTGACGTAATGGTATCTTCTCTATTCGGGTTCGTTTTTAACATTTTTTACCTGACAATCGTGTCTTTCGCATCGTCTGGGATTGTGACAGTCGTCGCAGTCGTTTTGATAGGGATCCTGTAATAACATAAAGCTGCCGCCGTGAATGGCATACAGCTGACCTCTGGCGAGCACCACCACATCGCCGAAAGTATTGCTCAGGTCTTGACGACCGATCAACTGAGCGCCGTTGATTCTTTCGCGTAAGTTCGGTTCCCAATAACCTTCTCGCAACAGGGCTTGATTGATGGCTTCTCTAAGGCCTACCTAAGAGAATACGTAGTAAATCAAAAATGTGAATATTATTATGAAAAAATTAAAGATATAATTAAAAAAAGAAGTGAAAACAAAAATGAAATAAAGATTGTTTGTGCCGAGATTCGAACGCACAATGACTTGCTTCAGTAGCCGACACCTTATCCTTTAGAACGCGTTCGCTCGATGCTTTTATTTGCGAGACGATGTATATATTATAAACTTGGGATGGTTAAGAATAAAATATATGCTACTTGACGTACTTTAGAAACATTTTTTGAATTTAAATTATACAAATATTTGTAATAATAATTATTGCAGCACCAGTAGTGGTCCGGACTTCAATAACATGATACAAACCCTAAATTAGTTTTTTGTCGAATAGATTATTTAAAAGGAAAATCATCAGTTAATGCCGGACAGTGAGAGTATGAGAATAGATGAAAAACATAAGGAATGATAGGTTTAAATATAAGAGATAGGTGAAAAGATCCAGATAATACCGTGATAGGTGAAAAGATAAGGGGAATAGTTAAAAAATGAATGATAACTGAATTAGGGACAATAGATGAAAGAAATAAGAAAGGTGAAAAAATAAGAGGTAATAAGTCAAAAAAATTATTAAAGAGTAGGTGAAAAGATAGGGGACACAGGTGAAAAGCTCTGGGACAATAGGTAACAAATGGGGAAAATAAATGAAGAAAAATATGAAAGAATAGGTGAAAGTGTAAGAGAAGATAGGTGAAATGATATTGGGGAATGGATTAAGATTAAATGATGAGATAAGGAATCAACGAAAAATGCAGAAGTTTAAGACCAAATATGTTCTTTTGGGGCGATCAGAAATGGATAAAAACTCCTAATATGATACAAAGTAATGTACATATAAGGAGGAACATATGTGTATGTGGTTACAGCATTTTAAAACAAAAAAGCGTCACAAAGAAAAACAAGAAGAAACAAGATAAATCCACAACAATCATTTTCAATAAGTTTTTTAATATAGATTTTACTTTCCTGTCTGTATACAGATATAAGGAAAGTATAGGAATCATGATTTTTTTCGACCTCGAGTTTTCGACGGATTTTTACGTTTTGAGGTCCCCTGAATCCGTTTTGACTATTTTCGCGATGATGTCTGTGTGTGTGTGTGTCTGTGTGTGTGTGTGTGTGTGTGTGTGTGTGTGTGTGTGTGTGTGTGTGTGTGTGTGTGTGTCTGTATAACGCATAACTCATGAACCGATACACAGAAAAACACTAAATTTTAAACTTAAGCTTTGTTTCAGCGTCCAATGAGCTGATTAGATTTTGGGCAGTGTCGGATCATCTGGGGGGGTACTTTATAGGTGGTCATTTTTATATTTTATGGAATATATCTGTTATTTACGTTTGGAGAAGAAAATTCTTCAAATAAAAGTTACTTCTAATATAATTATCTATAATTTTTGTTTTATGCAAAATTTTCCTAAAATGGTCCGTATTCGAGAAATTTGACCAAATGTAAAAAACATAATTTTTTATAAAAATTGTTCAAATAAAAGTTGTTTGTAATATAATTCTCTATAATTTTTGTCCTATACATAATTTCTCTAAAATGGACCGTATTCGAGATATTTGAGAAAATGTGTAAATTTCGAAATTTGAAGAAAACTCAAAAACGGATAAAGGAAAAAACATTAAATTTTAAACTTAAGGTTTATTTCGGCCTGACGTGAAATGATTAGATTTTGGACAAAGTCGGAACATCTGGGGGGGGGGGGGGTACTTTATGGGAGGCCGTTTTTATATTTTATGGAATATATCTGTTATTTATGTTTGGAGAAGAAAATTGTTCAAATAAAAGTTACTTCTAATATTATTATCTATAATTTTTGCTTTATGTCAAAATTTCCTGAAATGGTCCGTATTCGAGAAATTTGACAAAATGTGCAAAATTCTGATTTTTATGAAAATTGTTGAACTAAAAGTTGTTTGCGATATCGATTTCTATAATTTTTGTTTATACATGATTTTTCTAAAATGGACCGTAATGGAAAAGTGCTAAATTAAAATTTTTCTGTATTTTCGTTTTCAATGAATATCTATAGAAAAATGTTTCGAGGTAGATGTATGTGTAAAATGTATATATTTAGTTTATCCTCTAAACATTTATAGAGATGCTGCAATAGGTTGTACAAAATAACCGGAAAATGCCTATAATAACTAGATAGGAAAGTCATGTGTTGAACACATCAGATTTTTTTAATTGTCTGCTAAAAAAAATTGGGATTTCTCCGTACTAATAATCCCATTAATTATTTTAATGTTTTTTTACTATATAATAAAACTTAGTGAACTGTTTGTTGGAATTTATATTTAATGAATGAACATTATTATAGTGTTATGGTATATTATGATTATGATTGCACGGGTTTGTGCACATGAATGATCGCATTTTAATTTATATTTGAAATATACAAATAATATTTGCGTTTATATTTAATTATTCTCTAAATGAGAAAAACATATTAATTTTTTTTTTTGTTAAATCTTTTAGTAAGCTGATGATAGTTATCCAGGGTGAATCCTTGATACTTTTTACTTCCCTCGATAGAGGGAAGCATTGTAATCGTAAAAAAGTCATCTTCCGAGATTATTTCTAATTTTCACGTTTCAGGGCCCCAGATTACGAAAAACATTTTCCCCCATTCTGTTTGTCTGTCGGCGCAATAACTCAAAAACGGCTTTGTAAAAAAACTTCAAATTTTGTATGTAGATAATGTTCGTTTCTGGCTCAAAATCAGTTATATTTCCGATAAGTTATATACAAGGTGAGCAGTTTAAAAATATTTTTAAAAGTCTGCAGATTTCGCCTAAAATTCGTATTTGAGAATTTTAGAAGTCAAAGATAACAGATCATAAATAATTTTAAAAAAATTCAAAATGGCGTTGAAAGGAATCGTATTTAATCAAAAAAGGTCCCCCTTGAATGGAAATAATAAAAATTGTCCTTTTGGTTTGTGTAACTGGACTATTTTGTTCAATAACGGTTAACGTGAGGAAGATCAATGGAGAGAGAAATGTGAAAAAGGGTTTTTGGTAATTTTATTAAAATTTAAATGCTCCCTGGTTTTACAATTTTTATATCAAGGGAAGTTCTGGGTAAACTACTTTACCGATTTTTTAAAACTACATATATATCATTAAAATAAACAACTTTTTCAGATAACTTTTTCAAAAAAATCAAAAATAAGAAACCTACTAGTATTTATTCCAAATTGTATCCAATACGATCCTGTCCTATCAACATGAAAGGGATTTAATTGATTTTCCCGCAATTGTCCACACTTTTCTTTGAGTTTTCCCACCTGATAAGTAATCACTTCCACACTTATCCAAAAACAAGTTTTCGGTAATATGTACAACGGCTATTTCATGCTATTTTATGATATTTTATGCCATTTTTTTCAATTTTATTCTATTTTATTCTATTTTATTCTATTTTATTCTATTTTATTCTATTTTATTCTATTTTATTCTATTTTATTCTATTTTATTCTATTTTATTCTATTTTATTCTATTTTATTCTATTTTATTCTATTTTATTCTATTTTATTCTATTTTATTCTATTTTATTCTATTTTATTCTATTTTATTCTATTTTATTCTATTTTATTCTATTTTATTCTATTTTATTCTATTTTATTCTATTTTATTCTATTTTATTCTATTTTATTCTATTTTATTCTATTTTATTCTATTTTATTCTATTTTATTCTATTTTATTCTATTTTATTCTATTTTATTCTATTTTATTCTATTTTATTCTATTTTATTCTATTTTATTCTATTTTATTCTATTTTATTCTATTTTATTCTATTTTATTCTATTTTATTCTATTTTATTCTATTTTATTCTATTTTATTCTATTTTATTCTATTTTATTCTATTTTATTCTATTTTATTCTATTTTATTCTATTTTATTCTATTTTATTCTATTTTATTCTATTTTATTCAATTTTATTCTATTTTATTCAATTTTATTCTATTTTATTCTATTTTATTCTATTTTATTCTATTTTATTCTATTTTATTCTATTTTATTCTATTTTATTCTATTTTATTCTATTTTATTCTATTTTATTCTATTTTATTCTATTTTATTCTATTTTATTCTATTTTATTCTATTTTATTCTATTTTATTCTATTTTATTCTATTTTATTCTATTTTATTCTATTTTATTCTATTTTATTCTATTTTATTCTATTTTATTCTATTTTATTCTATTTTATTCTATTTTATTCTATTTTATTCTATTTTATTCTATTTTATTCTATTTTATTCTATTTTATTCTATTTTATTCTATTTTATTCTATTTTATTCTATTTTATTCTATTTTATTCTATTTTATTCTATTTTATTCTATTTTATTCTATTTTATTCTATTTTATTCTATTTTATTCTATTTTATTCTATTTTATTCTATTTTATTCTATTTTATTCTATTTTATTCTATTTTATTCTATTTTATTCTATTTTATTCTATTTTATTCTATTTTATTCTATTTTATTCTATTTTATTCTATTTTATTCTATTTTATTCTATTTTATTCTATTTTATTCTATTTTATTCTATTTTATTCTATTTTATTCTATTTTATTCTATTTTATTCTATTTTATTCTATTTTATTCTATTTTATTCTATTTTATTCTATTTTATTCTATTTTATTCTATTTTATTCTATTTTATTCTATTTTATTCTATTTTATTCTATTTTATTCTATTTTATTCTATTTTATTCTATTTTATTCTATTTTATTCTATTTTATTCTATTTTATTCTATTTTATTCTATTTTATTCTATTTTATTCTATTTTATTCTATTTTATTCTATTTTATTCTATTTTATTCTATTTTATTCTATTTTATTCTATTTTATTCTATTTTATTCTATTTTATTCTATTTCTATTTTATTCTATTTTATTCTATTTTGTTTTATTCTATTTTATGTTATTTCATGCTTAAACCTTACTAATCGAAGCCACAAGAGATAAACGACAAATTTGCAAGTCATAATGTCACTCGTCATATGTCATTTCCAAACTGTTGTATTTTTTATATTTCAGTAAATTTTCTAACTTGTCAATAATTTCTTTTTAATTTGTTTTGAACAAGTAGTTTGTGTTTCGACAAAATAGACTAACGACAATTTTGCAAATCATAATGTCACTTGTCATATGTCATTTCCTAACTGTTGCATTTTGTATATTTCAATAAATCTAACTTGTCAATAATTTCTTTTTAATTTGTTTTGTACCAGTAGTTGCGTTTCGACAAAATAGACTAACGATGATTTTGCAAGTCATAATGTCACTTGTCATATGTCATTTCCAAACTGTTGTATTTTTTATATTTCAATAAATTTTCTAACTTGTCAATAATTTCTTTTTAATTTGTTTTGTACCAGTAGTTGCGTTTCGACAAAATAGACTAACGATGATTTTGCAAGTCATAATGTCACTTGTCATATGTCATTTCCAAACTGTTGTATTTTTTATATTTCAATAAATTTTCTAACTTGTCAATAATTTCTTTTTAATTTGTTTTGAACAAGTAGTTTGTGTTTCGACAAAATAGACTAACGACAATTTTGCAAGTCATAATGTCACTTGTCATATGTCATTTCCTAACTGTTGCATTTTGTATATTTCAATAAATTTTCTAACTTGTCAATAATTTCTTTTTAATTTGTTTTGAACCAGTAGTTGTGTTTCGACAAAATAGACTGTAACGACAATTTTGCAAGTCATAATGTCACTTGTCATGTCATTTCCAAACTGTTGTATTTTTTATTTCAATAAATTTTATGACTTGTCAATAATTTCTTTTTAATTTGTTTTGAACCAGAATATTAGTACTTCTACCTTTATTTCATTTGTATGTAGCAGAAAACTTTTGCTCATTTGCTGTCACTTTTTCACGAAATCACGGCTTAAAATCACTGACATTCAAATGTCACAACAACAAGTATCACTGATACTTGAAAATCCCGATATCGCTCAGGTCTAGTCAGAAGAGTGACTAATGAAAAACCGATTTTCTTTTAAATATTTAGCACCCTGTATCTTAAAAACAAAGAAATTGAGAGCACATGTTTATTTATAAGAAATTTGAGTCATAAAATAGGCCAATGAATATTGACATGATATCAAGAAACTTGAAATATTTTGCATTCATAACAAAACAAATACCTACAAATTATTATTTGACTTGTTACCTCCCAATTGGCCAGTGGTCCTGAAGAAGGTCCGCTCGAAATGTGTCGAAAATATCTCACGCTTCCCGATTGTTCCGTCGACTGCGATGGTCTTTTGTTCGTAATGGCCGCCGATTCCCATGGGCAGATTATTATCTGAAAGCGAACGATAAAATAGTAATAGTAATTTGATTATTTTGCTTTATTTTCGGCGTACTCACACAAATCATGTTTTTCTTTGTGTGTTAAAGCGTTTCTGTGCATTGTTTTTTTTTTATCGATGGGAAAAGCTTTCACTAGACTGCACGAGACGTGCCATTATGTTTGGCCATAAATTAGAATTGGTATGCGTAATAACGAAATGTCATGTATTGTTTCTTTAATAATTATTCTACCGTATTATTAATAATAATGAATAAGGACCTTCCGCTCTACAGCGAAACCTTCATCGTGTCTGGGATGATTTTTGGTTCTTCGGATTGTTATGGTTGCTTATAAAAGGTCTTAGAATAGTACCCCAAGTAACATATATAAAATTTAGGCTTACTGCTATGACGTAAGTTCCCCTACGTCGTCGGATTTTAGCTCTTGAAGAAGTGGATAAGACCTTTTATTTAAGAATCAAAATTTGTGTCTAGTATTATGTAATTATACTCTAAATTTATTTAAGGATTTTTTATAAAACCGATTTATTATATTGTTTTTTTTTTAAATTTCAGTTCATTTATTAATTTTGCTTTAAAATCAGTCCGTACCTGAAATATCCTTTAAACCACATAATAAAACATGTCCTAGGTTAAGTAAATACATATTTCTAGATGTTCTTGTAGCAAACAATAGGTGAATATTTCCAACAAATTAAGTCACACACATGATATATATTATATTTATGACGAAAGTACGAAAACTAAACTTAAATTAACACTAAATGAAACTCAAAAAACACTATTATAATGAGAATATTATCTAAAAACAGTTAAAAAATCACAAATACAAAATTCCGCCCAAAACAAACACATGTAAATAAACAAACATCCTACTTATAGGTGACAAATGACAGGCGCGCGAAAATTAATTTGAATCGCGAATCGTGGTCCATAGCTTTGTTTATATTAAGTTTGTCCGTTACATATTCCTAACGAGACTAGATTGACATGTTGTCAGATCTCTGCTATCAAAAAAATTGTAGTACATTTTGTTAAAAAACTTTAAATAATATTCGGTAATTATTGAGAAGACGCCCATTTTCTTAAAAATCCCATATATTTTTTTTTTAAAACAAAAATTTTTAGGCTTTAGGAAGGTTAGTACTTTTCAAATGTACCACCGGAAACCCCATAAAAAATGTTTTTATTTTTTTTTTATATATTAATGACTTTGAGGAATATTTTTATGTAAACTTATTCTAGACCACCGTTACTCAAAGTGTGGCCCGTGAAGCCCTGGGGCTTCGCAAAGCTGTACTATCGCTACAAAAGGGAGGGATTTGGCTTGAGGATCTTTTTTTTTAGAAGTCACCAAGAGGAAGGAGGATTGATTTAGATTTTATTGTGGGGGCTCCGCGAAGAAAGGGGAGGGACCTGGCTCGTGGCCTGTTTTTTATAGAATCACTAAGAGGAAGGACATATGGACCTTTTTTTAGAAATGTGTTTAGGGCTCCGTTAAATATTTCGCTTTTTAAAAAAGTTCCTTCACCAAAAAAGTTTGAGAACTACTGATCTAGATATCTATATATTTCATACTTTTATTACAAATGCTCGGTGTTGCCAAGTTTCCAATTAAAATCAACGAAAAAGAAATATAAAACGTTTATTTTTAGCACATTTCCAAACACTTTAAAAATTTAATTCGTTGCTCTTCCTTCAAAACTTTTTTTAACGTTTATTTTCCAGTAACATCTGGCGATTTATTTATCACTTGATTGAACTGTTGTAGTACATAATAACTGAATATTAGGCATTCCAAACAAAATGGGTGCCTGTGGGCATTGATATTGCAACCCTGTGGGTTTGGTGGATTTGGCAGTTGATAACTGCAATTTCTTGTTCATTTAAATTATTTTAAGATTGTAAATGAAAATTGTAAATTGCAGTTTTTTTTGTCTAGGGCTAGAAAATGATTTTAAAATGTATACCTGAATTTGGGTTTGATGTAATTTCATTTATTTTTAGATAAATCAAAAAAATTTATATTTTTGTCATGTTTGTTTTTTATTTTTAAATATACCAGGATTATTTTGATTCTTAATAAAGAATAATTGAAGAATTTACTTGAGTTTAGATTGCCGAATATTACTTACCAAAATTTTTAATATAATTAAGCACCGTGACATTATGAGTATGTCATATTAAACATTTTTATTATTTCTTTTCACTAATGAAAATGTAAACAGACACATAATTCGCTTTTTTGCCACCAACTTTTAAATCCATATTCTATCCACTTGTAAAATAATAAATTATTAATTTTTTCACGCCACAATTTTTCTTTAAAATAATTAAATTAAAATATTTTCATGAACGTAATTTTTTAATGATCCATGTTATATGCCCGCACCGTTTGTTGTTTCCAGTGTCACTAACTGTCGATTTTTTTTTTAAAGAAAATCTGAATATTTCCAAGTAATTTTTCCCTCCTCTGTTTAGATAATTTCGACACAACTATTTACCTCCCCGCCTATGCTTGCTCTCGTATCGCATACATGTAAGCGCTATGTGCACGCTTCAGTGCTAGGCTAGTACTGCTGGAAGTCGATTATTCGAATCATATGCAACAAAAGAAGTAGGAATGACTACTTTTTTCAAAACAAATTTTTTTTGTTAATGTGTTTAATAATAGCATTACTTGTGAAGTTAAAAGAAAATGTACAAAAATCTTTGTTTAAAAATTAAATTAAAATAGTTATTTGTGTACCAAGGCCGTAAAGTTGATCTTTTTTGGTAGAATCAAAAATTTCTTGTGAATAAAAATGAGGGGATAAGGGAGGTTAAAATATTGGTAAAAAAACCTAACTTAGAAACAAAGAACAATAACAAATTGAAATCTTCAAAGAAAATAAAGCTATATAAGGACATGAAGCCTATTGATTCTAAAAAAAATATGATTGAAAATGGAGGTTAAGGGGGTCTTTTAAACTGTGAAGAGTATAATATAGAAAGCCAATACATTTCCTGAAATATTTAAAGAGATTAATATTATTTCCATATTTAAAAAAATTATTAACTTAACAAACGAAAAATTCCAACATCTTATTGATCTTAAAACTTTTAGATTATAAACGATTTAGAAGCTGTAAATTTTTCTTTCACACATTCTTTCCATTTCCATTTTTTTAATTATTATTTTTTTTTTAAATTTTATAATAATATGTATTATTGTACTTTTCACACAGTAGTCTGTGCACTTTTAAGAAACCAACATTTTTAATGGTTCAAATTTACAAATTTGTGTACCAAAGTGGAGGGTTAAGGGGGTTGAAATATTTTTTAAATATCCTAACTCAAAAGCAACAAATGATATCAACTTGTAATTTTTAACAAAAATCAAGATAAGTGGAAGAAGCCCGTTGATTTTGAAAAAAAAAAAAATTGATTAAAAATGGAAGGGTTAAGGGGGGTGAAAATTTAAAATTAAAATAAAATCATAAATTAAAAACGAAAAGTGATATAAACATAAAGTTTTTAGTTAAAATAAAGCTTTATAAACACAACCACTTAATAATGTCATTCTGTCAAGGAGTGAGGGCTGCTATATTTAGCATAATCATAACTTTAAATAACAAGGCGAAATTATTCGCCATGGCAAACCGGGAAACCACAGGTAATATACCATAAACCATGAACGGCGGATATTACTATTGAAATTTTACAGAAATCTTGTTAAAAAAGTTTGTTTTCATTTTAATTTGAGCTGTGTCCAGGAAATCGCATTTTTTTGATGGCCCGAAACAACGCAGGACACAGGTAACATGATGTGTTTGAATTGATCTGGCAACACTGTATTTTTTAGATGTTTTTCAAACGACAGTACTGACAGTAGATAAAATGTAACTCCGAAATCACCAACAGTTTTAAAATTTTGAAAGACAAATACAAAGAAACTATAAGCGATTACGAAAAAATTTTGTATGGTTAATTGCTCTATGGATAGTCTATCTGTGTCTGTAACGTTTGGAGGGTGGGTTACCCCACGGCACTTGGGCATCACTAGGTCCATTGTGCATTCTCTTAAGACGATAGGCATCTCCTAGCTCGTGAGCCAGCCTATAGATTTAATGTAGTTGACAACGTCGCCAAGAGGTTCTTCTCTTATATCGGCCGGTGTTAGCCGATACTCGCCGGACACAAATGGATAGTCTAATATTGATATTTAGCAATTTTTATTACAAGAAATCAAACAAAATGATGTAATTCACGTGTTTTTAGGATCGTGATTGCATGACACATTTGGACGTTTAAGGTAACAAAAAAATTCATTTTAAGGGGTTGCAAGTCGAAAAATGTATTCAAAAATGTGTTTTAGAGGATCAAAAATGGTAAGTTAAAAAAAAAAAAAAACGAAAAAATTGACCGGTTCATGTTTTGGAGTATTTTTCCCAGGACATTTTTGTACCTATCGTTTTAACATACATACGCCTATTAAATAACAACTTTGCAATTAAGTTAAACTATGGCAAACACCATTAATAGGCCTGCAAATAAACGCATGGATTTTAAAAGCGTTAAGCGTGACACCACCGCAATTGAAAGTAACCTTGTTTCATTCATACTATACGTCACGTATCGAGTGTTTTTGTTGATTTTTAGACTTTCTTGGAAATATTTCGGCTTATAGTTTTAGTGTATAGCTAACAACATGGTTCGCGAGTGCATTTTGTGCAAAAAACTGGATAATGTGAGTGCTGAAGTGTCTTTTCATAAGTAAGTAAGATTAGGTGATATATTGCATTGTTTAGTGGTGTAGATATTTAAAGATTTTGCCATGTACTATCTACCTTTGTTTTACTATTATTTCTTTTGATATTTCAACGTTATTAATTTCGCAAAAATTATTATTAATGGAAATACTTTATTTTGGACTTTAGTAGTAAAATAAATATGCTTCTGCTTGCTTTTTAGATTCCCAACTGATACAAGGCATACAAGAAATATTTGGCTGACACTTGTAGGCGAAACTGAAGGTATCCAAAAAAGAGTGTTATGCTCGGAGCATTTTGAAAGTTTTGGATGTAAAAACCTTAAAGACTAACATATTTAATTTTTAAGATCACATTTCTGATTGCGATATTTTTGAAAATCACGCACTAGATTTGATATAGCTGATATTTAAACATTAATTCAATATTCGCATTAATTTTGAGACCACAAAACAGTTGGATATTTCAAGAAAAATAGAATAGGAAGTATAAATACAAAAGTAGTATTGTTTAGAAACGAATATATTTTTTTTTTTAAATAAAAACAAAGTTTTTTTTCAACGCCTAGCACTAATGCAGGTTTATTGTTGTATAGTTCTACGTGTCTTCGGATTTTACAAATTAATTATCGCCAGCTCTGCTATATGTAACGTTCCATTTAAAATCCCCACCTTAAATATCGTAAATTTATTCATTTATTAACTTTTATAAATTTATTGAGTCTTAAAAATCTGAATTTTGATTCAAAAATCTCTTATTATTACCAATTTGTAAAACTGTTCAAATTAACTCCAAAATTGGATTCCTAAATTTGTTTAAAATAAATTCTTCATTTATTTATCTTGTTTTTATTTTATTTATTGTATTTTATTTTGTTTAACATCTTTTTATGTAATAAATATTGTATTGTTCTTAAAAAAAAAATAAAATAGTGTTTTCAAGTTTTTTACCTACATTCCACTCAACTGCATACCCTTATTACAAATCCAATAGGTTTTAAAGTTTAAACCATTATAAAGTTTATTGCACACCTTATAGATTAGTATTTCATGATTTATTTATTTTTATATTTAACTTAGTATTTACTGCAATTTAATAATCTTTTATGCAAAAAACGAGAATTTATGATTTTATCTTTAATAAGATACGCCACTGGTATCGACAGACGTTTAGTTGCGTGTAACAGCAGCGTTGCCAGACGAGATCTAGGGTTACAGTCTGCCTTCTTTCAATCCGCATGAAATATCTTCTTTTTCTTTTCCAATGATTGGGACAAATACGTTATGAATGAAATGCTTCATCTGTTGTTGTTTCTGTGTTTGTAATAAAGGTTTTTTTATCTATTAGATTTAATATTTATAATTTTTTTTTATTATTATTATTATTTAAAACATTTTCTGTTTGGAAAGTTAACTGCCAAATTTACAAAACTTCATTTCACTTACTGTTTAAAGCAAATTAACAGAACAATCATAGTTTGGATCCTTATTACATTCCTACTTCTTTGACAAACGTCAATCTACATACATAATGAATTTCCATTTGATGTTCTTTTGAATAATCTTTTACTTAAATCTGTCTGTTTACGAAATCCTGCCTCCATTTTTAACTGATTTTGCTCACACAACTAATTGTTGCAATATTTCTTGTAATAGTTTTTTTTTTATGAGAACTTTTCTACCGAGTTTGTGCAAAAATAAATAATTCGGATAATTGTTTGGGAAAGCGGAAGATATTACTAGTTATTGTAGGATTTAAATAAATAAATTGGAGTATAGTTGACATGAAATGAAACCATAAATTCATTAATACATATAAATACAATGTTGTCTGCTGTAAATGAGATGTCAACTAAAATAAATTTGTATTATACGTTATTTTGGATATAATCATTTGGACAGCTTATTATTTTTGGTATGTAAATTTTGGTGTTTTGAAAAAATGCTACTAATTTTACTACTATGGTAGAATTAAACATTTCGAACTACGACCTCCTCAAAAGATGCGTAATGTTTATTTTTTGTCTAAATAAAATTATTTTTGTGAAAATATACCATAGTTTGGTTTTTAATTTTCTACGTTTTATGCGTATAAAATTAAATTTGAAAAGCCTCTGCATAGTGGCAAAATAATTTTTCCCGAAAATATAAGTACAAATGATTGAATGGAGTTAACAATAGTGTTGTAAAATAGTTATGGTGGCCCTTTATTAGTTATTTTTGACTTTCCTGAATACCTAGAAAGGAAAATTGTATCTAATTCGTAAAACAATAAAGATAAAGTTTTTTATTGTTAATTACCGCAGTGGTAATTTGCAAATACTTTCACTTTCACCAAATAATAACGTGGTGTTTATGTAAAATATCCGTAATAATAATTAGGAGTTTTACACCACCCGAGGTAAGTAAATGCATGAATTAACCGGAAAGAAAACAAAAGAAAGTAAAAGTGTGACTGTTAACCGAACGGGCATCATGCGGTCTTGTTTAAATTAATTTAATTGTATGAAATTTTATTGAAAGTATTTTTTTCCCGGTTCAAATGTTTTATTATGTGATTCGAGTTTCCTCATTCTCATTTGAATTTCCTACCGAGTTTGGGCAAGAGTCAAACATAATTTGATATTAAAACAGTTTCTTGTTAGATCAGAATAACTTAAATCTAAATTCTTCCTTTTTATGAGGGCTTATAAAATGGAAATATAAAAAATATACCACAACAAATTTTTGTTTCGGTATTTAAACTTCAAAATATTTTGTTTCTACTTTTCGAAAGGTTCTACAGGGTGTTTCAAAATGGTATGTCGATTTGCTCTAGAAATTCAGTTAAAAAATTGTAAATAGCTCGTTAAATAAGAAAGATTTCGCTATAAATTTTTTTTTCAAAATTCATAGTTCTTTTTGAATTTAAGATCGATAAAGCAAGTTTCTTTATGTCAAAAAAAAAAGGTACCCAACCCCCAAATTTTTTTAAAGGGGTCGCTCTAAATTTTTTTCTCCTTAGAATATTGGGCCTTCAAATGTAACAGCATTGGCAAAAATTTCAAAGAAAAAATCGCAACAGCAAACTTTTAACAAAAAAAAAAAAAAACGTTTTTCTAAATGTAACACCCTGTAACTTTGTTGGGAGCCACTTTTTGATATAGGTAAATATAGCCAATGCACTTATTTTTTGGTAATCTATCTGAGGAATAATTTATGACATACCTTTTTGAAACACCCTGTATATAGTCGGGAGGCAGTGCATTTTTTTTATACTTCGCAGTCGGTGAATGTGACATTGTTTGTTCGGATAGTGACACAAACGACAATTTGTGAGTCTGGCTAAAATTTTTGGATGGGTTCACTAGATGAAGAAAAAAAGACCAGCCCATTTATTTTCCCAGTCATAAATATTTAAAATTTATTAAAGTGAAACTTCTTATTAATGGAAATAATAGTCTGGCATATCCTAAGATATAGTCGCTGGGCGCCAAATCTGGGGAGTATGGCTGATGAGGAACCAATTCGTAACGCAATTCATACAGTTTTGCCATTGCGACTGCACATTTGTGTGCCGGTGCGTTGTCCTGGTGGAAGAGCACTTTCTTCTACGCTAAATGCGGTTGTTTTTGTTTCAAATCGTCGTCGAATCGGTCCAACAGCTTTGAGTAATAATCGCTGGTGATGGTTTTACCCTTTTCAAGGTAACCCATATGAATAATACCGTGCGCATCCCAAAAAACTGTGACCATGACCTTGTTGGCAGACATACCCACCTTGGCTTTCTTTGGCTTTGACTCGCCCTGAAAAACCCACTGCTTTGACTGTTCCTTCATCTCTAGCGTATTGTGATGAATCCATGTTTCATCCACGGTTACAAAACGGCGCAAAAAGTCCTTCTTATTGTGGTTAAACATTGCCAAACACTCCTTTGAACTTGTCACAAGGTTTCGCTTGTTGTCGGCATTGAGCAAACGCGGCACCCATCTGGCAGCGAGCTTCGTCATTCCCAAATATTCGTGCAATATATTCTCCACTCGTTCACGTGAGATGCCCACAGCCTCAGCAATCTCACACACTCTTACCCGTCGATCGTCAATTACCATACCATGAATTTTATCAACCACTTCTGGTGTGGTGACCGTAATTTCATAGAAAATACACGTCTAGCTGTCATTTACAATCACGAAATTACCGCCAGACTCGCAAGTAAGATAGTTGAATGAAGAGAGGAAAAGGCAGGTGCGTATTTAGGTAACGACGCTTGAATGAGAATACCTGAGAACAGCTGCCTGCCAGGCAGTGCCAGGGCTCTGGTCCCTTATATTCCTCTCTCTCAATTACCACGTGACTATATAGCACAAGCACTTTTCTATGCGTCATTGTCAGCAAACATTAAAATGCAAACATGTCCAGCCAATCAGAATTCATAATTCTCCAGCCGATCGAATGATTCTTCGTTTAATATCGTGTCAGTTTGTATTTCGTTGGAGACTTTGGAATTTGACGGTATTTAGCCTAACCTATCTTTCTTGCATGCCTTAGATTTCAGATTTTGTTGGCTATACATCTTATAGTTTGTATAATTTTGTTGAATGCATATAAGAGTCGAAAAAAATTAATACAACAGCACACAGTGGGACAAACGCATAATCTAGCTAATAAAAAAATCACACATATTTACCTTTTATCAACACGTAACATTGCCAAAGTCATTTTTTCTATAATGTTTGTGGGTAAATTAATATTCCAGCTTGAATAGATTTAATTTGTCTCTTTGATTTTAATCTATTGATTTCTACATTGGTGCGAAGAACTACAATTTTCATTTTATCTCTATTATTTTTAATGAGTCACTCTGCGTATGTGGTTGTTGATTACTTGACGAAAAATTGTAGTATCCCTAGATTTTATTGCGTATTTACTGTTTGAAATAAATCTTGAAATTTCCACAAAATGTTCCCAATTTGGTAAATATTTAAGTATATAAAATAAGATTTAAATCTGTCATAAAAGTCATAATGTTAACATCTTGGTTACCCAACGTCCTAGTTCAACCGTTTTGTTTGGTTATCTCCAAAACTATCGCAACCTTGGTGCTCGCCTAATAGTGGTATTTTTTTACAAATTGGTTACTTGCTTAACTTATAATGACACTGATCCTTATTTAAATGTATAATGGCCGCCGAAATTTCGTAAGGATTCGCATTGTTTACATTTTATGGTCGATTATCTGACTTGCTTATCAAATATAGGACCGAATTTTCATTGAAATAGAGAAATCCAAGGGATATGATATAATAAATCGATGAATCATTGAAGATTTGTTATTCAAATACCCATTAGTTTTTTCTTTATTTCAAGCTAGAGATGGACGAAACGTGGTACAGATTGTATCAAAATTAAACTTTGTCCTTAAAAATATATATTTTGTTCAAACATATTTTTTTCTAACTTCGGTAATACAAAAGATTCAGTCTTATGGTTTCCCTGCAGGCAGGGTTTGGATCTGAATTTAAATTAATGTTACGATTTAGTTTATAATTATTGAATATTGAACATTGAATATTTAAAATCACACCAGGATCTTACAAGATACTAAATTCTGAACGGGATATTTACACATACTATTTTGTAGAGTTTAATGAGAAAAGTTCAATGCCGCAAACCGCTTATTTAGAGATAAAAACGATTGCATACATATCTAATTTCGAAAGATTCGATTCTGTAATAAAAATTAACCTAAATTGGAGCCAAAATCTAACTCTGGCTTTATTAATAATGCCACCGTGATTTTACTGTGCACGAAAGTTATGCATGGGTGTACTAATTCGCCTGATTACGCAGAATGTCGATGGCGTCGGCATTCTGTGAAACGGAGGGCGTTTTTCAAAAAAAAAAAAAAGTTCTAACCGCTGTATCTCGATTAATTCTAATCTGTCAATATCGTGTAATATACCATTTTGTAGGTCTTATTGAGTAGATTCCGAATCACTATGGATTTATTGAGCTACCTTCAAGAACAGCGCATATATGGGGGTTTAAACAAAATTTCAAAAAATCGATAGATTTTTGACAAAAACGGCCAAAAATTAAGACGTGTATTTTTCATGGTATCTTACAGATTTTGATGAATACATTCCGAAAATGTGTTCATTTTTTGATTTATTTTTAAGTGCCTCAAAATCGTTGTTAACTTCTGAACATTATAATATCTGATTTTCATGTTATCTCACTGAACTTGCAAGATAAAACCTTATATTTAGCAATAACTTCAACTTCAAACGAAAATATAAACTGAAAGATGTTGCAGGAATAGTTACCTGTAGTTATAGATGATATGTTATATCCAAAAATATTAAGGCTAGTGTCCATACGGACGATGCTATTAAAGCTCAAAATTATTTTTGTATTAACTACTGTCACTGAATATTAAATATCCCTGAAATATCTTAAGTGGTTACGAAAATATACATTTTTCTTTTTTTCTAAAACTTTAGCACCCTGTATTTGTGTAACGGAACTTTTTTGGACCATAATTTATAATGGAAACTATCATTAATTTTTCATGTAGATTCACACCCTTAAATAGTCGCATATCTATTATATGTTTGTCCATAAGATAATATATCTTTGACAATAAACATGTTTTATCTGTCTCATTACATTGAATATCATTATTATTATTATTATTAGTAGTAGTGAAATAATTAATCATTTTTGTATTTTATTTTGGATTAAATCAGTTGCATTACAACCGGCAATATAATGTTATAAGGTCATAAAACTAGAAAAACGCTTCAAGCAAAGTTTTATTCATTGGAAAGGAAGTTTTCATGTACATATATTTAGTAAGATTATTTTTTAATATATCATTCCAAACATTTTCTAATGCCAGCTTAAATGTTCGCCAACATCCTGATCGAAGCGATAAAATAATTTGCTTAAGTAAAAAATACGTATAATTATAAAGCCGACATTGAACTATTTATGTAACCCCACCTGTGGGCCTTTAATGTTATTCACAATTATGAAAACTTTACATCCTGTAAGTGCGATGTGTAAATGTTTTCCTATGCAGTCTGCTGATTTTATTGTGAAATTTATATCACGTTTAAATTTTTTATCGTATAGGAATCTCCGAAGATGTCCTCCCTTTTAGTTAATTCAAAAAAAAAAAAATACATTATACTTATTTTACTTAAATGGATACTTTTTAGCCAAAAATTATAATTGTAAGGAAAGAAGAAGAAAATCCAAAATTTATTGAAATTTAGAGATTTCAGTTTAATTTTGAATGATAAGAAGTACTTGTACTCCCCTGCCAATAACAACACTTTACGTCTACTCCGCTGAGTATACTTCGCGGAATCTGGTATTTCTAGTATTCCCAGCATTCTGCAATTGTCATATTGGTAAAGTTTGACGTTTTAAACCTATCATTTAGTTGACAGTTCGATTTTAATTATATTATCAACACTTATTGAAAACCGCAACTATATATAAATCTGGCAATAAAATGGTAATCGAAAAATGTAGGCCCATAATATTTATATCAGCGCTTGCTAAATTATTTGAGCATAACGACGGTGAAACCTGAAAAGTGTGTCATCTATTAGCTAGCTCGGCATACTATCACTGTACACAATTATGTACCATTCTTTTCTGCAGTAATTTTATTTTATTCTAAATTGCAAAATAGAAATCTACCACGATACACAAATATGTTCCTGCGCATGCTAGCTCTATCCTTGTTACATGATATGACGTCACGTGGCATAAAATCCGACGCATCTCTTTAGATAGATACAAGTAACAAGACGTTTTCGATAATTAAAAACTGTAACATTTCTTCATTCTTAAAGGTTGTGGTTTTTATGAAATGAAAGTAGAATAGTATATTGTTTCACGAGTGACGAAAATGATTTTCGACGAGTAAAACACTATACTTTTTCTACGAACTCTATTATGTCATGTAGGTACCTACTAAAATGAAAAAAAAAAAAACAAACGTTAACAAATGCTTTATTTTGTGTTAGGAATAACAAAAAATTAACCAACAATTAAATATTTCAGAAATATTATTTATTATTTAAATATTGATTTATTGTTATATTTGAACAATTGTTCAAAATTATGGGGGTATCACACTCAAGCTTTTTATTTATTGAGGTAGATGCCGACATATTTGTTCTACTGTTAAATGTCATTTCAGATGATGATGATGATGCGCCATAATCGGATGAACTAGTAGTTTCCTTATTTTGTACAGATTGTAAAATTTTGGTTTGTATTTGGTTTTTACTGTTCGTGGATTCATCAACATATCCTTCCACAACACTACTAGATTTCCAACCACCGTGCTTTTTAACAGAAGCAAGTCACCTCCTGCATCCACTAATAGCGTTGCGGATGTTCTGCGGAAACAGTGCCCAGTGTAATCTTGAGGATTCGGAAGCGTTAAAAACTGAGCAATTTCGTTAGGAAATTTACTGATTTTATTAATTCCAACAATCTATCTGCCACACTTTCCAATCTGATAGTTAATAAAGAATCTTGAATTAATTTGATCCATGTTTGCGGGACGTAGGCTCATATATTTTTTAGGGTCCAGAAATATGAAAAACGCGGAACTTTTGTTTTTGTATTACGGATTTTAACTAACAGAATACTTCCAGTATCCTTTACATCGCTTATTGTTAAATCTTTTAGTTCGTGGCAACGACAAGCGCCAGATAATCCAAAAACTAATGCTACCTACAAATATTAGTAGTTATGTATTAAGTATTTGTTAAAATAAAAATAATAATTCCGTTACCTTTGTTATTAAATATTTATAGTCAGGTGCATTCTTTAGGAAAGTCTTTGTCTTCAGGAGAAATTTTTTTGGATTTTTGGCTTTTAAAACCGTCAGATTTTCTTTTCAAAACACATTTCTCCAAAGTATGCTAGTAGTACAGTTTCCGAAAATGATTTCACTTTATTTTTTTCTCTCCAGTCCAAAAATTTGATATAAATTTCTTCATATCTCTGGTTTTTGATTTGGCCGGTAATAAATCTGAAGAGGTTTCTTCAGCTTTAAAAATAATTTCTGGGGGAGTACAATCGCTTTCTGACTCAGACATCATGAAAATGTGTTAAATTTAGGACGAACTGAAACTGACAGTTCTCAAAAGTGATAAAACTTCAAATAAACAAATGAGAACCAGGAAACTGGATGTAGGTTTAATTTGCACTAATTTTATACATTTTTATTTTATCTTTAATTCATTAAAGTTTAGGTAAAAACGCATATAGAATTTAATGAGCATCTTTTTATTTCATTATTAATAATTATAAGCTGCCAAAATATTATACGAGGCGACTGATATATGAAAATATGTAACAACTTACTTTCGTCACTAGAGACGAAAGTAAATGTTATGGGATTTTTTCTCACTAGTGACGGAAATCAAGTTTTCGCTGAAAGTATCCTGTGGCGAAAGATGTCTTTTTGTAAGAGTTCATAGAAAAAAGTTAATTATTTATTTATTTATTTAATACAATGCTCTAAAAGCAATCCCAATTATAGAGCAGGAATGAAAGAACATAATACATTATGTAGACTAAGTGGAACAAAATCACAAAAATTTGTAATCAGCTAGTAGGTAAAATACAATTAAATTTTTTTTAATCTATTGTCAAGTGTTTGTTTCTAAAACCAAATTGGTGGGAAGGGATCAGGAATTCAATTATTGGTTTTAGTCATTTTAATAGTAGCGTAGCTTAGATATTATTGGAAGCCTTATTTAATATATTTTTACCTTCTGATCAATATCTACATTTACCTAGAGGCCGTTGACTAGACCTGACTTTTCTCGATTTAATTTATTTCTTTTGTTTCAGCAACCCTTCCCGGTACCGAAGCGGCCCACAAACTAGTAGTGTCCATCCGTCAAAAATGCACCCCCGAAGAAGTCCTCGCAGTATTAAAAGACCTACCCAACCCGCGATCGGCCGAAGAAGGCGACCGCCCCTTCAATCCGCTCAAGATCGACGTGTTCGTTCAAACGCTATTGAATCTCGGCTCGAAGAGTTTTTCGCACAGCTTCGCCGCCATATCGAAGTTCCATTACGTGTTCAAGATATTGGCCGAATCCGAGGAGGCTCAGATTTGCATTCTGAAAAACGTGTTCGAATTGTGGCGCAACCATCAGCAGATGATGATCGTGCTGGTCGATAAGATGTTGAAGACGCAGATCGTGGAGTGTTCGGCGGTGAGTTTTTTTTAAGTGTTTCGTTAAAAATACATTTATTTACCTTAAGGACGCTGGATGGCCATATCTTGAGAACTGTTTATCGGATTTTTTTTTAAATCGTTATAGGAAAACAATTTTAACTTTGTAACTTTCCGCTTTGTCGCGTGATACTTCTGAGGCTGCAAAGTCCTCTGTATAAAATGTCAGATCCTCTTATTGGATAAATTCCGTCAAATTCTGGTGATTTGTATGGTTCAAATGAGTTGATTACCAGTTTGTTATGATCCACCACTTTTTTGGTGAAAAATATAAATATTTTAAATCTAGCTTTCAGGGTAACTAAACAGTATTTTGAAGTGCGATGTGTTTAATTACTTTCCTGTGTTAGTTGTAAAGAAAATTCCTCGGCTAGTCGATGATTCCTCGTGGTTTAGATACCAAAAGTCCAAAGACATTTTTAGAGTAGTTTAAAAACAATCTTAAGACGTCTATTCTATGATTGCAGGTAGCGAACTGGATTTTTTCCAAAGAAATGACGCCGGAATTCACGAAAATGTACCTGTGGGAAATCCTGCATCTGACCATAAAGAAAATCAACAAACACGTCATCAAACTGGGCGCGGAATTGACGGACGCCCGTGAAAAACTCGCTCGGGCCGAATCGAGCGACAGCGATTCGGACGAAGACGAAACGAAGAAAAAGCCAGAAGACGCCGAAAAACCGACCGAGGAAATGGTGGAGGGTATCGAGGAAAAGTTGGAGAGCGCGCAGGCCGATCAGAAGCATTTGTTCTTGATCATTTTCCACAGGTTCATTATGAGCTTGTCGGAGCATTTGGTCAAGTGCGATACGGACGGTAAAGATTTCAATACGCATTGGTACAAGTGGACTATCGGAAGGTTGCAGCAAGTATTTTTAGCGGTAAGTTATTTTTTTTTATTACACCTCGACTTGTTTATTTTGCTGTGAAAGTCATTTAAACATTTAAACAAATTTCATACCATCTGCAATATAAAAAAAACTAATGGTTTACCGAAGTTTAGTAGAAACTCACCTGATATACGGATTAGTCAGTTGGGGAGGAGTTGCTTGTAGCTACTACATCATTCTCGAGATTTCTCAAAAAAGATTTTTAAAAATTCTTAACAAATCCAGAAGATATTTTAGCGAGTTACTCTATGCCGAAACAAAGATATTCGATGTTCGACAATTATACTTTATAAATATTGTTACACAGGTTTTTGGTATCGCAATTGTATTTCAACTCAACTTTAACAACAATTATACAACTGATTAACATGTAACGTCTATCATAAAACTCAAAACTGACGTCAGAATCATCCTTATATAGTTTGCTTGACTCTTCTCGAACCTTCTTGAACTGTCGTCTAAAATATTCTTGACGGGTAATGACATTTCCAGACATTTCCAGACATTTTTGGACTATTCCATCTTCTTTTATTTGTACTTTTACTTATGACGACCGCATCACACTGTAGGGCGATTAGCAACATTCCACTTCTTCTTCTATCTGTATGTTTCCTATAATAGCCGCAGGCTACTGCAGGGTGCTGCAAAACAATATTATAATAAAACAACATACACTCAGATCAAATTTGCAAATTCGAACTCACAAACATATGACAAAAACAGAAATACTTAAACCTAATAACAAAAAAATCTATTGGACAAAAAAGTTTGTTTCTTGGACCTAAATTATATAACGCTGTACCTGTAAAAAATAAATCTGAAACTTCTATAGATTAAAAACGACATTAAAAAAATACGTTAAGAGTACGACTAGAAACGTCATACATAACCTAGTTGAAAGTTGCTAAATGTTTCTATCTATTCTATTCAAGTCAAAATGTCATTGAAATTTTTTAATAAATAACAAACTCATTGTTTTTCTCATGTTATAAATTATATTCTATTATATGTTTCCATTTATCTGTTAATATTGTATATTTTATTAACATCTATATTTTAATTTTCATTTTTATTTACTTTTAGTATAGTATATTTTATTAGTATTTATAGCATTTCCCTTGCCAACAAGCATTTGATGCTTCGCAAGAGTATGTGTTTATTTGAGTTACCAATAAGACACTGCACTTTATATTTATTGTAATTTCTGTGAATAAATATTTCTGATTTTTGATTTGATTTTGATCTATATGTCTCCTAAAGTCTATAATGATATCTGTTATCTACAAAAATATAAAAGATTCAAAAATTGAAATTTTTAAAATGAAATTAAAATCTTATATTTTAGAAGAAACAAGAATGTTTTTGTTATATCTCTAATACATAATAAAAACCTAGTAACTTTTAGAAATTATTAGAAGTTTAAATTTTGGTTCTTATTTACTACTTATTATATTTATTAACTTTATCCTTCTTTTATATATTTCTATATTCTTACTTTTTTATTTTTTCATTTTTCTTTCTTTACCTTCCTTTTTCTTTCCTTTTTTCCATTTTCTTCCTTTTCCTTCATTTTTCTTCCTTTATACTCCCTATTCTTCCCTTTTCTCCTTTTTTTTTTCTTTCTTGTTCATTTTTCTTCCTTTTCCTTTCCATTTAATTTTTTTTCTTCCTTTTTTTCCATTAATTAGGTTCTTATTTACTAGTCTATTTACTATTTATTATATTTATTAGCTTTATCCTTCTTTTATATATTTCTATATTCTTACTTTTTATTTTTTCGTCATTTTTCTTTACCTTCCTTTTTCTTTCCTTTTGTTCCCTTTTGTTCCTTTTTCTTCCTTTTTTTCTTCCTTTTTTTCTTCTTTTTTTTCTTCCTTTTTCTTCCCTTTTCTTAATTTTTTAAAATTTTTCTTCCCTTCTCTTCCTTTTTATTCCCTGTTCTTCCCTTGTCTCCTTTTTTCTTCTTTCTTGTCCATTTTTCTTCCTTTTCCTTTTCATTTAATTTTTTTTTCTTCCTTTTGTTCCATTAATTAGGGTCTTATTCACTAGTCTATTTACTATTTATTAGCTTTATCCTTCTTTTATATATTTCTATATTCTTTTTACTTTTTTATTTTTTGTTTTTTTTTCTTTTTCTTTCTTTATCTTCCTTTTTCTTCCCATTTTCTTCCTTTTTCTTCCTTTGTCTTAATTTTTCTTCCTTTTTCTTCATTTGTCCTAATGTTTCTTAATTTTTCTTCATTTTGCTTCATTTTTCTTCCTCTTTTCCTTTTTCTTCCTCTTTCTTCATTTTTCTTCTTATTTTTCCTTTTTCTTCCCGTTTCTTCCTTCTTCTTATTTTTCTTCCTTCTTCTTATTTTTCTTCCTTCTTATTTTTCTTCCTTTTTCTTCCTTTTTATTCCCTTTTATTCCTTTTTATTCCTTTTTATTCCTTTTTCTTCATTTTTCTTCATTTTTCTTCCTTTTTCTTCCTTTTTCTTCCTTTTTCTTCCTTTTTCTTCATTTTTCTTGCTTTTTCTTCATTTTTCTTCCTTTTTCTTCCTTTTTCTTCCTTTTTCTTCCTTTTTCTTCCTTTTTCTTCCTTTTTCTTCCTTTTTCTTCCTTTTTCTTCCTTTTTCTTCCTTTTTCTTCCTTTTTCTTCCTTTCTCTTCCTTTTTCTTTCCATTTTTCCGTTTTCCTTTAGTTGTTATGGTTTTTCTAACCATCGTTTCTCCATAGTTTTCGCAATTCTGCTCTATCTGTTCGTATTTCTTCTGTTTTTAGTCCTCACGTCCACATTTTCTTCACATTATCTACATAATCATCTCACCTGCCTATATAATATGGACTGTTTTTCCTCGTTTCTTCCTAATAGAGACTATTGCTCTTGAACCATTTATTTTTTTTTTGGTTTCTTTTCCATTATAGTTTTACTAAAGGACCGTCTCCAAAACGTGACGTTATTTTTTTTTATTATTATTATTATTATATTTAGTTTTTCATTGACATATATATTTTCAATAATAATTGTTCCATCCGAAAGAATTTGTTCTGTGGATGGTTTGTTTTGTAATGTGCTTGTCCATACTTGTGTTCTCTGAAAAAATCATTTTAGAAGGTCTGAATTTGTTTTTTTTTTGCTCAAGACTTTCAATTAAATCTTCTTTCTCTAACCATATGAATAAAAATATTTCAAATATTTTACACATACAAACACGTGACTTTTCTGTCTAGTTATTACAGGCTTTTTCTAGTTATTTTGTGCACCCGTGTAAATGTAAACTTTTATTTGAATAATTATCTTCAAAATTACGAAATTTGCACTTTTCTTCAAATATCTCGAATACGGTCCATTTTAGGGAAATAATGTATAGGACAAAAATTATAGAGAATGACATTGTAAGTAATTTTTATTTGGTGAATTTTTTTCTCCAAGCGTAAATAACATTTATTCGATATAGGAAAAGGACCCTCTATAAAGTATTCTCCTAGAAAATAGTCAACAGATTCAGACGTAAGAACGTAAGAAATCCGTCGAAAACTCTATTCTTATACTTTCCTTATCTTTATCCAAACAGGAAAATAAAAATGAAACCATTTGTGGATGCATATGGTAATTACACAAAAAAATAAATTGTCATTTATCAATATGAAGTTTGTCTGTCAAAATATGAATGCATAATTGACTCGTTTTCTTTATGTATGTCATTGTTAATATTTTTATACGTCTCAACGTGAACACTATTTAGACATGTACACAAATCGCACCCTTTTTTTCAAAAGTGACATAACATAATACCATGAATGAAACCTCTAAAATGACACAGACTTAATCTGTAAGTCTAAACATTTTTAATAATTGATGTAGGATTGTTTATTAATCACAATAATGGTATTAACTCAAAATACAGAGTTGGGATAAAGTATGGAGCCAAACGGAAACCAAATAAATACTCATACCAAACCCATTACAAACGAATTCGAAAAACAAGATGTATATTTCGACAAAAAAAAAGTCGCATGATTATGTCCTATGTGTCATTTCATCATCCTGCAAATTTTCAACATTATCACGTTTTGGTTATATTTATTTAGTTTCGTACTTTATCCCAACAATGTATGTGAATTTTGAGTTGTGTCACTTTTGAAGTAAGGGTGCGAAATGAGATTTTTAATAACGGTTATTTTTTTAGCATCATGAGCAAGTTCAAAAGTACAGTTCGACATTGGAGACGCTTTTGTTCACGCAAGATTTGGATCATCACATACTGGAGGTGTTCCAGCAATTCGTTTCGTTAAGAGCTTAAAACCGTTTTAATGTTTATGTTTGTGAAATACCACATTTTTTTTTAGGTTTTCCTGAAAGTTTTTTTTCTGGTGTAAAATGTTTTATATTATATAACAATTCTATTTCTTAGAATTATATGATTTTCGGAAAGTACAGTCGGTTTTATTTCAGGGTTCATTGTTGGTATATTTATTTTGTTATTTTTATTTAGATCCAAATTGATTTATCGAAAAAAGAAACAAAGGAAGAGGCAAAAAATGTAAACAAATATTAGAAACTGGAAAGCGTAAAAATTTTACAAGATACACCTAGTGCAGATTAATTTGTCTATGGTATGTATGCTTTATGCAATCGTTAAAATATTTCTTACATGTTAAAAACCCCAATATCAATATTTTAACTTAACAAAAATCTAATCAAAGGCGGCGTCAGGGGGGCCGTAGGGACCATGGCCCCCCTTTTATTAAAAAAAAGATGCTAAAAAGGGAATGGCTAAAGACAATGCCCCACCCCCTTAAAATTCGTCTTGGAGCCGATCTTGAATCTAATTTTGTAATATTTTTGAATGCAAAAATAAATATGAAAAAAGATTAATACTCGAAAAGTTAAAGAATTTACATAAAAATCTGATTTGTCCAACACATGACATTCCTATCCAGTCATTACAGGCCTTTTCTGGTTATTTTGTACCTTTTCCTCCAATTTTTCTATTATGGTCCATTTTAGAGAAATCATGTAAAAAAAACGAAAATTATAGAGATCGATATCGCAAACATCTTTTAGTTTAACAATTTTCTTAAAAATCAGAATTTTGCACATTTTGTCAAATTTCTCGAATACGGTCCATTTTAAGAAAATTTTGTATAAGGCAAGAATTATAGAGAATAATATTAGAAGTAACTTTTATTTGAAGAATTTTCTTCTCCAAACGTAAATAACAGATATATTCCATAAAATATAAAAATAACCCCCTATAAAGTACCCTCCCAGATGTTCCGATTTTGGTGTTTTTATTAGTATCCGTTAATGAGTTATCGAGGATACAGTCACACAGGCATCATCGCGAAAATAGTCAAAACGGATTCAGGGGACTCCAAAACGTAAAAATCCGTCGAAAATATATTGTTCCTTTCATTTGAGATAACACAGACAGACACATCATCATCATCTCATCATCTGAATTAGGGCGTGGTTCAAAGCCCACTTGTACTGAAGCTCTAGGCTTATTGTACCCTTCACAGTTTCTATCCCATCAGATTGATTTTCTTGATGAATTCAAGAATATGTCTGATGGGCGCTTTCAGGTTCCGGATATTGTACCCCGAAGTACCATTCCCGTGCCCATTTAAGGTTCCGGCAGTGGCATAGTATGTGAATAGGAGTTTCGTCCTCCTCTTCACATACTACATATGGAGTCATCAGATATCCCTAAGAGATTTAGGTGTCTTCTAAGGCCGCAGTGTCCCGTAAGGAGACCTATTACGGCCTTGAGTTCGCTTCTGCTAAGGTTTAGCAGTTGATGTTGTCTGCTCGTGGATGGCCCCTCTATGAATCTTTTGGATTGTCTAAGTTCCATCCAGAGCCTATGGTGTTCTCTTTTTATTTGTTCCTTTAACACCCATTTAACATGTTGGTATGAGATACCACATGTGGGTTCTGGTCCAATAAGAGTTTTTTCCGCTCCCTTCCTTGCTAGGAGGTCTGCTTTCTCGTTTCCAAACACTCCCTCATGTCCTGGCACCCATTCAAGGCTAACCTTGTTATGTTCTGCCAGAGCCTGCAGGGATTGTTGGCAATCAAATATTGATTTAGATTGTACTTCTACCCTTTTTAGTGCTTTAAGGGCTGCCTGACTGTCTGTCATGATAACGATTCTCTTATCTGTAAGAGAGTCATTTAGCATGACTTTGGCGCAGGCATTTATTGCTGGAAGACTGTTGTCAGTGACCCCAGGTTCAAACTAATTGTCCTCCCTGAGTTCACATGGTAGATCCCAGCTCCTGTGCTGTTTTTAATTTTCGAACCGTCTGTATACCAGATTGATTCGTTTTGTTTTTCCCTTTTTTCCCGGCTTTTGGCCCTTTCTGGTATTTGAATATCAAAAGGTTTCCTGAAGTCGTGAATAATGGGCGTTCTATCCGATAGCATTCTTGGTACCGGATTTTGTTTTAATTTCTCTAATATCATTGTGAGGTGTCCTTTTCTCGAAAGTTCCCATCCAAATTCATTAGTAAACAGCCTGTATGCCGCCGCCATAGCCTCCTTCTCCACCACAAGGTGTAGTGGAGGAAGACCTAGCAGTAGCTCCATTGTTGCTGTGGGCGTAGTTCTAAATGCCCCTGTTATTATTAGGCAGGCTAGTCTTTGTACCTTGTCTAATTTTCTGTTAGTCTTGTGCCACCATATGACTGATGAGTAAGTTATAACCGGTACTACAACCATAGTGTAAAGCCAGTGCATCATACTTGGTTTAAGCCCCCATGCGTTCCCTACCATCCGTCTACAGGCCCATAGTATTCTTACAGCTTTTTCTGTTGTTTTTTTTCTATATGGCTGCATCGAGATTGATTCCAAGATATTTAACCTCCTTTGCCATTTTTAGATGTTGTCCCCACATATAAAGCTCCTTCATTCCTTGAAGGTTCCTTTTTCTTGTGAATGCAACAACAGAGGTTTTTGTCGGGTTTGTGGACAGTCCCTCTTTTAGGCACCATCTTTCGACGATATTTAGTGCCCGCTGCATCCTTTCGGATACAACAGTCCCAAATTTACCGTTTACTATGCTTATGTCGTCTGCAAATGCTTGCGTGTATAAGTTTTCTCTCTCTAACTCCCATAAGAGGTCATCAACCACCAAGGTCCACATAAGAGGAGATAGCACTCCTCCCTGCGGGCATCCCTTGTTAACTGAGACCTCTCTTGTTGTGTTAAGGAGATTACTGGTAATGGTTCTATGATTAAGCATGAACTCTACCCACCTCGTAATGCAGTGGGCTACTCCACGCCTTTGCATAGATCCCAGTATTGAATTGTATGAAGCCGAGTCAAAGGCTCCTTCTATATCTAGGAAGACTCCTAGTGCTATTTCTTTGCTTTCCAATGCTTGTTCAGCCCGTTGAGTTAGCCTATGTATGACAGACACATAGTACAGCGATTGCTAAGGATATTATCTTTTTATATATTATCTATAATAGCAAAGATTGCAAAATAGGATACCTTTCCAATGTCATACATACTGTTAGAAATATATCCAACATATTTCATTAAAACATCAGACGGGTCCATCTCTGGGTACCAAACCTTTCAATCATTTAATAGTTGAACAATTCAATCTTCAATAATAATTCATCCATTTAATCACTAATTATAATTTAATAATTCAAATATAAAAAAACTGTCGTGCGAATTTAAAGCTCTGAGTTTAATAGGCCACAATATATCCATCTGTCTCGCACGTATATACTACAAACAGTTTAAATTCTAAAAGCAGTTGCAAGCTCTAATGGTATAATATGCCGCGATAAAAATGTTACGTCATCAAACTTCGAGAAAGTTCGATAGGTCGTTGATAGGAATAGGACATAAATAGAAATCGACTGCAAAACAAGCCAGAAGCAACTGATCGTTTTTATATTATGTGAAACCCAACATATAATTTTACATTAAACTCGAGGCAGTTATGCCATGCAAATGATTGGTTTTTTGAGCATATTGACATTCACTACATCTATATTTTCAATTTTAACACTTCGTTGTTTTGTGATGTTTATTGTTATATTATTTATGGTATTGTTTAACTTTTTAATAAACCATGTTAAGTACTGCGTGAACTTTGAATTGGAACACCATGTTTTTTTTATTATAGTAAATCAAGAAATGCAAAGAATGTGATTATTTGAATCGTGACTTTTAAAAAGACATTTTTCTCTTGTAATATTGTTTCAACACACTAGTAAGTATGCAAGTGTGTAACTTTACTAATTTTTCTTTCATTCTTATATAGGACATTTTTGTATTATAGGCCTGAAGATGGCCTAATAAGGCCGAAACCAGTTGTTTAATAATCTGAAATAAATTTTGTGGTATTGATTTTGAGCTTCATTCATTATTTCTTCGAAAATACAGAGCACATTTCATTTCACGCATGCGCAATACATTTTTCTACTTTTGAAAAGTGCTATTGGACAAGTCAACTTTTCAGACTAGTCCTTTAGAAGGTTCCAGATCCCGTCGTCTTTTGTTCATATAATGCTTTGTGTCTATTTTTGTCTAAGAATTATTTACTCATAATTTCTGGCTACTTTGCATAAATAAATTTTGTAAAGAATAAACCGTTTAAAAAGTATTAATGCTCCGCCCATGGTGGTACACTCTATTAGGCATTCCAAACCACAGAACTGAAATTAGGAGAATGGATTTGATGTCAATTCTTGCTCAAAATTTACGTTCCCTTAAGAAGATTCAAAATTGAGGTTTGAGTTTGCGCAGTGAGTATCTGTCAGACATGTCAATTGTCATTCATGAGTGATTTGAAAATAAATGTTAATTTTATTCATTTAAAAACAATTTTTGGGAAGATTAGCCGCGTATTGTACAATCCGCCGTTAATTTTTTTCTAAAAACATTGTTATATATATTTTTTCAAATTAAGACCTTGTTTGGCACCTATTGCGCAAACTCAAAAAAACCTCAATTTTATTCCCCTTGTAGGAACGTTTTTGTAAACTTCCAAAACCATTCTCCTAATTTCAGTTCTGTGTATTAGGCATTCCATGCAAAAAACTATCAGTGGAAAGGTTTGATATATCTAAAGGGTTGCGACATACAATGTATTCTATCTACAATACGCGAAATCATGAATAATGGATTACATTTAAATATTTTATATCAAACACAATTAAAATATTATTTAAAAAAATAGCTTGTACATTTTTCATATATTGGTAAGCTTGTCGACTACTATTTCTAATAAAAATGGTGTCCAAGATGAAAAGCTATGTCGCAACCCCCTTAGATATACAAACCCTTCCCACCACATTGTCACTTCTCACAGATGAAACACTATTTTTATTAAATATTTATACTTTTCAAAAAATATCTTCATCATATTTGACTTTATACAAACTCAAAATATATCTAATCTCGCTATCCCAAATATTTTTAAAATCCTCCAACGCTTTCATCATATTTTGCTCGACGAATTCCTCCATTTTCGTTTTGGTCATGTGCAAAGTGTCCTCTAGAACGTGCAGGAATTCTTCGGCGCTAGAGTAAGCTTGTTCTGAAGACACCGTTACCAAACTCGGAGCTGCTTTCGTTTGCGTTTGACAAGGTTTGATTTCGTTTGTTGAATTTTGAAAATAGTTGTAAATGTGTTTGATTACACCTGAAATATTTATGAAATTTCAAATATATCACGCTAAAATTATAAAAATATGTAGATATGCAACACAGAATACAGGTGTAATGGGTGTTGCCTAGTAGTAGGATTGAAATCAGAATATTTTAAAAATCTACTAAAAAATATAAAAACAGAGGAAGAAGAAAATATGTCTGTGATACGGATTTCGAGCTTGTCTCATTTTCCTTTGTTTTTAATTTTAAATTGGTCACAAATTTAAGTAGGTATTTTTTGGTTAAAAAAACTGACTTACTGTCTTTGAATGGCATGTTACTAGATTCATCAGTTTTTATTTCTGAAACTATGGTATTGAGCAGCGATCTTTTAGTTTTAATTTGAATCAGTAAGTGTTCTGTTATTTCATAGATAATTTCATCTCTTGCTAAAATTGGTAGCGTGTTGCTCAGTTTTTCAATCTCGGTCTTTGTTTCTTCTGTCACTGTATCTAAATATTCCTATAAAATACATTTTATAGTACAGATGACGAAACAGATATGTGAACGTCAACATTTATTGGTGCAGGATTTAGAATTTGCTTCATTGTATTCAAATTTGGGCAAAGTTAAAATCAATTTATATCGAGACTGTTAAACCAGTGTTGCCAGAATATATTTTTGTTATGTACCTACCAGATTTGTCTAAAAAATGTACCAAATTGCATAAAAATGTACCAGATTCTATAAAATGTACTAAATTTTCATTTCAATGAGGATAAAAAAAGTGTTGAGGGAACGAAAACAAAACAAGGAGGAGTCCCAATAATATATTTTACACGCGTCAAATGGTAACCGCTGAAAAAGAAAAAGTACTAGATTTTGCTTCGAATGTACTAGGATATCAGATTCTTATAGTATGTACTAGATCTAGTGCAATTGTACTAGACTGGCAACACTGTGTCAAACGTAATTACTAATAGGATGGACAAATAATTTGACAAATTTAAATGGTACACCTTTGTAGAGCAGGGACAAAAGTTGGAAAGGTTTTATGCAGTTCGCCCACTTCATACACAGAATTTGACAGTTTTGACGCGGAGCTAACCGAAGTAAACGCGAAACATTGGTGTAGAAAATTATTTTATAGAAGCTAATAACAATTTCGCGTAAATAGTTTAATAAATTGTGAATTTGTCCACATATTGCTAACCTCAGTATAAAAAATTTTAAAATATAGTTCATATTTGTTGTTGTTTATAATAGTACATAATATGGAAGAGGCATTAGAAATTACCATTTTAGAAGGTTTATATGACGATGATATTAAATATTTAGTATTAAAAAAACTTTGAACTGATACGAATATTGGCGAGCGCACCCGAAAACTATAAAGGACAGCCACAATCTTTATTAAAATCATTTCTAAAATGTAAGTGATCTGCGCATGCTCAGATGTCAAAATAAGATCGGCATTAATAGTGACTGAGCTTAGTGAACTTAACTCTCTAATATTACTTGCTTACATTTTTATTTTTAGCAGATAAATAGATTCGATTACCCGATTTCACTGATATTAATTTAAAAGGTTTGATAATTTTTATTTTATGATACGACACTGTCCTTGCTCTACTTCCAATTTACTTCAAATAAAAGTTTTAAATTACCCAGACAGCACAAATAATAATATGTCCATTGGAAGTTCATTTGATATACATTTTTGGATGCCATCTTGTTTTTTTGGTTTCCTCTAAAAATCCCGAGGTCACAATTTACTAAATCCAGAATTTCTTCGAGCATCTCTGGTAGTAATTACCCATGATACTATACGTCACGGTGACGTATTGTGGTGGAAGGCGTGGCCTTTACGAATTTGATGTATCCACTGATCGAAAATTTTAATCGGCTTAGGCTAAAGATACACACGGATGTTTTCGCCGAGTCGACCGCCGACTCCGCCGCCCCTCCGCCGCCGCCTCGGCGGATGCTGTAATGTAAATAAATGGAGTTGTTCACACTATACTGCACTGCGAGAAAGCAACGCTACACCGCCACGCGTACCGTCGTTCGACTCAAATGCATTACTTTTGTAAACCGCTTCGTGTGTTTTGGCAAAGGCGGCCAGCCGAGTCGGCGGCCGACTCGGCGGAAACAGCCGTGTATATCTTTAGCCTTATGGCTAATCAGATAACCATGTTCAACACCACAATTCGTCATGCGCGAACTAGACGAGATTTCGTCGGCTAAGTATCATATCTCCGTTTTTCTTTTTGTATGATGGTAATTACTCTATTAGAGAAAGTGTGCATATATATTATCTGGCAAGCTAAATAAATAATGACCTAAGTTGGACGTTTACTGGACATCAAAGTACTATTAAACTTAAAATTAAGTCCAAAAACAGATGTCCACTTGTTATCGATATACAGCTGTCAAATAAATGTTTATAAAAGGACGTACACTGGACGTCCAAATACTGCTATGAACGTTCTAACCCTCAAATGGATCTACAATGAACGTCTATTGTGCTCTCTATTCCGGGTAGATTCCTCAATAAAACTCTTTTCGCACTATTTTCTGTATTTGAGTCCTTCAAGCAATAAACCCGGCAACGTTGTATTAAGTAGCTGTCAAATCTAGATATCGTCCAGCGTATTTCAGATGTCAAAAGTTCAAATGATTTGGAAAAAATTGTGTTGTGTTTTTTTAAAGGAGGTTTTTTGCAAAGGTAATTTATTTTTTGTAGATAAACATTTTGAAACGTCAAAAAAAGTTAAAATATTGAGATTAGCAATTCTTCGTAATCGAAAAAATTTCCAACTCGAGAAATTGTTTCTCTCAAGATTTTCATGTGATACTTTCAGAATTTTAATTCTCTCGGAATAAACCGAGAGAAACGAAAAACAGTCGGTGAGTTCTCACCATTGCATGAAGGTTCTCACTGGTTTAAAAATATACTGGTTTTCACGATGCCGCATGACATTTTTTATAAAAATATTGAGAGAAATGAGTAGGTACCAGTGGAGTAGGGTAGAATGATAACTGTCAATAAAAAAGTATAGACACCATGCACAACTTCGTTTTGCACAATTTGTAAACAAGATGCAGGGACGGTTTAAGAACATTTTGTGCAACAATTATAAAATAGTGCATCGGAAAATAATTTACAGGTATAATTTAATACTCAATCAAAAATAAAGCACAAATATAAGCAAGCCGATGCTCGAAAAAGCTAACAACAGCCACGACACAAACAAAAAACAGAGCTGAACATGAACATATTGACTGAACAAAGCTAAACCTGGAATTTGTTTACTGTGCCTCTCCTTGTCATTTACATGTGTAAGAGTGGATGCGCAGATGGTGCCTTATCATTCTACCCTCTCTACTTCTTTAGTATGTACTCCCATAGTTTGAAAATGGGTCCTATGCTGATTCTTGGTGAAGGTTGCATGGGAAGCTGCTAAGAATTTTAAATGTTCATAAAATCATTTATTTTAATATTGTTCGTTGGACAGTGTACATGTAGTTTATTATAGTGGTAAATTTAGAGGTAATATTTTTAAATACACGGCCAATATTTTGTTATTCAACGAACGAAAGATGAGTGAGTGTAAAGTGTAGTGCAGTGTTGCCAGACCCCAAATTGACATTAAGTTGACAAATCCGCAGCCATATAATAAATTTTTTTTTTAAATTTAAAATACAATATTTATTTAAACCAAAAGTCTATGAAAATGGTTTTTCGTTGTGACGAAATTTTTAAAAATCTTCAAATAATATTAATTTAATAAAATATTTCAAAAAAAAAAACAAATAAACGTTGACACAACAATAATATTAATATTTAAAGTAAAAAAAAACAACAAAATTTGAAAGTCAATAACTTGAATATGTTGGGATCAACTGTATTAACCGAATTGGGTCGAGATTTTGTAAATTTTAAGAATTGTGGATTATTTCAGATTAGGATATAACGATTTTTCCATAAAACACCAATTACTCGTGTTTCGCCCTGGTGCCAAATTAAATACTCCCCAAAATAAACCCGAAAAAAATTTCTCCCCAAAATTTACCACGAAATTATTAAAATCCCCCAAATTTTGGGGGAAATTACCCCATTTGGCAACTCTGGTGTAATATGAATGTCATCAACATTTAAAATCAACAATTAGGCATTCTAAACAAAATGACTACCAGTGGGTTTTGACAGCTTATGATGTGGCAATTCTGTAGGCCTGGTGATTTGTCAGAGTCAATCGAATAGTGATATAGATTGATCATCCATGTTCTTCAAAATAGACATAAGCTTATGCCTTGAAGTAAAAATGTAGGTAATTATTTTTTTTTCTATATTCAAAGCCTAAAAAATTGATTTGTAAACATAGTAACCGTTTCTGATTAATGAGCATTTGAGAGGCAATATGGCCACTCGCAAGCGATCCGCTTTGAGCAATCTATATAACTATATATGTATCATTGACCACAAGGTTGCCAGATCTAAACTGTCAGTTTCCACTTGCCAGCGTTTTGACAGGTCGTTGGAATGCCAATTTTATATTTGAAGACTGACGGAATGAAAATGATTTAAAAAAAATGGATTTTATTCTCACAAAAATTAATTAGCCCCACTATCTCGAGTTTGACATATGACGTAAAAGTGTAATGCAAAGTTGCGGACACTTTAGCATCTTCATAGCTTCTCCTCTTTATTCTAAATCAATGGTGAATAAAATTAAAACTATAACTTTTCTAATTTGGACTTTTATGGTGACGTAACCAGTGATGATGTTAAACGCTCCTCTATACATCAGACTATCAGTTTTATCCAATAAATTTCTAGCGTTGTTTGGTATTACATCATAATGTTTTACGTTATAATAGAGAGTTGAAGTGTTTCCAGTACGTTAACGTAAACGTAAACGTTAACGCAGAAAAATAATGCTTACGTTGAAGTCCAAAATATGAGTTGAAGTTGTTAAATGTATCGTGATATTTACGTACCATGACAGATAATGACAACTAATATTAGGATTTCTTCTCTCTTAATTAAAAAGAGGTTATTTTGTTTGCGTTACGTACATACGCCAGAGCCCGTAAACTTACGTATTTACGTAGACGTGAAGGATATTTGAATACGCATGCGCAGATGTCAGTTTACAAGTTTACGATCATAGCATCACTTCAACTCTCTAATAGATGGTTGGTCGCTATGTGATTTTGGACTCGCGCAACTGCAGATGTATATTACGTCAGATTTTTTGATGATATTGTTGCTATGCAAACGCTAGCCTATACAGAAGCGTAATTAGGTTCACGGTTAAAACTATGTATGTTTTTAAAAATACTAGATATTTATAGTCTTAAATAGCCTAATATTTGTTAATTTTTATACAGAAAAATAAAGAATAAAAATAAGTTTGTTATATTTACCTTACGCGGAGTTAATATTTTTCTAAATTTTGCCTGATTATCTGCATGAATCTCATCGTAGTCTCGCTGTAATTGAGTCAACATTTCGTTATTTTTCGGATGTCCAAATAACACCTTCAATCTGTAGTAGATCTGTTTTAAGTTATCGGTAAAAGCTTTTTCGTCCTGCTTTAATTTATCCATAACATTCCTGATATTTTGTTCAAATTTTAACTAAAAATCATTTTATAGATAGGAGGAACAGACTCGTGCCACCTCTTTTGTAGGCACAATTGAAAATAGATGGCTTTAAAGTGGTAAACAATAGGTCAAATGAATAAACGAAAAGCAAATACTTTTACTTAAAATTGTTGAAATGGACTTATGCAGAATTAAAAATGACTCAATGAGTTAGCACATACCATGCACTTTTTATAGAAAGATGTCTCAAAAGCTGTGATGAATTCCTCTTTAAAATTTTTGACACTGTTCAAAATCGATATAAAATAAACGGCATTTTCAAGCCAACATATTTCACATTGTATCAAGTAGGGTTTGTATTTTCCCAAAACCTCTACCAAACAGTCTTCGTAAGTCGGTTGGAGTTTTTCGTAATCAAGCAGATGGCCATGGGTTTTGGGGTTTGTGTAGAATTCCTGAAAATATTAGAGAGTTGAATTTAACGTTAACTTTAACATATACGTAAACGCGCAAACATAACGTTTACTTTGAAGTCAAATAGATTAGTTGAAGTTGGTAAACGTATCGTGACATGACAGTTCTTCTTCTTTACCTTTAAGAATAGTTTTTATAACAAATTACAGTTCATCAAATTTCTAGAGGCTTTCGACGGCTAGACAGAGAAAGCACTACTGACAGGCATCCCGACGGATTTACGCAATGAAAGTACACTCTGCGCATCAAGTTTTTCACTATTTCATTCAGACGTAAATGTCAGATGTAAATTTCGCTAAAACATTTCTTTTATTTTCGTTTGTGTTTTTTGCTCATTACAGTTTAATAGAACCTAGGTTTAATAGCAAATTAAGAGGCCGCGTGATTAACAGTCAATCTCGCGAAATAATAGCCAATGTTATAGAGTTTATGAGAAGAGAAGGAAACTTTAATTCACCTTCAATACCATTTAAAAATGTAAATGATCGTGTTGCTGCAGCCACAGGAGTATCTAAAAACACTGTCGTCCGCATTTCTGGAGAGAAAAAAAGAATCGATAACCGTGAGATATCGGAATTTTCATCACCAAGAAAAACCATTAAAAAACCAAAAACAGTTAATGATATAGATGAAGCTACACAATAATCAAATTTTATTTTTTTATTATTAGATAGCTATTTTTGTTTCTGAGTTGTGTTCATTTACAGGCTCAATTTTTTTCCGTTTCTCCTTTTTGATTTTATATGGGGTTTCAAGTTATTTTTGACTTATTTCGACGTAAATCACAACAACACACTTTTTTAATAAAGCAAACAAGTGTTAAGAGGTATATGTACGTGTAAACTACAATTACAAAAAATTGATATGAAACCCATGAAACCACCAACAAAAATGTAAAGCTAGCTTCCGTACTAGAACATGGTGTCATTCGTCGAGATAATTTATCGTTTTGTTTAATAGATCAAGAAAAGTAAATATTCCCCTGTTATTTTTTATAAAATTATAAGAGAAATAAATTTTTTTCTAAATAGTATAGTTTATTATTTTGTAGAAAAACAAAATTTCGAAAATTTTAGTAATGTTTCAGAAACAACCGTTATTAATAATAGGTACCATTTTCCTTAATAAGGTAGAAATAAAATATAAACTATTTCCACGATTTACAAAGGTCTACAAAAAAATTATAGGTATTTTCCGCTATCCTATAAAATTTATATTTTCTGACTCAATTTCAAAAGGTTGAAGGAATTCCAAAACACCTTTTATGGCATAATAATTATTTTCAATTCTACATACTATCTTTAGCTGCTTTTAAAAACGTTCTAAGAAAGTCCAATCAGACCAATTTAATCCCTAAACTATTCCACACTTTTAAAATTTAATTACCTAAAAATATTAAAAACTATTTAAAATAACTTGTTTAGCAGACTGTACAATAGCTATCTGTCACACGTAGCGCGTTCTCTGTCTGGGCGTCGAACACCTCTATACTCTGTTTTTAAACTAGGAGGAGCGAATTGAAAAGACGCATTTACACAGGGAAAAGTAATTAGATTAGTTACTAAGAGCGAGTTTCGAAATATATTCGTGTTCAAAATTTATGAAATAATTATATTTGTCGGCCTTAGTCGGTGAAGGGCCAATGAGTGGTTAAGAAACGAATAAATGTCATAGAAGTAATTTTTTAATTGGTCCCAGACAACGGTCGCAAATTTCACATTATTGTGATCTGAAATGTGTGTCTAAAACGAAATGTCACTGTCAAATTAAAGTCAATATGGTTGTTGATTGATGTCAGAAATACTTTTTTCTTGCTTTTGAAATCGACTTTTTGAGAATAACTATGATATTTTTAAAATGGATATTAAATATTTAAGAAAATTGTTAATGGAATATCCAGATGTAGCCAGGTTAGTATAAAATATAAAGATCTGTTTACATTTTTAAGGATATATTTGTTATAGGTATAAAAAGTAAAAGTTAATCAGTGAATGACAAGTGGATCACACAGTAACTGGTATCTCTTCTACGAGTAATGTGAATATTATGGCTTATTTAGTGTTAACCCATGGTTAATGCGCTAGAGGACAAATAAAGGCATTCAAAAGTTTACAGGCCTATGAGTCAGAATTTGTTTTGAAAACTGGAACTAACATTTTCATAACACTACATGTCAACATATATTAGTGAACTATTCATACATACCTATGTATTAATTTTAAGTATTTTTAAAATATTTTTTGTGAAAGTAATGTTAGCTCATTGTGCCAAATTAAGATTATCCCTAAAGTAGTAGATGGTGTTTTAAATGTTATAACAATTTTGTAAATAGTTTTATTCTATTCTAATAAATAAAATTTGCTTGAATATTTAGTTACATTTTAATCATTTTGGTTAGAAATTCATCAATTTTTAGTTTTAAAAATCAGTAATAAAATTATTTTTTTCTAAAATACTTCAGAATTCATCTCTTCATGGTAATCTCTTTTCTCTTTTTACCTTCAAAAACCAATAATGCAGTTTCTACAAAACCTTCAGAATCAGCATGTAAAATAATAAGGTGTCTTCCCTTTCTTGTAAGGCTTTTCAGGAATTGCTACCTTTAATAGTACTCAGTGTAGAAGGATCCATAATTGTAGATTTTCAATACAATTGCTTACTGAAGAACTATTATTTACGAAATAAAGTAAAAAACTAAGTAATGGATGAGATATCAAATTATAAAATGTCAGAACTGTCAACAATATCAATTATTAGCTGATGTTCATGCTAAAAAGTAATGTGTGAAACTTACTGTAATCTGACCAATCAGAAGGCTACAGAATTGCCAACTTAAATTCAAATCGCCCCTCTTAGTTTAAAAACCACTGATCTGTATTATTTTACTGGATAGGATATAGGCTATATTTAACACACTAAAAATCCGTTCCACCAAGGAGACCGGAAGTGCAACACTGCTGGCCGATTTGGGCAAATTAAGGTGTGATCACAGAACTGAATTTTGGGATAATTTGACATACCTAACCTATAATTTGATTAGTTTTTCTTCTTATTCTTCTTCTATTCCTTCTGCGGGCAATGTCCTTCGGGACAATTCACCTATAATTTGATTTTTTTATGAAAGAAAATATAAAAATGGAAACGTGAAGCATATTGTGTCTTCACGAATGAACGTTTATTGTTTATATCATAATAATGCTATCCGATACTACCTAAATAAATAAAAAAAACGTGTCATCGTAATTTTTTGACACAATTAAATGACAAATGTGATGACAAATGGAAATAGAGGTTATGTTAAATAACATCCGGTCCGCCATATTTTTTGCCCAAATCGGCCAATTTTTCGGAACGTTTTTTAGGGTGCTATATCCTATCCAGTAAAATAATTCAGATCAGTGTTAAAAACAGAGTATAGAAATTTGATGAACTGTATTTAGTCCAAATAAAAGCCAAGGCCACCAAAATAACGATTTTAAACCTCCTTGACTCCCATAGCTGCGGTCATGGCTCAACAGGAATCAATCTGCCAGTTGCCAACATAAAAGATTTATAAATTCTGTCAATTTCGACACTTCCATAATGTTTTGCTAACGAATACATCAACATTATCGAAATCCCCACGTAAAATCCTCTAATGCAGTTCTATTCAATCAAATTAAGAGTTGTTAAGTAAAATTACAGTTTAAAAAATGCCGATAGAATGGAGGGGCATCGCGCCCGATCGCGAACGTGCGTGGAAAATGAACATAGTGAAGGAAAACAAATTGAAATTGGAATGGTTTAGGGAAAATAAAGGACGGTTGAACAAACATGCAAATAAGGAGCTCACCCACACAGTATCGCAGGAGACTAAAGATAAGTTTGAACAGGAGATGGTGGATATCTACAAAAACCACGAGTCTTATCCTAGAAGAACGTTCGGCGAACCTGATCCGATAGAACCCAGAGCTCTGCACTGTAAGTAGTTAAATTTATTACCGACAATATTTTGTGTATTTCCTCAAAATTTTATCTTTGAAACCTGTCGATCCCGATCATTTAAAAATCTTCTATCGCAAAGAAGTGGACGGCAGAAGGGAGTACCTGAAGAAAAGAAAACATATTCTACCGGAAAATCGTTATTATTTACCAGAAAATGTGAACGCTAATTATGGTTGGAAAATGTTCCATCATAGAGCTACCAATTACGGATTAGGAAGGGGATTCATCATCAAGCACTCGTTCTATAGAAGACAAGGAGTGCATATGGATCCAGATTGGTATAGGGAACCTGCTACGAACAGTCCTTCAATTTGTACTAAATAAAACTTGTTTATTAATTATATATATATTTATCCAAATTGTTTTTTATTACTGTGACTATACATTATTTACTGATGGCTCCAAAACCGAGAAAGGAGTAGGAGCTGGAGTTTCAATACAACAAATAAAGAGACAACGATTCTTAATTTTGCTTACAGTAGAATTAAAAATGTCTAAATTGCCGCAAAAACATTCACACTAGAAGGTAAAGCATGCAGAATTTTATCCTTTCCTTAATAGAAATAGTACAAATTGTACACGAATGGGGAGATAATGAGCTATACGTAGACATTTAAGGAAATTAAACCTCATTTGTAAATAATATCCAGAAGGTAGACAACACAATATACGCGATATGCAATCTTCGAGCATTGGTTTGGATTCAGAGGTGAAATGCTGCGTACATTATAACCAGTGTCGCATCATTTTTACGGGGTTTGCAATTAAAATAAATAATGAAATTTTCCAATTGTATCGAATTTTCTATTCTGCCCTAGTGTTATTTGTATTTAAAAAAATATGTTTTGGAGAATAAGATATTTAAATTAAATTGAAAAATTTAAAGTTAGAAACTAGATATGTAGGAGTTGGAAATCAAAAAGAAGGATGGAGATAAAAATAGGAGAATAAATTGAAATATTTTTTTGTGTAGTATTTGTAAATTATTTACCGGAAATTTGAGCATAATCAACTTTTGATATACACAATTTTTTGGAAAATGTTACAGGGGTGAAAGTAGAAAATTGAAAATAACTTTTTTGCTTTTATTCTAAAACCACTTATTATACAGGATGTCTGTAAAAGGTCTTTACAAAAACATACCACATATTCCTTAGACCAAAATAAGTCGATTTAAGTAAAATTACCTTAGTACAAAGTTGCTTCGTTTGGGCTCCAGAGGGCCTTGAAGTTACAATTTTTAAATCGTTTTTCCCATATAAATTTAAAACGGCATATGCGATTTTGCTGAAATTTAGTATATTGGTAGAGTTTTATGTGGCAAAAAAATGGTATTAAAATTTTGTCCGATAATAATACATAGGCGTAGAACTTGATTTTTTAAATAATTGCACCTTTAAAAATTCTACGACAATGGAAGAAAAGGAGTTTGAGTATGAAATTTAGATTGTGCAACTCATTTACTTTAAAAAAAGGTACTCTTGATAAGACTCGATTACTCTCATGGTTTTCGCTAAATTTCTGTTTTAATAATTTAGAGTGTATAGGTTTCACAAAAATATTTATTTACAACACAATCAAAATAGAGATTTTACAAAAATTGTTCAAAATGTTCACCATTTTCACGCATACAAAGATTTATACGTCGAAGAAAATTAAAATGTATCCTTTCCATAACTTCTTCATCACCTCTAAGATTGTTTATTGCATCTTGAATACGTTGCCAGAGTTGTTCCTCATTTTCCACAGGTTCCCTGTAAACTGTGGATTTCAGATGTCCCCATAAAAAGTAATCCATCGGTGTTAGGTCTGGGGAAAGTGGTGGCCAGTTTACAGGTTCGTCATTACCTCTGCCTATCCATTTGTGTGGATATTGTTCATTCAAGTGGTTTGTAACGTTTAAAGAGAAATGTGGTGGAGCTCCATCTTGCATAAACCACTCTCCGAAGTTGGAGAGGTAAATCTTCTAACAATTCTGGCAACGTATTTTGTAGAAAATGCAAATAATTTTCTCCAGTTAATCTTCGTGGAAGTATGACAGGACCAACAATGAAATTACCAATTATTCCAGCCCACACATTAATTTTGAATTCGTGCTGAACATGGTTTACCTTTATTGCATGCAGATTTTCAACGGCATAAACATGTTCATTATGGGTATTAGTTATACATCTTCTTGTAAAACCCGCTTCATCGGTAAAGAGAACCTTCTTGACAAAGTTTGGATCTCTTTCTCTTTGCATATTAACAAATCGACAAAAACCCAAACGAATTTGAGGATCACGAACTAATAATTCTTGTACTGGCTTCTTATGGTATGGATATAGCAATTGCTCTCTAAGCCCTTTATGAACGATATCTTTACTTACTCCTAGTTCCCTTCCAATTCTTCTGGTGCCTAATTTTGGATCTTCTTCAACACGTTCTAAAATGTCTTCTTCAACTTCAGGAATCCTTACAAAACGTTCTCTTCCATTATCAACAGTGTTGGGAGCAAAGGAACCGGTCTCCCGAAGACGTGTCTCAACAGCAGCAAAAGTTGGGTGGCTAGGTTACACGACCATTTGGAAACCTTTCAGAGTACACCCTGACACACTCTCGAGCATTTCCTTCACATAATCCTAATGTCAGTAACATATCGGTTATTCTGCATTGGTATATTGTACAGCCATATTAATAAACCACGCATTTGTTTTTTTAATTATTGAGTCAGATAGAACACTTTCAATCGTTAACAAGAGATTAGGTGTTAAAACTTGACAATATTTTTATTTAGATGAAACTATGGAAACCAACAATAAATGTTTTTGTATACGTATTGCAGGCAAATAATATTCCTCAAAAAATTGTACATGGCAAGAATCGAGTATTTTTGTTAAAAGTCTCGATTAGAGGTGTTGAAGAAGATATGAAAAAAGTACATTTTTATGTTTTGCATCGTATAAAATTTTGTCCGATAATAATACATAGGCGTAGAACTTGATTTTTTAAATAATTGCACCTTTAAAAATTCTACGCCAATGGCAGAAAAGGGGTTTGAGTATGAAATTTGGATTGGGTACTCATTTACTACAAAAAGTACCCTTGATAACACTCGATTTACTCTCATGGTTTTGACAAAGTTTGTATTTTAATAATTATTGTTTATGTTGTAAAATTACTAAAATGCAAATTTCGTCAAAACCATGAGAATAATCGAGTCTTATCGAGAGTACCTTTTTTAAAGTAAATGAGTTGCGCAATCTAAATTTCATACTCAAACTCCTTTTCTTCCATTGGCGTAGAATTTTCAAAGGTGCAATTATTTAAAAAATCAAGTTCTACGCATCTGGAGCCCAAACGAAGCAACTTTGTACTAAGGTAATTTTACTTAAATCGACTTATTTTGGTCTAAAGAATATGTGGTATGTTTTTGTAAAGACCTTTTACAGACACCCTGTATAAAACCACAACATATTTTTAATGTAAATGTACTAAAGGTGTTAGTATACTGTACACATGGACTAATAAAATGGAATTAGTAGCTTTGAATATTGTTTTAAATCTATAGTTATTCAGAAGAGTTCCGGACCTTTCTGATTCCTCTAGTTTTTTAGACAATTAAATTCATTTAAAAATAGGACGCCACTGAAATCCAATATCTGTTATGTTATGATTTTTTTTTGCTCATAATGTCTGTTCTGGTTTTGGGAAATAACGATCCACAACTGTCGGGCTCATGCGCAGTATTTAAAAAGTGTTCTGGTTTTTCTCGGACTACTATTTGGATTTCTCAGTCCAGTGTTTTGGTTTTCCAAAAATTTCAAACAGACGGGGATTTTTTATCTTTGCGCACACGGTCCGGCGCAGTTTCAAAATCGTTTTATTTTGAGAACCAAAACAAACCTATAAATTTGTTTGCCGAAATCACATGTCAGAAGTGAGTTGGAGGAGCTTCATAGTAGCCGTTCAGGAGGACATTTTGGTACTAAAAGGACACTAGCACGACTTCGGGAAATATTTTATTGAGTCAAACACGTAGAATTTCATTGGTATCCTGTTTTTAACCTAATTTCATTGTCTAAAAATATAGGAGAATAATAGAGGTGCGGGACCCTTCTAAAAACGTCACTAACTACATTTTATTGGTCATTGTATACTAATAGTCCATGTTTATTATGATAAAAATATGTTAAGCCATTTTAAAGTAAGAATAAAAACATCTAAAATTTTTGCAACCTTAATTAGCTTAAATTAACTTATTTTCGACCCCAGAAACTATGGCAAAATTTGTTGTACATCTATTTTGCTACACCCTGTATATTTTTTACTTACCTGTGCGTTAGTCATGACATCTACAAGCGAATTGCGCAGTAACTGAAGCATTTTCGTAATAAAATCAGTACCATCTGGGTCCGGAAGCTTTTTAAAGACTTGTTCTAGGTAATCGACTTTTTTTGTTGATTGTGTGCGAGTTAAACTTTTATCTAGAATAATATATACAAGGTGTTAACATGGCATAATTTATATGGACGATAAGGGTTCTCGTAATAAACATGTTTTAAGACTTCTAAGATTCTCCATTTTTGTGTTACAGGACCCATACTGCTGTTGCGCGCCACTGGTAAGTCATTTATTTATTTATTTATTTATTTTTTGATAGTTATGTATCTATTAGATCAATTAATAAAATAATAATTTTTATTGTTCTAACCTCAATTTGGAAAAATAAATAAATACTTATAGAATCTGATTGTCTTGGGCTATATAATAAATGTTTACAGGGTGTCTCCTATAAATGCGTAATAATGTAATGTAAAATGAATTTGAATCGTTAATAATGGGTCAATTGAACTTACTGTTGGGTGCCAGATTTATCTCCACAGGTTCGGGATGGGACATGTAATTATAAACATCTACGACTTCTTTTAGAAAACTCTGAAACTGCGGAACGAAATCGTCCAAATATTTCTTATCGCCAAGATTGTGCGAGGCTTCGTTGTTCAACCGTTGCAATTTTTTCTCGATGTTACAGAACGATTTTTTCAACTCTACCACGTGATCTTTGAGGTCCTTTTGTAGTTTGTTCATTTTTCTGGCTAGTTTTTCGTTGTGTCCGTGTTCGTTTATTACTTTGGTCAGGCTAAAATCATCCTCATTTATTCAGCGATATTTTGTTTTTCTTGTAGGTGAAAATACAAATTTTCTTTACAGTACAGGTTTAGTAATTAAAGAAATTGCCCTGTTAGATATTTTGTTTATTCACTCCACACACTTACTTTGCTTGCAAATTTGTTTCTATCGACTGAACCCTAGAAGCGTATCTCCAAAATTTCGTATCCATTTCTTTAATATGATTTTGGATATCTTTTTCTATACCCTCCTCTAATTTATGCAGTTCCTTGTACAAATCGTTTATTTCTTCCATATTGAAGTTCCCACCTTCGTTGAATAATCTGTAATAAATGCAATTGTGTAAGTAAATCGTAAGTAAATTGTTAAGTAAATTATAAGTAAATAAATCGTAAGTAAGTAAATTGTGAGTAAGTAAGTAAATTGTGAGTAAGTAAGTAAATTGTAAGTAAGTAAATTGTAAGTAAGTAAATTGTAAGTAAGTAAATTGTAAGTAAGTAAATCGTAAGTAAGTAAATCGTAAGTAAGTAAATCGTAAGTAAGTAAATCGTAAGTAAATCGTAAGTAAATCGTAAGTAAATCGTAAGTAAATCGTAAGTAAATCGTAAGTAAATCGTAAGTAAATCGTAAGTAAATCGTAAGTAAATCGTAAGTAAATCGTAAGTAAATCGTAAGTAAATCGTAAGTAAATCGTAAGTAAATCGTAAGTAAATCGTAAGTAAATCGTAAGTAAATCGTAAGCAAATCTTAAGCAACTTATTTATCTAGGATGTTTCATAGATAAGGGAACTATTTTAATCTGTACCCAGTTTTCAGTTTCTAAATCCTACCTTACACTACTCAAAAAATGATAATTGTACAACTTCAGTTCTTCCAAAAATCGTTGACTGGATTCGATATAATCATCTGTCATGGATTTAATTTTGTCCTGTATCGGCACCAATTTTTCTTTTATAGTGGCATAGAAACATCTCGCCTCGAATGCATTATTGGTTTTCGGTAAATTTTCCAAGATGGCGTTGCATTCTTCGTTGTAAGTGTTGCACAGTTCTTCGCACTTTTCTTCGTAGACCGTATGATGTTGCTTAAATTCAGTAATCTGTTTTTCGACTGCCTAAAATAGGCGTTTTTAACAATTTACGTAAAAATTAGGTAAGAAGAATTTTTGTAAGAAGAATTTGCGTAAGAAGTATACGTAAGAATATATGTAAGAAGAATATACGTAAGAATGTAGGTAAAAAGAATATACGCAAGAGGAACTTACGTAAGAAAATTATAAGAATTTACTTAAGAATAATATAAATTAGAATATACATAAGAACAATTTAAGTAAGAAGAATTAACATAAGAAGAATTTACGTAAAAATATACCAAAGAAAGGAGAATATAGGTAAAAGAATTTATGGAAAAAGAAAATAAGAATTTAAGAAAAATTTACGTAAGAAGTATATACATAAGAAATCTTTATGTAAGAAGAATTTACTCAAAGAGAATATATGTAATAAGAATATACGGTAAAAGAATATATGTAAGAAGCATATACGTAGGAATTTACGAGAAAAGATAATTGCCTTTTTTTAAGAATTTACACAAGAAGAATTTATGTAAATAAATTTACGAAAGAAGAATTTATGTAAATAAATTTAAAAAAGAAGAATATAGGTAAAAAGAATATAAGTAAAAAGAATTTACGTAAAAATATAAGTGAGAATATAAGTAAGAAAATAAGTAGGAAGGATATAAATAAGAATATACATAAGGAAAATTTAAGTAAGAATATAAATAAGAACATAAGTAAGAATATAAGTAAGAACATAAGTAAGAATATGAGTAAGAATATAAGTAAGAATATAAGTAAGAATATAAGTAAGAATATAAGTAAGAATATAAGTAAGAATATAAGTAAGAATATAAGTAAGAATATAAGTAAGAATATAAGTAAGAATATAAGTAAGAATATAAGTAAGAACATAAGTAAGAATATCAGTAACAATATAACTAAGGTTAAGTGGAAGAATATTTTTATTGTGTTTAGTGCACAACCAAAAATAAACTTCGTCCGTGTATATATGTATTATTTTATTGTATTTACTTTAAATTACTGGAAATAAAGACGATGATTATTATTATTATTATTATTATTATTATTATTATTATTATTATTATTATTATTATTATATAAGTAAGAATATAAGTAAGAAGGATATAAATAAGAATATACATAAGAACAATTTAAATAAGAATTTAATTATAAAGTATTTACGTAAAAATTTACGAAAAAAGAATATACGTACGAAGAATATAGGTAAAAAAAAATTACGTAAAAGAATGTAAGTAAGAAATTAGGTAAAAAAATTACGTAAGAAGTATTCACGTAAGAAGAAGTTACCCAAGAAGAATATATTATGTAATAAGAATATACGTAAAATGAATATACGTAAGAATAATTTAAGAAAAACATTACGTAAGAGGTAAATAGAATTTACGATAATTTTACCTAGAAAATAAATTTAATAAGAATCTACAATGACTAACATTTATGTGATGTTGCAACATATCCGAGTGCAGTTTCAATTCCTTTAATCTCTTATCGTAATTTGCGCATTTGACTTGCTGGTATCTGGGATGGCTGAACATCAATTTCATTTTTAATCTCTCTTGAATTTTTTCAGTTTGCCCCTCTATCCAAGTATCCACTTGGGCTATTATTTCCTGCTTGCAGGCATTTATGTATTGATCGATCGCTTCCCATAATCTAAAATCACATTTAAGTGCGGTTTTATTTTTTATGAATTTGTCACAAATATAAGTTGATAGGTAAATCATTTATGAATTATAAAAATAATAGAGGCCTTTAAATAGATCCTTGAGGAACTACGTGTTACCCAAACATCCAATTTTTGACGGCTCCAACTTGAAACACGCAATATAAAATTTGAAGAGGAAGTCCCTGTTCCTGTTCACGCATACTAATTTGGCTAGCTCTTCTTCTTTGTTTCTTAGGATCTTTTTCATAATCCGGAGGATGAACCGTTAGGAATCGTTTGAGTTCTGATATCAGGACCTCGATTCCTGTCTCCATCATCGTCTTGTATTTGGTGACTACTTGTATCTCACATTTGGCGTCCCAGATGTATCTAAACCGAAATATATAATAATTATAGAAAAAATATACTTTTATCTATTCTTTATGATAACATAAGAAAAAACAAATTCATACGTTTCTTCCATTTTGTCTAAAATTTTTTTCACATTTTCCAAAGACTTGTCTAGTTCTCTTATGTTACACCCTTGCCTCAGTTCTTCCAAAACTATGTTCAAATTGGCTTCGTGACACTAAAATACATATATTTTTACAATTAACTGACGATCTTTTTCTTTTTTATATTAAAAATTGCAATATAGGGGAAGTGTCCTTAAAATGGGATACTTAAGAGCCCCGCATACCACAAATATTTCGTTTTTTTAACTTTTATAGAACTAAGTAATACGTAGACCATCAAAGACGAGATTCTTAGAATATATACTGAAAAATATAACACAAAGATTTTTACTCAATTAACTATCTCGTAATTATCATTACTACGGACTATATGGATAAGACTTCAGAAAATATTAGGTATAGTAAACGGCACATATAAATTTTACTATTTGACAATTAAATATTAGTATTATTAATATATCTATACATATTTCACAAAGACACTGCCGACGTTCAGCTTAAAAAACACAGTGTGTACGTTTAACGCAGTGCCCTTCGAGCAAATATGCTGGAAGCTAGTATAAAATTAATATTTTATGCTTGGCATCGCTGTACGATGAGAATCTGTCAGCTCGATTAATTATAATACCTTAATTTTAGCGTCTCCTATTGCTTGAATCGAGCCTTTCTCAAATTTCTATTTGCAGTCGCCCACGATAGTCCGTAAAAAATGCCCGTACACGTGGACTGGGATATCCAATAGTAATTCTGTGATTTTGTTTAACCTATGTTCTAATTGGTTATTCGGCACGCTTCTATGTGTCATCGTCGTGTTGACGGCACAGATAGACAATATTTATCCAATGTTGTATTCACGTTACTGTTTGGATTTTTGATTTATAAAAAAATGGCTTTTTGGAGGCCCTTTGAAAGTGACAAAAAATAATATAATCCTTAAAGGTATGTAAATAATTATAATTCTGACAACATGGGTGTACTATATCCACCTACAGTTTACTTATGATAAAATTATTATTTAAAAACTTTTGGAATCCTTATGCTTTTGCCTAATAATAATAAGAATAAATTTTTACGAATTTTTCCATCACATTCATTATGAAACTGAAAGTTCGTTAGCAAATATTTTGCTAGATGGCAACACTTGCTTCACATAAAATCCATGTGATCCCGTTTTAGCTTACTGTCCCATTTTAAGGACACTTCCCCTATGTCGGAAAATGCACAAATATTAATTTTGAAGCAGATACTTACATCCGACGATGATCCGTTCTGTTTAATAGTATTTTCTAAATCTCTTAAAACGAGAATCTGTAATTCTTTAATTCGCACAAAATGGCGGTCCCACAAACCTGTAGCTCCTTTCAAAAACGAGAAAGTTGTGTTTATGTTATCCGTCATTTCTTGTATTGCAAGTCCCCAATACTCCTATAATTATGATTAAACTCTCATTATTCTAATAAAATTATTTAAATTTATTAAAACTAGAAATGTGGGTAGGTAAAACTTTATACATTCCATAATGGGATTTTTAAGGGGACGTTTTAAAGGGATTTGTATGGTATTGTATGACCTTTTTAAGTTATTTTAAGGTGATTTGGGTGATTTTTAGGCGATTTTAAGTTGATTTTAAGGTTATTTCAAAGTGATTTTGAGGTGACTATTAGGGTATTTTAAGGATATTTTTAAATAATTTTTGAAGGGATCTAAGAGATGTTAAAGGAGCTTATTAAGGAGATTTTTAAAGTTAATTTTTAAGTATTTTGAATCTTTTCAAAAATATTTTTAAGCAATATTTTAAGGTAAATTTAGGGGATTTTTGTAATGGAACTTTAAAGTAATTTTTAGGGGATTTTAGTGAATTTTTAGGGGATTTTTGTAAGGCGATTTTTAATGAATTTTAAGGGATTGTTAGGGGATTATTTAGAAAATATTTTTTTAAGGGCTGTATTTGAAATTTTTCTTTAATTTTTTATTAATTTTGAACATAGCGAAAAATTATTGTAACCTGTAAGTTAGAAAGATCGTTTAAATGCTGAATGTTCAACTGGTCCACAGTCGGTGTGTACATTTCGCAATTATACGGGTCCACTTCGTTGGTATGAACCACCCCGGTGCCTATGTTATTCTTGATTTCGGTCAATTCTCCCAAATATCTGTGGAAAAGCACAGTGATCGCGGATTTGTATAGCTGGACGATATTTTTAGCTGACTTATCTAAAACAACATAAAGGGTGATCCATTAGTGTGAAAAAAGTCCAATATCTCCGCCATTATTAGAGATATAAAAAAATATTTTCACAAAATAACTTCTTTTAGGTATCAACTTTTCTTTTTAATGGATCACCCTATATTTTATTTTATATTTGAAATACCCTCGCTTTTCCCATTCTAAAAATATAAATTATTATTGGTTTATACAGGGTGTTTTGCAGGATATAATCAGTTTTGTATGAAAATCGTATTGAATTCAATGACCTAAATCATGCAAAAGAAATAATTGACAACCAATTTTTTTTCTACCACAATTTTTCGATCATGGTCAAATTTTATCCGGAGACATTACTTTTTTTAATTCGCATCAAATCTGTACAGGGTGAGTCAAAACACAAATACATAATTTTCTCAATTTTTTTTAATGGTTTACCCTGTATTTTATATCGTCGTTCAAAAGTATCCTAATTATACTTTAATTTGACTTAAGCATTCCCTATACCAAAAGTTAATAGTTTTTAGAGATTTTTAAATTTTAGTGGTAAAAACGATAATTCAGAAACTGATAGAAAATACATTGTTTGATAATTAGTAATTATTAAAATTTAACCAGCTGTAATAAATTGGTTCCAGAGGGAAGTTATTAAATACCCTGTATATTCAAAAATAAAATTAAAATATGTAGTTTAACGCTGTCTACCGTTCTATGAAAATATTTTTTTATATCTCTAATAATGGCGGAGATATTGGACTTTTTCACACTAATGGATTATACAGATTACAGAAGTTAAAAGATTTACAACCTAATTCACCCCACTCGACCATTCACTGTTGGGTTCTAATTAACAGTGCTGTTCCTAAAGTGGCGCTAGGAAACAGTAACAAAGTCTACACAGAACACACATGATTGAGAATTTAAACACAAATTTGAGACTGGCATATTAGGTATATACACCTAGGCCATAAATCGAAAAAAAAAAAAAAAAAAAAAAAAAAAACCTAATTCACAAGGAAGACGAAGAAGAACCATTATAAAAAGAGATGATAAGTAAGATGTAGTTGCATTTTGTGTAGATGGGCATCTTATTAGATTGCCTTTAAGTAAGAGGCCACTTTTATTATTTCCAAATGTGAAATACCACAAAAATAGAAGAGAACGTTAGGTTCGGTGGAAGGCGGGAATTTATCCAAGCACGCCAAGAAGGTTTAAAAGAGTTTTTTATGTCTAATAAACTTTATTTGTTTTGAATAAAGATTAATTAAGTTATTTGTGGTACATATTATCCATAGAAAAAGTATCACATGCATTTTAGTAGCTATAACTGGTGTCAGTTGCAATTAACCCTTCAACTAAGCTCACCTAAGGCCCCTAACCATTTTTGAACTCCTTTCAACCATTTTTCGAATTCCAGTGACGTCACCGACGTTTCGTCGTCTTCCGCCGAAAACACTTGGTATTGAAAATACGATTTTAACGAATTAAAACGTCTTACTTCGATAACTAGCTCACTAGCTTTCGGATCCGCTTCGGTCAAGTCATCGAATCTAAAAGAAAAATGTATATTATATTTGATTCACGATAGACCAACTCTCATTTAAAAACAAAAGAAAACGTGGCTAAAATTGATCAGGGTTAGGACTAAAACTGCGACTAAAAAAAGTTTGCTCCATTTTTTCTTCAGATCTGGGGAAAAACAATGAAAATCCGTAAATATGGCAACGTCGCTTTACATAAGAAGCACTGGAAAATAGGTAGTGAATAGCAACTCTGTAATACCGATTGTTGATAGGGAGCAGTGTTCAAGCCATTGAACCTTTCAGCCATCCGTAACTCAAAGGTTCAATGACGTTCAATGGCAGTACCGTCAGGAATACAACAGCGAAAAAATTGGCAACGTTGCACATTTAAAAATACATATATTATAGAGTTTTACATTTAGTAGAATGTATTATTCACAAAGTCATGTTTTAAAATATTTTCATCACTTCATTAGTCACTATTGTATTTTATTGGTGAATTCGGGCAAAATCGGGTATTTTGAAATGTTTGAAATAAGATTGTCACCGTTTGGCAACATTGAAATAATGTATGACTGCTAATTTTTGACCTGTCAGAAGTACAATAGTGAAAGTTAAATTATTTTTTGCTCTTATTAAGTTTAATTTTCATTAATAATAAAAACTGAACTACATTTTTTTCTAAAGTAACTATGCAAGGCTCTGAATTAAATCTGAACTGACACTTAAGAAGAAGATCTACTTTAAAAACATTTTTTGTGGATCACTACATTACTAATTTAGAAATATGAAATGGTCGATAAATTTTTTGGTATTGCTTGCTTCTATTATTCTAAGTCATTCTTATTTACAGAAACTTTACCATGATCAACTTTAGCCTTAGTTAAACCGTAATTTAAGTATAGATATAGCTACAATACATTAAACGTCAAATAATTAACACGTCATTTGTCATTTGTCAAATAAGTCATTTAAGTTGTCAAATGAATCACTTCAGCTGTCAAGTAAGTCACCTCTATCGAGATAGAATGAAGTAGAGGTGACATACATATTATTTTGCCATGGCATATGAACGCACTTCAAATGCTGGAAAAGTGTAATCAAAACGGTGACAGAATATTATTTTAATTTATTTAAAGTCATTAATTTTATATTTGAAGATTGATGGAATGAATCATTTAAATGAAGCTATTAGAAATAACATTTATTCTCACCAAAACTGACTTGCTCCACTTGATCGAGTTTGACATATGACGTAAAAGTGTAATGCTCAGGTGCGGACACTTTTAGTATCGTCATAGCACCTCCTCTTTATTTTATCTTAATGGTCACCTTGATTGTCAAATAAGTCACGTCAAACAACAATATTATGTCATTAAGCTGGGTTAGGTTAGATTACTGTCACTTAATAGAAGAATTGTACGATTCGATATAGAAACATGTTTTGTTTATCACTGAAAAATAGTGACTCAAACGTCAATCAACCAATCGGGTATATTTTTACGGTTATCATTAAGTTGAACGTCAATTTGTCACAGAAGTAACATCACTCTCGATCCGTGGTAACAAATATATCACTTTTTTCAGGAACCAGATTCAAAAAATACTGGTTAGTCGGTTAATACTAGACAATACCCGAAGTATAGCTATGAAAATGTCAAATAATTTATATCATTTGTCAAATAAATCACTTCCATTTTCAAATAAGTCACTTCAGTTGTCAAGTAAGTAATCTCGGTTGTCAAATAAGTGACGTCAAACGATAAAATGTCATAAAGCGTAAAGTTGAGCAAGTATAGAAAAAGGATGTTGCTGTATATCCTGCCACAAATTTAGAGGGGTTATTTAAAGCATATTAAAAATAAAAAAATTTTACAAAGTATATCTCCTAACAAGCGATTTCAATTCATTTTTGATCATCTCTTTTATTTCTAACAATTCTTCGAACCACAATTTTAAATCGTATTCGTTTTGCAATTTTAGCTCTTTCTCGATTTCACCGTAATGTTGGCAGTTGCTCAAAGTGATTTTGTTGATTTCCTGAAATAAATATTTATATTAAATAAATAATAATGAAATATACATATTCATTTATAAAGATAATAAAAACATAAGTCCTATAATTGAACCATGAAGGACACTTTTTTTAAAAAGTTAATACATTTCGATTTACAGCACTATTTTATCTAATAATTCGTTTTGAAGTTTGAACTGTCAAAAAATTACTTTAGTTTTACCAATATACGATAATTGAACAGCTTATTTAATATGGATTACGAACTTAAAAGTGATAGTGACACTTCAGTTTAGATAAAAGATTGTGTTACCGGCAAAGGCCAAATTATTATACGAGAAAACAAAATCGATGATACAAGGTCAAAAAAGTTTTCTTCAACAGTGAAAAATAGTTATTTTGATGCTAGATAGCAACCAATAAAAATGTTGAACAAAAAAATGTAACCTTATTTTACCATGATCTGTTTTTCGAAACATTCGTCCAACATAAAAGGCAGCTCGTGAGCAATTTGAACAGCTTTCCATTTGTAGTCTTTCAACAGTTCTTTAAATTTCTTTAATCTCGATTCTTCCACGTTATGCAAGAAGAAACAGAAATCATTCACCACTTCCAATTCTTTTTGATTGAATTTCATTAAAATCTTTTTCGCTTTTTTGTAATAATCATCTTCTATTTCTAAATTCTATAAATAAAAACAAAACAAATATGTAGAATATAAGGAAAATATGAAATATATTGAATTTAACTACCAGTCCAACTATATGGTAACGCATAGGGTGTTTTGAGTAAATTAATAATATTTTTATTATCTTGAATAACTTGACCGAGACCGCATGCCACTTCGTTTTGGGTATTTACATGCTAGCCGGGTTTGCATTATTTTTTTAGTAAGGATTGCTTTGTAACGCAATAATACAAACCAGCCGTTGGTTAAATAGTATTTATTTAAATAAATGACTGAGTTCGGACAGCAGACCGCTGCGTTTCAGGTATATACATGCTATCCGAGTTTCATTTCTATTGATTTAGTTTGATTAAATTCACTTGACTTTCTTTGTTAACGTATTTAATCAGTACCTGTTTGAATGAACTTAAAACAACTGACATATTATTGCGGTTATTAAACCGTGTACGCCCCTGACTTTTACCTATTTTTAAGCCTTTAAAAAGTTTTGTTTCTCGTACAAATATTCATTAAACCCAGTTGTTTGCACCCTCAATGTACAAAGTCTAAAATTAACGTAAACGTTCAAATTTAGGTTAGAGAGAGTGAAACAAAAAAAAAAACTATTAAAAAAATTAGCCATTGAAAAGTATTCCCAATTTTTTACACGTAATGACTGGACTATTTACTAGGTTCTAATCTTCCGACAACAGGGGACCTATTTTCAAAGTATGTGAGCACTTATTTCTCTCAAGATTCTCATCAGAAATGTTATACGTCAATGTGGAAACGCTGTATTTAAAGACATCGAGGATTAAAATTCTTAGGAAGATTTTAATTCTCTCTAAATAAACTGAGAGAAACAGTCAGTGAGTTCACACTGGCCCTAAGAGCCCTAAAAATACGGTTTTACGTTGACGTATGACATTTCTCTTGAGAGAAATGAATTCTCTCGAGTTTGAAAATAGCCCCCCAGTATAAAAACAACCATAAGAAATTGTTAAAAAAAAAACCTAAAAAATACCTTTAATTTAAACTTGACGTCGATGAAATACTTTTTAACATGATGCTTGATATCGATTAAATGTTTTTTCATTTCCTCTGACTTGCTTTTTATCTCCTCATCGATATTTTCGTTTATTTTTATTATATCTTCTTTCATGTTTAGAATCAGGGTTTCGTGAGCTTCTCTTCTTTTTTCCATCATTTTTATAATGGCTGGTGATGGTTTTGAAACTGATACTTAAAATTTAATATTAATTTGTCATTAATTGAAGATACTTAGATCTTGAAATAAATAAACAAATTCGGTTTTAAGGAGACCCGTAAAATTCTTAATACTTAAACTATACAATATAAAATTTTAAACCTATCTCACTATTTTTTATTTTTTATTTTTTAAACAACATTATTATATTACTATTTTAAGGAAGGAATCACAGAAGACTGGCATATATGCCTACATAAGATCGCTTCGATAAAACAAAAATTAATCCATGGTGCTATAATATATTTGATTTGATTTTATATTGTATAGAGATACACTTATGCAAATATTGAATTTCATACATACATTTTACCCTAGTTTATGTACTTACCAAATTTTACAGGTAAATTTTTAACTATTTCTACATCTTCGTCAGCCATTTTTAAATATTTATACAATAAACAGTGGATATTCGTTTAAAAAGTTTTAATAAAAATGACAATTATAGTGAAATTGTCAAAATAATTCATGTGACAGAAATATATAACCTTATTTCAAAGTCTATGTCATGAATAGAAATAGGTAAGTTTAAACTTAGACTAGGTAATAGTTTAAATGATAGTGCTGACGTTTTAATGCCATCACATCTCTCTTCCACTTATATATCTTAAAAATCAAATATCTGTTATCGAACGTTCTGTCCAAATGAAAACAACAGATAGTTAAAATTGGGGCAAGCAGAAAACGAATAATATTAACGTATCCCTCAGCCAGCTGCTTGAGGGATATATCTCGCTGTGTGCCTGTTCACATTACACAGTGCACAAAGCAACGTTGATAATATTCGTTTCCTGTTTGGGCTGATGCTAACCCTCTATACTTTTCGCTTCTACGCTAGCAAACCGTATTAGAAGATGTTCAATAGCCGATACTGTATGGTGGATATGGAGTGCGAAGAACAGCAAGGAACATCCCATAAGAGATTATCCTCTTTTAATAGACTCCAATCTGCTAAAATATTAAATAATGCATTTATTTTAAACTACCCAGATGGCGAATAAAAATAGAGTCCCGCAAGGATCAATATTGGACTTTTTCTTATTTAGTCTGTATACCGGATCTATTACCGGAGTGGTTTATATGTCTATAGTATGGTGATTCAGATCTCCTTAAAAATTAAATCTCAAATAACCTTTCATAATTCTCTGCTTGGTCTGGTAATCATACTTTGTGGATCAATTCTAATAAAACAAATTATGTGCCATTTTATTCTCGTCAAAGGACTAATGTTCCTGCGTTCAATATTTCTCTAAATTATTCAGATATTTCAAAGATTGAATGTGTAAAATTAACTTGCCTCATGTCTTTAGATATCAGAGATTAATAAAGAATTTAAAGATTTTAAAAGATTTTATTTAACAAGAAATATAACAGAAGAGTTCATTCTAATAAACAGAATGGCAAGATAACGGAATAAATAAAATAAATAAAATATAAATAAAATTAACATTTTTTTTTATCTATTCGGCTCTTTTCTTTGGTTGTATCCTGTGTCCAAATTCGGCGCTTTCTTCAGAAGCCATATTTTCATCTTCCTCATCCTCGTAATCTGAAAATTCATCTTTATTTTCTTTTTCCGAAGCGTTTTTTGCTTCTGTATTGTCATCATCATCGTCAGGTATTAATATAGTCATGGATTCGTTGGAATCATTTTGGTTCGTTGACAGCTTCATTAGATTACTGTTAATTTTACCGGCAGATTGCAGCTGAGCTAATCTTTCAGCGGCCTCTTTGTTAGGTAAAGAAGAATAATACGATCCCACTAACTTTTCTTCATTAGAATCTTTTTTACTCTTAGCATCAGATTCAATCTTATTGTCGCTTACGTCACTTCTACTATCGAAATAGCTTTGGACTAATTCAGATTGCTCTAAAGCGTCTTCAGAATTTCTGGATGAAGTTTCTTTGTGATCTGATCCTAGGTTATAAGTAGCTGATACTAGAGACGACATATCTTTCTTGGATAAACTCTTTTGATGAGCCTGTTCGTCGTAGTTGAAGGATTGGAATTCGGGTTGGAAACTGATTTTATCCGAAGCTTGGATGGATTCTTGTGGGAATTGTTCGAGGAAAGTACCATCCGGTTGGAATAATTGTATATGTTCTAATTGATGATTTTGATGCGCTTGCGGGTAATTAGCATTCACTAGCTGATAAAGGTCTTTAGGACTTAAATTGTTGCTTAGAATGATATCACCGGTGGGATTCTGGTCTAAATTATGTTGAAGTGGTATTGAGTCTGAAGCTATTAATATTTGTTGCGATTCTTGCTGCGCGTTCTGTTTCTGCATATGTTCAATCTGTTTCTGTATTTGGAGCTGTATTTGTTTTTGGTGTTCTTGTTGTATTCTTTGGAGTTTCTGGTTGTGCTCTGATGGTTCGGTGACTTGGTATTCGTGACTCTTTTGAATATTAACATGCGTTGATTGTGGAATCTTGTGTCCGAAGCTTATTTCTCCTCTGACTTCGTGTGGGGAACTGTGCTGAAAACTAACCTCCTGTCTTTGCTGTTCGTATGGTATGTTCTGTGGTTGGTAGGATAATTCGTTTCTCACTTCGTGAATCATTGCTGGTTTATCTCTAAGGCTTAAATTAGGTGCTGGTATGGTATGTATGGGACCTTTTTCTCCGATTTGTTTGATTGGGTTGATGTGTGAGTGAGGAATTTGATTCGTTTGGACGTGGTAGTCATATTCCTAAAAAATATTAGTTTATTAAAAACAAATTTAATTAGAAATGGCAAACTTTACCTGAACTGGTAGACTAGGAGCAGACCTAAACGGTTTCTGTTTTTCAACTTGCTGGGATGGACCTTGCGGCACGTAAACCTTCTCTGGAGGAAATTGAACGTTATTTACTTGATTTTTCCAATAATTTCTAATAGGTGGCGTTGCAGGCCTCTGCAAAACCTGCGGAATTCCCTGTGGAATTCCCTGTGGTAGTTTATTCTGCCCAAGATGCAAAGGAGCGACTAATAACATCGGCATGTTGTTATTGTGGTTGTGGTTGTTATTGAGGTTATGATTCATGGGTTTCTGCCTCAAAGGAGGACCTCTCAGAGGGAACTGGAGCATACCTTGTGGCACTCCTTGGATAAGACCGTGCGGCGGTAATCCGTGGGGTTTCATTTGGATGAGGGGACCGCCTTGGTGCCATTTTTTGGCGAACTGACGGTGCGGTGGAGAACGCCGGCGTTGGGGAGGTCCGCGGGGTTTGTACCTGAGTTGTTCTGCGTTAAGTAGGGTGCATATTGAGAGCAAGATGAGAAGAATGATCTGAAAATTAAAAACAGTTTATGAAGCTTAATTATAACGAGCTATCGAGAAGTAATAATCATAATAATTAGTGTTGGTTGTGAAATTTAAATGTTTTGTGATGGTATTTTAACCATTTTCATAAACTTACAATTTAACATTGAAAATTGGATAATTTAGGAAAATTTAATGGTGTTCAAAAAGGAAAAATTATCTTACGTTACTTTTGTACTAGTGCGAAGTTAAATGCAGAATGCATGGCTGTTTTTTTATTACACTGCCCAACAGAGGAAAATTATAAATGTACAAATGAACAAATAATAAGTTTACAAAAAAGTTAAAGATAATAAAACATATATGCAAATAAGTGTTATTCGTTTTATGGAAGCAATGTTGCAAGAAAAAATATCGAGTGAAGAACCAACAGTTACATATTCGATATAAAGGTGAGTGATTTTGTATGTTAGTTTTCGTTGTTGGTAAATAGAAAGAGAAATTTACTCTAAAGTCATTCTAAGCATACACAAAAATTCATAAGACTTTATGAATAAAAAATAATCCAGCTATGCCACGCCAGCTGCCAGTGATTTTACACCAAATCTGCTAAGTGGATTCATATGAAAGTATTAAATAACTAGATAAATATCATCCTCTTTAAAACTTAAATATTTCAAAAATTTAATGCTGTATTTGTTTCAATGTGGTAATTTAAATATTATGTAAGGGGTACCATATTCAACTTTAAATCGAACATAACAATATAGACTATATTAATATATCTTGGTAAGTAATTAATACACAATACTATACAAATAAAATTTAAGTTAAAGAATATTTGTTTAGTTTTTAATTTATGCAATTATAACCCCACATAAAAAATGGTAGATGAATTAAATTAAAATTTCTGGTATTTTAATAGGTTTTGTTGACTTGACAACACTGCGTACTATCTACTTTTCAAATTGTTTTGCATTTAAATGTAAATTACGATAATAACAATGCGTCTTTGACACTTTTAACAGTCTAATATAAGAGGAAATAAAAGTATAATTTTGATTATAAATGACAAAACCATAACATTAGGACAAAAAAGTTTGAGGTTAAGATACATTTTACGTTTATAAATATTGTTTGAAATTTAGCCTTTTTAAATCACATTCGACTTTCAATAAATCGGAAATCAATTTTGGTAACTGTTGGAATTGTATATCAAAATTATATTTCTGTATATCAATACTTATTTCTATTGTAACAAAAACTGAATATTATGATTCATGAACTGATAATTTAGTCACAGGTATAATTTCTTCAATGGATATTAGTAAAAGTAAGAAATAGAAGTTTGTTTGGTAATTTACTGAATTTTTATTTAACAATAATAGTGTTACCTATAATTTCTAACCCTGTTATGGGCCCAAAAACAAATAATAGTTGAGTGTTTAAAAAGTGCAAATAAAAGTTAAAAATGGACAAAAAAATATGCAGAAGAGAAATATATACCAATTTAATGATGAACGCTATGGTATATGGAAGTTTCGTGTTAAATCTTTGTTTTTGGAATTAAAAGTTTTAGACGTTGTTAAAAATAATACTCCAAGTACATCAGCGTAAAAGATTAATGAAGTTGCCGTATAAATTTTCAAGCAAAGGTTGTGAACACTGTAGAAGAAAAAAATCATCTTAAGCAGAATTGCTATTGCTACAAACAAATGATGAAAAATCGAAATTCGCACTATGAGAGACGATCAAGATAGTTTTGCATTTATGTTCACTTTGAAGGCAAGCAGCAACCCATGAGCCAACATTTATTTTCTTTTAGATTCAGGCGCCAATTGGACACTAATGGACATACAACAATGGATGAAAACACATAAACTTGAAATAGCACCAGAAAAAAAACCGAAAGCGTTATTATCAAAGGTAAGAAAATTAGAGAAGGTATTCAATTTAAATTAGGGAGCCCTGTCATTACTCCAGTTAAGGCAGTCACATATTTGGGGGTATCGATTGACGACAAAGGCATTTTTAATATCCATGTCAAGAAGATAGCAGAAATGGCAGAAAAGCAACTGACAGCTCTATTAAGAATCTTGACTAACATGGGAGGACCAAGCAGCACCAAAAGGCAATTGACGTATGGGGTGGTGCAATCAACACTTCTGTATGCGGCACCAATATGGGCTATAGCAGTAAGCAAAAACAAACATAAGAATCTAGTGTTAAAAGTACAACGAAAAATGTTACTCAGGGTAGCCTCCGCGTACAGAATGGTATCAGGAGAAGCACTGCAAGCAATCACTGGATGTATCCCTCTGGATATACTTGTAGATGAAAGAGCAAGGCTATACGACAGACGAACAAATGTTGTGGAAGTTAAAAGATCCGAAAGACTTAGATCAATAGATACCTGGCAGAATAGGTGGAGTAGCAATACTAACAAAGCTGTTTGGACGAGGAGGTTGATTCCAAATATTCCAAATTGGTTAGACTGCAAGTTCAAGGAAATAAATTACTATCTTAGCCAATTTTTCATGGGACACGGCTCTTTTAGGGCTTACACCTACAGAATTGGTTAGACACCTGCCAGTAATTGTATGTACTGTAACGAGGTGGATACGGCGAAACACACATTGTTCAAATGCAACAGATGGACAAGCTACAGACAGATAATAGAAGCTGAAATAATCCCGGAAAATATTATGTCCAAACTTATGGCTGACAAAACGAAATGGGTTAAAGGAACAAAAGAAATAATAGAGATTATGAAGTATAAAGAGAAAGAGGAAAGAGACAATCAAAGAAGATAATTTAAAGATTGACAGAGACGAATAAAGCAATAGTCGTAAGAGTTGTATCGGCGTCTCTGTGACAAGAGGTGGTTTTAACAGGTAGGATTGCGCTAATCGGTAGAATCTTGCACGTCTGGGTGTCACGGATCACATAGTTAACAGGAAAGATATTTTTACATCCTTCATTAGAAGATGTTCTTTACTCTCCAGAGGTACCACAAAATTTGTTCTCAGTCCACCGCATTCTGGCAGGCATGTCCTTTATTTCTGACAGCAGTGGAATAAGGATTATAAAAGGAAACCAGGTATTGTTAACAGGCACAAATTTAAATAATTTATTTTAGGTAGTTTTTGGTTTACATCAAATGCAAATTAGTTTAAAAAATATACATAAAATATTAGCCTTAAAGCTTTGGCATGAACGTCTTGGACATATAAGTAAATATACTTTTGAAAAACTTAAAAAAATGGTAGATGATTCAAGTATTCATAATGAAATATGTGAAGGATGTATATTTGGGAAACAAACAAGACTGCCATTTGCTAAATCTAAACCAAAAACTTCTAACAATAGGCCTCTATTTATAGTTCATACAGACGTGTATGGCCCAATATCAGCTTCAACTGTAATAATTTGTAATAAATATTCCACTGAAATAAATAAACTAAAATAAAACGTAGGTCTCATAAAAACAACGATTTATAATTACACACATTACACAAATAATTTTCTAACAAAAACTCCAAAAAAATCATTCAGTGATTCAGCCGTTTACAAATAAACATTCCACTATAAATTCCTATTGCTATCGCAATCAACGTCATATGCAGGGCGAGTATTCCTTAAATTTAAAAATCGCCTACAGTAGCTAATAAAAATTATTTTGATACCTTTCTTGAACATAAATTGCACTGTTACGTATTTAATAAACTTGAAATCGGAGGTTTTTAAAATATTTAAAGATTATGTATCAAAGAGTCAAGTATATAAAAATTCAATGGTAGTCAATTTATATTGAGATAAGGGTAGGGAATGTCTTTCAACTGAATTCAAAGTTTTTTTTTTTGTTGAAAAGGGAATGTATGATCTCATTGTGTAATAAACACCAAATGGTGAATCAGATATAATGAAGCGCATATTATTTGAAATGGCACTAACGCAGTAACGTAAGTCTGAAATTAGATAAAACTTTTTGGTATGAAGCAGAGATAACCAGGAGATGTAACTATTAACAAATATCGTGCAGCCGTGAATAAGACATATTCTAAGGGACACAGTAGGGTATAATCACAATATATTGTGGGTATAATATCCGCTGTTGTCATTGTTAGTAAAGTGTATGTATTAAAATATTCGCTCAAGAAAACGATTCACCTCCCACTCTTTTGTCACATAGCTGAATTTTTCACAGATGAAAGGTCATGATAAGGTAACCCTTTTTCCGGAGTTAATACAAATTAGACTGTGCAGAAGGGCACTATCATCAAAAATCCAGATATTGATACCACCGAATAGAGAGAAAAAATACTAATTTTTTGGTCAAATGCACAATAAAATCTTTGTAGGGAGTAATTGTTTATACTTATTTAAAAAAAAAAATCATTTGCATTAGCACTTACGGCCGAAAAAAAATATAAACGTAAATATCTTGGTTTTAGCCCTTCAAAAATTTAGTTAAAAAGTCGTCTTTTTTAAATATACCACTCATTTAACAAAAAACGAAGGCCTAAATAAAAAAAAAACATTCTTTATAAAATTTTTGCTTATGTGTTGAGAAGGTAACAGAGTAAACACTATATTTTTTGCTTTTGAATTAACAAAGATATAACAATAAACGATTAGAGATGTCATAGGTTTATGCTGTAATTAATTCTCACCGTCAAATTTATCGACTCTCAGTGTATCTTTCTCTTCACCTTCAAACGTAGCATAGCTCTGTTTCTCTCTACGTGCGGGCTGATGCATCACATTATTGATATGGTAGGATTTTTCATTTTTTTTTATTATAAAACTTCTTGTTATGTTCCATAGGGCAATGTGTTTTTGCAATGTGTTTTTACTAAAGAATTAATAAGTGTATGTGTTATATATTAAATTACCTAATAAATTGGGAAAAAATATAGACATTTTTGCATCTTTATTTTATCTACATTCATCCTGTTGCAGCTAAATATATTTGGGTAAGTTATAAGTTTTCGTTTAAAATTTTAATTACGGATTTGTTGCTGCAA